TTGTTGGTGGTGGTGGTGGTGGTGGTGGTGGTGGTGGTGGTGGTGGTGGTGGTGGTGGTGTTGTTGTTGCGTCTTTGTCCGGAAGGGTCGCCTTCAAAAAAAAGTCCACAAAATCGCGCGTCGCAAGCACGCGATCACGCACACATGCAAAAACACACCCCACACCACACATACACACACACACCCACGCACGCACGCACCAACGCACGCTTGTCCGCACGCACACACACACACCAGACACGCACCACACATACTCATACACATACTCATACACAAGCACATACACATACACATACACATACACATACACATACACACACATACAGGCATTAGCAACAATCTCTGCTTAGGAGCAACTGCTTTGAGCAGCGGATGTGAGCAACGGTTGATACTTGCCACCATGTGCCATGGGGTATGACATGGGATACCCGCACCTCATTAGCAGAGTAGGAAACTTCGTTCCCACGAATACGTCAAACGCAAAGATCGGGGAAGCCAGGAATACTTGGCTTGTGTCACCCGGATTACCAGCAGAGCAGCTCCGCGTCTTAGGATACCGCGCTGCCGCTGCAAATCACGTCAGGGCCTTAGATATGTGATTGGAGACTTGGAGATTGACTCGAGTTTTCTGGGATAAGAGTGATTGGGGATTTGTGACTCGAGTTGTCTGGTTGACTCGAGTCCTGACTTGGGGATTTGTGATTGGGGACTTAGATATTTGGGATGAACTGGGAAAAATACTTTTTCTGGTTATCCTGAACTGCTGGACAAGCAGTTGCTCGTTTCCCATTTGCTTCCCCATTTGGAGGGCGGGTTTCTGTGCCGTGTCTCCGTGTCTTCCGGTGGGACGCTCGTTGGGTGTCTCCGCATGCGAGGGCCTAGTGACGAGGTTGCCACACGAAAGGCTCCAGCAAAAGCCTGCTTCATAGTTGCAGAAAGACTGGACTGGCATCGCTCGGCATTTGGCCATGGTTCAAAACCAATGGCACCATTTTGGGATAGGTAACCACCCATTTTAGAACCGATTTTAGTGCGGATTGGTTGATGCTCACTGGGGGATAACCGGGGTTTCGACCCGTGGCCATTTGTCGGGCCATGACCGCTTTAAGCTTAGCGATCTCACTGTTGGCTTCTGAACTGGCCTTTGGCCAGTTCGGAAGCTCGACTCTTGTATGGCGCTGGTTAGAGTGAGCTCTCTGAATTGAAATTGGACCTTCGCCATTGATGTTGTTGTTGTGCCTCATGTTTGAGCACCAACGGGTGTCCCAAACAATTAAAGCACTTCCAAATAGACTTCAATGCGCTTAAGAGTGGATCACTACTTACATTGAGATCAGTGCAGAACAAACAAGATCCAAACAAAGGTCGCTGGTCATTTCAGTGAGAGTGCTTCCCACGAAAACAGACGATCTGTTGCGACAAAGAACACATGCAGGCTTTTCCACCACGGCAAATGTCAGCGAGGATTACATGACTGGTCTTGAACAAACCAGCTGATCAACCTGATCAGTAGTTATTCAGCAGCACGAAATGGAACCTTTTGCGCGTTACTCGGTTCCATACAGTCGTGATTTGACCAATCAAGAGAGAATTAATGCATACTCTTATAGCAGATATGGCTGGAGGTTTGCGACCAGCGCGAGAGGAACACCACATTTAGCAAAGAGTTTCGGAGGCTCCAGGTGCTAGCTTTGGGCTTTCTGGAACAAAAACCCATCCATTGGCATCAGCGGAGTGCCTGTTCAAGTATTTGAGATGGAATCGGGTGTGTTTCAATATTTCGCCGATCGGAAGGACTGTCATTTTCCGAGACTCCGAAGAACCGGTTTCCAGTATCCTTAGACTTTGAGACTTGGATTCAAGAAATTCATCTCCCACAAGTGTCAGAAGGTCGTGCCTGGGATCAATGAATCACTAAGGTTTGGCCAGTGGACCGCAATCCCCAGGCCCCTAAAGAATGGCATCGAGGGAGGGGGATGAACTGGTGACCCTGGAATTCCCATTGGTTCCATTTTCCCTCTTGTGGGACACTCAAACGCGGAGTCGCGAAGCTTTTCTCGTGAACCTCGAGGCTTTGCACGGCCGCCTTCCAGCGCTGGCGTCACCAGGTGGGGGACCTACTGCGCTCTGGCCGGGGGCCCAAGGAGCGCGCGCGGCCCACGTGTCGTCGGGAACGCGTCGTCCTGTGGACGAAATCCTCGGCACCGCTTTGAAACCATGGAAACCAGTTGTTGGTATTTACAGGGGGGTCAGTATTCCAGGGTTTGATAGGTGGTGCAGGTTCTCGTCCATCCACAGTATGGGTCAAATCCCACGGGTGCTTTGGCCTTCGCGTGCCCGAAGTCATCATGAGTCTGGAGGCCCACTTGGCACGCCGACCTCCCGGGCCTGCGGCCTGAATATCGCATTCTTCCCATTGGCCAGACTTCCTATTGAGCAGGGCCTGGATTTTGGTTGGGGCCTGACGCTGCCAACAAGATCACTTTGGTGGCGGGGCATCCTCGCAGCAGGAGTCCGAGCGCACAAGGTATGCGGTCTGAGGGTATCTGGAGCAGATGAAGGCCATTTGGACCTCCGCGCGTTGGCCCCTTGCCAAGCTGGGAGACATGGGCATTGGGTGGGGGGAGGTGGGGTCGTGGGGGGCAGGGGGCAGGGGGAGGTGGGTCGTGGTGTTTGGGCTGGTGAGTGAGGGGGTGAGGGGATGATTTGTTTTTGCGAGTAACGCGGAAAGAACACAACTGATCTAGATGAAACCTGGACATTTGCCAACTTGGGCTGTTTGGCTAGTCCGCATCGGGCAACATCCAAGCGTTCATTTTGCCTCCGGGCATTGACGTGCGAATCTTCTTGCCGCACGGATGCAGCGAGCCCTTGAGCAAAGCAGTGTCATTGAGGTAAAAGTTGTTTGATCTGTTTGCTGCCTCCGTTGAGTATCAAGAAGAGCCGCTTCTGGCTAAACAAACGAAAAGGTAAATGCATGAAACATTGGGCCCATCTGCATGATTTGTGTCATTGTGTAGGGCTCGAATACCCATATACCCACATGGGCGCGTCTTTGTTTTGTGGAACCCCACAATGGCACCGTTGGTTTCCCCTTGAAATCGTAAAAGAAAGGTGTAGCCTCAAAAAAGACGAGCCACCTATAGATCTCCATATTTTCCCAGTTTCTGCAGGAAGGTACCGGACTCCATGGGTAGCTTGCCTTTGTTTGCGCCGCTGGTGAATTGACATGCCATCTGGTTGGACATGTGCAACTAACATAAATCGAGGTCGCAGGGTGATTCATGAGTTCTCCGCAATCAGCGAATCGAGATGCTAGTTGCACTCGGAAATTCGTTGCGTTGGATGGCGTTTCTTATTGACTAGTCTCTGCGTTTCCGACTGGCCCAGCGGCCTTTACCAGAAAACAAGCGTGATGTATTCCATAAGGCTCAGCTCAGGCCTTGCCACCTGATTCTAGGTCCCCCACTAGTGACCTTTTACCCTTTTTGGGGGGTTGCCCTATTAAAATAGACAAAAAGAAAAAAGTTGGTACCCTTATTCGAGCACCTCTCTACTGGAGGACCTAGTTGATCTGCAGTGAGGCTCTTCAGCCTTGCGCGTGTATGCTGAGGCACGCGCTTGGTGACCTTCAACCAGAGCATGACCATGACCACCCCGACAGAGGCGGCCTTTAGGGCGCCGAGTTGCAACCGGCTAAGCGTGAAGTACAACTAGTCTAGGTCCCCCAGTAGTGCCCTCTTACCCTTTCTTGGGGGAGGGTTCCCCTACTACAATAGACTACAGAGAAAAGGGTACCCTTAGTTCAGCTGGTGAACTAGTTGTTGTTCAAAGATTGTTCTGCATGTCCGGCTTGACCTTGTACTCGGTTGATTCCAGCTATTTGTGGACAAGCATGAGGGTTCCATGCAGGTTTGGGATGGTTGCGTTTCTTGGCTGGCTACTGTAGTGGTCAAAGCAGTCACCGGGCAACTATCCCACCGGGATAGTTGCCCTAATATCCTCACAAAGGATCAGGCTTGCTAAGGAACGCCACATCGCTGATTGATGTTGCAAAATATTGACCGCAGGCTTGTCATCATGGACATATGAGGGATCCCCAGAATGACCATGGAACATGAAGCCTTGTGAGATATTCCATGTTGGCACATTGGAATTTTGGAGATAGCTCATATCCATTTGCCGCTTGCACCGGGACTTGTGCCCCCCTTGCGACCACGCGAGCCCAGACAGAGACGTGTCCTGGTCTGTCTACCTTCAGACTAAGAGGGCTTCTGCCCCCCCCCTCTCCCAAGTGAAATGGCACATGTACAAAACATATACAGGCACATACATATGTATATATGTACATATATATATATATATATACATAGGTACGTATGTACATATATATGTGACATATATGTATGCATATGTGACATATATATATATATATGGTCGCCCCCCACCTGGCCCACCTTTATATATATATATATACACGTATATTATGGCTAAGGCAACACAGTTCTGCAGCCCTTTTTGCTTGGGCGTTACGGCATTTGGAGGCGGACATTCTTATTGGTTGCGACGTGACCGGGGGTTCTTGTGAAGCCCGGAAGGACTGGGAGGACGACTTGGATGCTGCAGGGCGCCCAGTTTCCTCTTTTGAGATCGGTTTTCCATACCACAAGACACAGGGATCAGCTTCCCCCTACCCTTCCACTTGACTTGGAGCCTGACGTTCGGGACCCGGTCTGTTTAAAGGGAAAATGGTCCGAACCAGGACTCCCGAACGTCAAGTTCCATGTCAATTGGCGGGAGGGCAATTGATGGTTTGGTTTGGTTTGGACCTTTTGGGGGTACCTTCTCTATTTGGTATCAAAAAGAACTAGGGTTCAAAGCCCCAAACCACCAATCCAAACCGCCAATTGAGGGGAAGCTGACAGGAGTTACTAGTTTTGTGGCAGGGACCATTGCAGCCACACATCAGGACAGGATCCGTTCATTTGTTGCATCCAATGTGAAGGTAGAGCATGAGAAAACACCGATGGGCTTTGACTCACGTATATGTGCAAAGGGTCCTTGGAGTCCCTCCAAAGGCCGGGCACCTGCGGTTTCTGCCAGTATCATCCCGGACTGGCAAGGTCAACTCCTGTTTAGTTGGCCCAGATGTATTATGAGAGTTCAAGCATGGAAAGAAGAACAGTCAAACCACGCCAAAAAAGTCGGTGATTTCTACTTGAGGTATTGGAGCCACTGAAACAGTCTTGCAATACGACAAATTTCAAAATGCAGACCGAGACCAAACCTTTGCCCAAATGAATTTGCCTGCAACCGTTTTGCACATCTTGGATACGCATGGGAGGACCTGGTGTTTGGTTCCGATCAGTGACAGATTGACAAGAGAAAGCATGTCTTCCAGTGCTGCCAAAGACTTCCCAGGAGAGTTGCTTGGGGTCTGGAAGTAGGATCGTGTTGATGGATGGGCGCCGAGAGTGTCTCTGTTTTTCTGCACAAACGATCGCACGCGCCAGTCTTTGGGTGATTTGATGGTTCATGCACCACTCAGTCACTCTCAAACCCATGGGTTTTGACAGGCCATCCGCCCAGTTTTCACAGTCACTCTCAATGAAAGGCCATCTGCCCAGTTGCCCAGTTGTGTCCTTTTGCCTTTTTTTTGGGAGGGGTTCCATTTAGACTCCACCAACCAAACAAAGAATGCCCTTTTTTCCCTTGGCCACTGGGCATCTGAGTCTGTGCGGCGGACACACACAGGCCCAATGCACCGTTCAAAATGAGAACAACTGGTCAGGGATGGAGAGCCTTTGCCTTGAAACACCGCGTTCCGGCCCAGAAAGGGTTTGATTGGCCCGATGCAAGCGTGTCCACTCTGGGGATTTACCTTCCAGCCAATCACGGCTTGAAGCTTCCATTTCCATTCTTTCCAGGGATCCTTCCTTTCAGGAAAGCATCAAAAAACACCGGGTTGGGAACAGCTTGTGTTTGACAAGAACGATAGTTGCAAAGACTGGCTGGAATCAACCCCTATATATCAGTGCATTTGTTGCTTCCCCGGTTCCTTCTGGAGTTCGGAGTCGCTGGACCCGTGCCTTTCACTTCGCAGGCAGCTCACTCACAAAGTGAGCGACGCAAGGCCAAGGAGTGTTTTTGTTTGAGCCACAGTTGACATGTCTCCAATGCCGTTTTACCTACAGTGATTTGGCACTCGTCAATGCTTGTCGGTTGGGTGTTGTTTGTTTGCAGTGGAGTCTTTGTTTGGGCAGTCCACTCAGCCGGTAGGGAGATACCCTCCCTCAGGTTTCCAAAGAAGCTGGCAAGTCAAGAGACCATGTTTATTGAAGCAGTGTTTCCACCAAACTTCTTCTTCAGGATGTTTTTCGACCTTAAGACTCACATGCAAAATTAGGTTCTTTATCGCCTGGCCGCTTGTTTGCTTGCTGGCTGGCTGGCTGTGGCTGGTTGCGTTTGGCTGCGGCGGTGGCTGTCAAACTGGCTGGCTGGAAACGGAAGAATGCTGAAGCAGCTGGAACAAAAGGACAACCTTTTTTCTGCGATTGAGCGATGGAGAGCCAACCCCCGCCCTTGTCGATGTTAATCGAGAAGCCCAGGTGCCAACACACAGTGTTTCATCGCGCACGTGTCCAATGGCGTTAGACTGTAGCTTTTCTTTTGCATGTTTCCTGTCCTTTTGCTGTTGCCCATCCAATGACGTTAGTTTTTAACTGTACAAAGATGGCCACCTTTTGACTCCCCCATGTGTAGCGGGCTCCGTACAGGACTTTACGGCAGTTCTGAACCTGCCGCCCCACGCTTCCGCGGAGGCTTGGGAAGCTCGACTCGGAAGGATCACCGCGGAAAGCATGAGTGCTACTGTGGATGGACGAAATCTATTCTGCGCCACTTTGAATCCATTGTTGAAAGCATAACATTAATGTTGGTATTTACGTTGGGGAATCGAATCAGAAACCAGGGCGAAACTTAGGTGGTGCGAAATGAGTAACTCACAACCATCCACAGTATTGCTTACTGAAGAATGATTGGGTCGTGTTGTTTGCCTTATTTGAAACGAACAAATTAACGACCTGGCTTTCGAGAGACGTGAAATCGTGAAATGGCTGGAGGGCAGATGGTTTACGTATCATGTCATCATTTCCGCGAGGCACTGTCCTTGGATAGTCATGGACAAGTCCCACCTTTTTCTGTCTTTCTGTTTTTTTGGAAATTGGCCTCATCCATGTAGGTTGACCAGCAATCGTCCGATTTCCAGCTCACTTCAAATTAAATCATGTTCTGCTTGGAGGCTCCTCGTTTGCCATACATAATACATGGCCATTCGAATGCAGACAGCGGTTCACGAGCCGGGCAGCAAGCAGGGCCGCGGCCAAGTCAGTTTGAACAGCATGAGCACAGAGGCGTCGGTTTTTCCAGGTTTGCATCACAAGGGACAAGTATGGCTGTGGGTCAAAATTAATGGGATCCCATTTTGGTTGGTTGGTGAATTCACCAGGGAGAACGGGATTTTGACCCATGGCCATATTGATTGCCAAGTTTACATGTGTGAGATTGATTCGCGCGAATTTCTTACCATGCTTTCCGTCGGCTTTCGGGTATTTGGATGCGACTGCTTTTAATTGTAAACGCTTCGCGTTGCCCGCCTCGGCCCAGCCTAGTTTGAGGGAAGGGTCAGGAACACCGAAATCCAGTGTTGGGAAGGTCCGAATACCTGAAGCTGGCTCCAGACAAGTCAGACAAGCCGGCCTCGCCTGGTTGGGCTGGGCCACAGGCTAGTCTCAGACACATCAGATAAGCCTGCGCTGGGCCTGAAGCTAGTCTCGGGCAGCTTGGCTGGACCTTGCTTGCGTGGGTTGTTGGTTGAGCTGAAGCTAGTTTACGGCGGGCTGGGCAGCCGCACTGAGGGGGCTGGGCTATGGCTGGGCTGGGCCTGAGGCCAGTTTCAGACACGTCAGACAGGCCTGGCCAGCAGGCGGACTGGGCTGGGCTAGACGCTAGTTGAGCCCAGGCTGGTGAGGCCCAGTCTCGGCGCTAGATAGGCTGAGGCCTGCGAGTCTCAAACCGGGTGGGCTTGGGTGGGGTTGGCTTAGGCGGGTTGCTGGTTGGGCTGGGCCTGAAGCTAGTCTCAGCCACGAGGCTGCGAAGCCATGGGTGGTGCTGGGCAGCTGGATTATGGTGTTGGTTGCGCCTGGAACTTCGGCTGGCTGGGCTGAGCTGTGCTTGGGCGGGTTGCTGGATGGGCTGAGGCTGGGTAGCGAGTTGCTGGCTAGACACGTAAGACACGCCAGCAGGCGGGCTGAGGGACTGGGCCTGAGGCTAGTCTCAGGCTGGCATACCTTGAGACCAGTCTCAGACTGCGCCGAAGGGGCCTGGTCAGCCTGGGCTGCTGAGTAGCTGGCATAGCTTGAGACCAGTCTCAGAGGCCAGTCTCAGACATGTTAGACAAACCTGACCTTGGCACACTGGGCTGAGCCTGCTGGTGGGCTGGGAGCTGGGGGCCGGTAGTGGCTGGCATGCCCTGAGATGCGCTGGGGCCTGGGCTGGGCAGGCTTTGGGCTGGGCCTGAAGCTAGTCTCAGCCACGAGGCTGCGAAGCCAGCCGGACGCTGGTTGTGCCTGGAACTTGGGCTGGGCGGGCTGGGCTGAGCTGTGCTTGGGCGGGTTGCTGGATGGGCAAGGCCTGTTTCATACACACTTGGGCCCGAGGCTGGGTGGCGAGTTGGCTGGGCTGGGCCTGAGGCCAGTCTCAGGCTGGCGTACTTTGAGACGGGGCTGGGCCTGCTGGATGGCTTGGGGCCAGACGCAAGCAGGAGGGGGCTGGGGCACGTCAGACGGGCTTGGTGGCTGGCATAGCTTGAGACCAGTTTCAGACACGTGAGACTGGGTCGTTGGCGTTAGACAAACCTGACCTTGGGGCCGGCCTAGGGCCTGGGCTGGGCGCTGGGCTGGGCTTGCTGGATGACTTGGGGTAGGCCTGTTTCAGACAAGCTTGGGCCTGAGGCTGGGTGGGGCTGACAGGCCTGGCCAGCAGGCGGGCTGCTGGTTGGGCTGGGCCTGAGCCTAGTCTCAGACACGTCAGGCAGGCCTGGCCACCAGGAGGTCATGCTTTTCAGGACAAAAAAGCAATTTTTTAGTGATTTCGCAATTGTCAGCACATTTTCGACAAAAATGGACCCATGGAGCTGGACGCCGACGAACCCCGAAAATTTCAAGGCCCGCCGGACAGGATTTTGGGCCAGCCGACATGGGTGGGGGGGGGTGGGGGGGGGGGGCGGCCCGGCAAAATTTTGGTTGGGGAGGGGGTTGGGGGAGGGGAAAAGCGAAGATTCTCTTTGGAGAAGAGATCTGAGCGCCCTTGGCCCCTTTGGGGCCGAGGCGAATTTCTTGTTTAGCGACTGCTTTTAGTTTCTTGTTCAGCGAGAACGGAAAGGACACACTGCCAACGAGCAAAGCCCCTGAGCTCGCTTCGGGGCTAAGCGGATCAGTGCATCTATCATTGCATCCGTTGGATTTTGCAGCACTGCATATAGTTTCTGCTGGTACATTGAATCCAAGGTAGGTAGCGGCGTTAAAGGCAGCCTCATAGGACTAGGATTGTCGGCCCTTTTGTGGAAACATAGGATGAGCGAAGTTTGCTCTCATGGCTCCAGGTTTGTTGTGCGTGACAAACCTTCGCAAACTGAACCGCTGCCTCGGCCCAAATGCTGGGCAATTCTGAACTGCGCCTTGCGAAAGGCCCAGTTCAACAAACATTGTAAACGAAAGGCGCAGTTCGTTTCGGGCATTGAAGCCAAGCTCGGGACTCCGGATGCGCGTCCGGGCCAATCACATATCGGGAGGGCATGGTACCCTGAGGAAGGCTCGGGGATGGGTTCAGACCCGAGAAATACCAGGCGGCAAATCTGAAATGAGACGCCCACCCCAGATTTTCGCAGCTGTGCTTTGTGTGGAAGTTGTACAGGCATTGTTTTTGAGGACTATAGGCTAAAAAGCCGTTCGGGTGGTTTTTCTCACCAAAGTCAGACGAAGTCAGGTGCCGGTGAGCTGGTTCATCTTCTCCCGCCAGCACTGGCCCTCTGTGCGGCTGCAGGTCCTAGGCGCAGTTTTGTGCCTTTTGGGGTTTTGGGCAGTTGGGCTTTTGGGCGGTATGGGGGGTCGCCGATTTTGAGACGAACCCAAATTTGGGCACTTGCTTTTTTTGAGGGTGTGGACCTTTCCTTAGGTTCCAAAGATCCCTTTTTGGGTCCACCTATTCTGAGACCCTAGATTTGGGTTCTCAAAATTGGCTGGACACACAACATGAGCAGGTTCCGTTTGACTTTCCATGTCTTCCCTTTAAGAACCGGCACAAACCATTTGCAGGCATTTTTTCAATTTTAGGTCCCGAGTAGTCGTAGCACAATGTTCTGTGCCACTCGGAAAGCATGGAACAGCAGATGCAAGGGCCAGCCGAGTGAAACAAGGGTGACACAAACACACCCCACCAAACAATCAACACACAAGCACATTCTAGCAAGGCAAACTGTTTGCCGGCATAACCAGGTCATAGTCAGCCTTGACTCGATCTGTGTTTGGTTGCCACTGATGGTCTTTATTCCATCAGTTCCTTCCATCAATCACTGCTTGGGCCTGGATGGCCCGCTCCAACTCTTCAACTCGTGACACGACGAGACGAGTATCTTGGGCGTCCTGCACATGCCAGTTCCAGTTTCCTGTACATGCATAGCAATTTGCACAAATGAGCCACAGCGAGCCCTTGCTCAGTGCAATGGATGCAGAACGGCTTGGAGCAACTGTTTGGCATGGCTCCTTGTCGGCCTCAGGCTTGGGAGCTTGACGCTACCTTTTGCGGCCAAGCAATGGGAATCTCGATTTGTCTTGAACACCTACAAACGTGTTGCTGGAAACAAGTCTATGTATGACATCACGTACATGCTGTCCGCCAAGGGGTCTCAGATTGAGACGATTTGAAGCATATTGTTCACCGCTGCACAAGCATCATCTCGTGCTCAATAAGTGGTTTGAACAGTCAGATCCTGTATTGAATTCTGAAGGGGCACCAATAGGTGGTTGTTCGATCTGGCGGTTTCTCTGATTTGGTCTATTTTGAGTCACGGCTCCAAAAGCTTATTCTTTTATCTCAGTGTATTTATGGGTCCTTTGGGCAACTTAGCAGAAACCATTAGATTGTTGGAACTATCGTGGGTTTGGTTGCATCACGATCAAACTTGCCAACGTCTTTGTCCCCGAACCACCTATTCTCATCCCGTTCGGCACGGCAAAATACTTTTTACATCGTGAGTTGGTGAGCTGTGGTTCCCTTTGTCAACTCTAAGAGGAAAAGGAACTGGGCTAGATTGAGCCAGGGCAACTTAAGGACGATTGTTGCCTACTGCCGGTAGAAATGGGTGTGTCTTTTTTAAGGTTGGTCCCCCCCCCCCACAAAAAGAGGTTTCGGTCTTGCCTTTTCTGATTTCCCTTACAACAAGAAGGGAACTTGAGCGTCCAAAGAGGAACCGATCATATATCACCGAAAGCGACAAGCGCAACCTGAAACCCCATGTCTCAAGAAACCAGAATCCACCACCCAGTACCCTTCAAGCCGAGGGGTCCCGGTTTCGGCCCCGGGCTCGCGATCGATTCAGGCGCTGGGTTTGAGGGAGTGAGCCGGCACTTCCCGCAGCTGGCGGCGTTGCTGGAGGATGTGGCGCTGGATGATGAGGAGCGACGTGCGAAGCGGCGGTGCCGGTTTTTGGCACGGTGGCCCCAATTAATTGTTGTTTTACAAAGCAAAGGGGATGCGCTCGTTTCTCCAGGGTTGGAAGTATGTGTTCAAGTCTGTTTTTTTTCTTCTTTTCTCTGGGGTCTATGAATTTCTTTCCAGGTTGTTTGTTCAAGGGGTGCATACGATTGCATACGTGTTCAATTGTGGCTATTTGGTAACGGATCTTTGGACTTTGAACGTTTTGGGAAGTGGATTGGCCATTGAACCCTTGAAAAGTTCAACCTTTTGCAGAGGGGAATATTTGATTCAATGATTCCTACACCTTGAAGCGGGTCTATTTATTCCAAGTCCGCTAAAATTGGTTTTGTGGTTCCTAGGGGTCTGTTGACTTAAGAGCGCCTCAGGCTCACGCTGCATGGGAAGAAGCCGCTTTGCCCCACTTGCCAGCGCAATGCGCGCGGCGTATCGCTCGCCCGGAAGATACGATTGTGGTGCGGCAGGGGGTCTTGGTTAGTTGTGTGGGGGTGGGTTGAGTGATTTTGGATTGGTTGGGGACTGCTGTTTTTGTTTGTTTGTGTTTTTAGGTGTAGTTGAGAATTGACGTGAGAGCTCAATCCCGGAAGGATCTCGATGACGAGGATGCGACAGGCAGGACAGTTTCAGGTGATGCGCAAGGTTCCCAAGCTGTGTGCGCGAGGATGCGCGAGGGTCATGTGACATGGCCAGCAGCGTTGCAAAGTATGAGCAACTTAGTTGCCCAAAGCCGACCTTTTGACCTTTTGGTTTCTCCTTTTTGGTCTAGTTTTAGTCATGGCCCCCAAAGGTTAACCTTTGATTTCTGGGTCCTTTGGGCAAGCGAGGCAATGGCTACATTGCCTCTTTTTTGTTTTGGTTGGAGGGTACAGACTGGAGTCCGGTGACACAATGTTGAGCCACAGCCATTGGCCAATCATCGCCACTGACAGGCCCGCGACTGACACAAAGGCGGGTGTGAACGACGTGTGAGTCTGATGCCTCGTAGCTCCAGGGTTGGAGACAGGTAGCCTCATTTCCCGCTGAAAGGATTGTTTGACCGAGGTCGGGATTGGTGGAGGTCGGACAATGGCAACTTAATTGCCCTTCGGACACCTGCAAGTCCAGTCGACACAGCACTTGGCAGCGCAGCAGGGATCCAGCGATCAAGATTTAGGCTTTACCTCAGGAAACTGTCGAGCACAGAATGTTTGCCCAAAGCATCCCATATACAGTCACTTTATATGAGCGCGTCCTTTTTGTTCGGGGACCCACAAAATGGCTATAAAATGGCTGTTTGCCTTTTGGTTCCCCTGAACAACGCAAAAACAAGAGTACCCGCAAAGAAAGACACTCCTATATTGAATACACACATGTATTTGCTGTATTCACATACGTTAATAAGTGGTCGGAATTGTTTTGACTTGTCATGTGTTTCTCTCAACAAAAGGTGAAACATGTCGGGCAGGGGTCAACAGCGATATGCTGTCGCCTGGCAACTTGACATTTGGAACGTCACCATCGTCATGGGGCCTGGGGAGGAGGGGAGGGAGAGGAGGGGAGAGGAGGGGAGGGGCAGGGAGGGGAGTCCCCCCCCAGGCCCCATGATTGCCGCGTTCATGGCTGCAATTGGTGTTGGACAGTGTTTGAAGGGGGAGTATAGCAGACCGTGTGATCGTGTTGCAGAGCATTCACTGGACCGGGGTTGTAAGGACAAGAATAGTTTATTCAAATTATTTGTCTCATCCCCCAATCACACTCCGACTGGGCGATAGGCTTTTTCTTGTTTGATACCTAACAACCGCTTGAGTTTGTCCAGCTACTTGGTTTTGACAAGGTCAAACCATCAGCGGGATCTCACCATTCTCTGCGTGTGCTTTGCGGCACGTGCCATCGGCGTCGGTTAGGCCTTTTGCCACCTTGGGTCAAATCCAGGCTCAGGTGTTCCTGGAAAAAGAGTTTGAATGTAGGCGATGAGACACAACCAATCGATCGTTTTCAGAAGACGGCACACCTACTGAGCCACAATCAAAACCCCGGTATAGATGAAGGTTAGAAAGGCATGGTCCCCTTGGCATAAAGGGTTTCCTTCGCCGCCTTTTTCTTAATTGAAGCATGGCTCTGGGCAGACCATTTCAAATACACTACCCCCAACTAACATGGCATCTGACGGGGGGTCCCTCCAAGTGGAAGTCGACCTCCCCGGTACCCTCCCACAGGTGCTACGTTTGTGGCAGAAAGGCAATGCCTGAGACTAACATGGAAGCTGCAAATGGAACCAAGCCTTCCAAAGGGGTCCTGGGAGATTCCAGGTTAGTCTCAGGTTAGTCTGGGGGAGGGAACCGGGTTTTGGTTTTATGACTCAACTGGGTGTTTGGTTCGCTCGAGTTTCCGGCTTTTGTGCAGGTCGGAGGAGCGAGAGCGCATGGGTGGGCCCAGCATGTCTTGCGGAGTGTAGGAAGGATCTTTGGCTGGTCAAAGACAGGGTAACCACAAAACCGGCCGCCCATGCACTACAACCTGCGGGAATTCTGGTGGTTAATTTGACCTATACTCATTGCAGGAGGATCTGGGTGCTGAATGGTACTGGCTTGATACGGGCTGAGAACAGTACTGAATGTTGTGGCGTCAAGCGTGATGTCACGAAGATGTGAGTTTTCGTCAGCCCATCACCTGATACAATCAGGGCTTTCTCGCTGTCACATCAGTTCTTGATCATCGGGGCTCTTCTGAAGATGCAATAATATGGTTCAGAAATGACACTCCCTTTTGGGCTTGGTATTCCTTTACCTTTAAAATGTGATAGCTTCAAAGCACATCGCATGCGAGAAATCGTGTGATGTTGAAGGCACTGGCGGCATCATGATTCCTGTTGGCCGGGAGGGGAAGAGGGGGGAGGGAGCCCAAATAAGCCCTTACTAAACTGTCAAGAAGGGCTTATTTGGGCTTCCTTCCCCTCCTCCCAAACCCAGCCCCCATGACATTTTCAGCGGATGGTTGACCGGATAGCAATCCAAATTAGACCAACAGTTTGTCAGGGTCTCACTTAGAAGGGCCCATGGCTTGGGGAAAAGGTTTTGGGTGAAATTTGGGGGGAGGCGGTTCCGGTGAGCTCGCAACCAGGATCCTTCGAATCAATGATCTGACTGTCTTCGATTCCTATTGCCGCTTTCGAATCTATCTGAATGTGTTGTGAGATCATATTTGCTATGCAAGTATGAATGGCGTGATCTCAAGCGGTCCACTGCAAAGGGCTAAATACTTGGCTAAGCGACGGCACAACACTGGAGTCATTCAAGGGATCATTTTGGAAGGGCAGGCAAGCGCGCAAAATGGCACTGGGCCTCATTGCTGTGCTTCGTCTCGACCATGCTGAGTGCAGAAAGCGCTCGTCGATTGTTCCATCGAGGGATTGCAATGTCTTCTCAAACGTGTTGACGGAGGGGAGAGGGGCACTCCGGGAACATCAGGCGACCGGACCAAGTTCAGCCTCTTCCTGAAGACATACATGAAGCTCTCGGGCTACATCGATGCGCAGGAGCCACGCATGGGAGTTCCTGAATACCCAGAATTGACACAACCTGGAATATCCTGGGGACAAGGGCTGCCTCCTGCTTGTGTCTTTTGTTGTTTGCCTTTGTTGCAACCTTGAAAATCCTTGGGAAGGGCTGCCTGCTGGCTTTTGTTTGCCTGGCAAGCCACGTACATGTCGAGTCGAATGGGAAAATTCTTCGTTTCTCCAAGCCTTGGGCCACGGGATGCCACGGGGCCATGGAACGGCCCGTTGCTTGAAGGGATCTTCGGTTCCTATGGGGGGTCTTTATATTTTATTGCCTCTGATTGTTAAATCAACAAATTGGCCAGAACAAGTTCTTCCTATGGTATAAAGGATATGTTTGTTGTGGGTATATATCTTTAATAGGTATACGGATCTTGGGGGATTGGGATCAGATCTGGTGGATGGAAAGCCGCTTCGTGCTTGCCGGTTTTCGGTTTTCCTGAGGCCTATGCCAGGCTTGGCTGCTAGTTGGTTCATATTTGAGTCAGCCCTGTGAGTTTGCTGGAAGAAGTGCGTGTGTTCCCTATCCAGGCCTTAAATGTGGCCAATCAACCAGCATTTGGGCCTACTTGTGTCATTTGGATGCCAGGCTTGCTGCACCGTCAGTAAGAGCTTATTCAAGGGCAGGGGTGCGGAATTCTCATGTTCCATGCAGGAGAACACACAATGTCGGTTCAGAAGTGCATGGCCTGCTCCCGGTTCTTGGCGTCCTGGGAAGGTGATGACTTGTCCAAATCATGCAGCATGCGCAAAGGTGCTGAGGGTGAGCCGGCACGTATGGCTCAAGCACAGAAAGGCCATTTGGTTTATCCTCTTTGCTTTGTTGTCCTGATCTAGCATGGTTCAATGTGTCAATCCATGTTGCTGTTTTATCCATGCTTAACTCATGAGTGCTTAGGGACCTGCTTTTTACTGTTGCCACTAGCGCCGAAATGCAACTCGCATGGGGTGAGCCTGACACATTTCGTTCAGGTGATATCGGTATTTTCCAACATGTTTCTTTTGGTTGTCAAGGGTTTTTCAATAGGGGCCAATTTACCCCCCGATAGCCGATTTCCCACTCCCAATAAAGGCTAACAGCAACTCATAGGGTCTACTAGGGGCTAACAGGGTCGCTTTTGGGGACCATTTCCAGGGGGTCTCGTCGCGGGGCCCCCGACAATGGGAGAAAACCAACAATATATTCAGTAGTGATAGATTGCCTTTACCAGCGGGGAAAATAGAACATATTCTTATGAAATGGAGAGAAAGCAAACGAAATTGACTTTTCGTGTTTTGCCTGGGAAAGGGCTGTGACTAATCCAGGATTTGTATGATTAAGAAAGGGGGGAGACTGACCTTTGAAGGGGGTACCCTTTATATGCTTGTCGCCCTTAGTGATAAATTTGCTGCTTCTGGCCAAATGAAATTCTAAATATCCGAAATGACAATCGTTGAACATGTAAACAAATGTAGTATTGGCAGTGGTATGGCAGTGGTATGGCAGTGGTATGGCAGTGGGATTTGCAATAGTTTGTGCATTCTTCCCCGGCAACCAATGTATTCAAAGGATGCCCATAAAAGAATAGATACTTTTACTCCCCCGAAAAGGAAACGACATGGAAATGCAGAAAACAAATGCAACAGAAAAGCTGGTGTTCCAACAAGGAATCAGAGGACGTCACTTGTTTCCTTGTATCATGCATCTGGCAGAATTGCAGCATCTGAGCCGTGTCTTGTCTCTCAAGTTGCCCCATACGTTGAATCGAAGTCCGTTGTCCATGGGTGTTTCTTGGTTCTGTCTTGTTCTTGGGGGACAAGTGTGCATCCCGCCATTCCCCTTCGGAGTCAAGACTCCTTGGACTACGCGAAAGGAAGAAAGAAATAAAGAAACAAAGAAATAGTCAATGAAAGAAATGTATTAAACAAATAACGAAACACGCAAAACAGAAAGAAAAGAGAAACACAAAAAGCATAAATATAGAAACCTATAGCACAACTAAGGTTTCGCAAAAAAAAAAAGCAGGATATGCCCTTGGCCCTGGACGAGGAGGACGTACAGCAGGCTTTCTTTTTGTTGAAGCCGGGCCACTCCTTGGGACCTGGTTCAAAGATTCTCGGGGTAGCTTCCATGTCCGGATTCTTTCCAGCGATCCGGAAAAATTCTAGAAAACCCCCCCAAAAACCCCGGGGAAAGGGCGATCGGTGTTTGAGTACGGTGGCTGGACAGAATGGACGTTCGGAATCAACCCCTGGTCGTTTTGGTGTCGCCCCACTTTTTTGCGGACCGTGGAGTGCCATCGGAACCACCGTGGATGAGTGGTAAGGGGCACCCGAAGGAACATCTCCATTTCCGGGGGTCCAATCAGCTTTTTGGCCGCGAGTTTTGGCTGCGAGTTTTTGTTGAGGTTGGACCCCCGACCTGGCTTCGTGTGTTGATTGTTTGGGCAATATAGGATGTTTTCATATGTGTTTTCCCTTTAAAGCCCACCAAACAGCGGGTACGGACTAAAAAATCAATCCCAGAGGACTCGTTGGGCTTTGCTTGCGAACTGCTCAAGTCAACAAGCCTATGCCGGCTTCGAGTTTTGGATTCAGGCTCAGACATTGGAGCCCGTCTGAAGTCCTGTGGCCAACACTAAGGGGAGTAAATTATCGGAGGTCCACACAGCTACAACGCGGTGCCGCTCTCGTGTTTGCCGGGTAAACTTCTGCGCAAAAGTGCTGAAGACGATGGGAATGTCTGCTCAGCCGGCTGGGAGAGCTTTTGTGTTTGGATTACTCCAATTCGCCAGAAACCTGGTAAGAATTAGCTAAGGGGCATACGCGGATGTAGTCATTGGATTCTGATCGACGACCGAATGTTGCCATTGGGTTTACGACTTCCCAAAGCACGCCTTGAGCGGAAGTACCAAAGAACACCTGCAGCTTCAATTCGGTCCTCAGGTCTCCGGGGGAATGAAACCGTGTTGCGTAGGTGCAACGCTTCAAGATGCACCTTGGCAACCTGCTGGCCATCCGCAACATGCCGAGTGCTCGGCTTGCCCGTCCGCCCGAAGAACGTTCTTCGCGGGCGCAGACAATATGTCATTTTGGGAAGTTGAGGTCAGAGAAGAAATCCAAGCCGGAAAAGCGTTGAAAACGAGGGCTAAAACTCCCGCTTTCAGGAAACCACAAATGTTGCAACGTTTGACGGTTTTTTATGGATATGAAATCTAACACTGAACCATTTAGCTTGAATGATACCGTGCGAATGATAGGTTGTTGTTTGTCGAATACACATGGTTGTTCTACAGTGTCGATTGTAGCTAACGGGACAATTATCATGCTTAGGTGCATATGCCAACACGGTTGGGCTCATGCAGGCCGGCCTTCGGCCTCGTCTACTCTGGAAATTGTCGTCTGAAAGTCTCCAAGAGACGAGGTCGTGTGGGCCATGCCGTTCGTGTCTGAGAGACACCCGCATGAGTCACTTGCTCAAAGCCCGGAGAATTGGAGGGTCAGGCACAATCCCCTTGCCAGAAATGGGTGTGCGGGGATCCGCCCGTTTCGATTCTTGAAGCATGGTGGGCACATGGTTGTCGTTGGGAAACATTTTGCCCATTTTTGCTCATTGTGGTTTAGTGGTTGAAATCCAATTTCAACCACTTAACTGCTAAAATATAATTGTTTGCTCCCCTTCCAACGTCAACCAAGGGTAGACCATTTTACCACCGATCGGTTTTGACTCACTGCTTATTGGGGCGAGGGCACCTTAGCGACTCCTGAAGTGTTAGAACTCGGAGGCGCCTGAGCCGTAAGGCGTACAAAAGGCTTACAATCCCAAGATCATTTAGTGGACCAGTTTTGGCATTGGACCGCTTACAATCCCAAGATTGGACCAGTTTTGTCCACTACTACTGGACCAGTTTAGTAAATCTGGCCCACTCATACTGTTTTGGGATCGGACCATGTTTGTGGCAAGCCAAAAAAGTTAGGTCTACTTTTTGTGGCCAACCGACGGGAGTGAGAGGCGGGAGGTATCACTCTTGTTCGGATTGCCTTCTGTGTTTCCAGAAGTCATAGCCTTCGATAGCGTTGTACATCAAGGCAGCATGGCGATGTTGACAGGGTTTGCCGCGCAGCTTTGTATTGATCGCTGTTTGGCCTTATTTCCAGCCCTGTCAAACTGTGATGGTTGTTGATATAATATGGAGATAAAGTAGACTTGCCATTCTGAGGCTTGCAGACACCAACCATAGTTGCCATGGTTCGCGTGCGTGAAAGCCTAGTTGGATATCCCAAATTGACAATTGGTTTGTATTTGCCTGCATGGTAGCTAAGACAACTCAAGACTCCTTTGTCAATCAACGGTGTTCAATGCCTTTGAGGACTGAGCAGGAATTCGGTGTGTGTTTGTTTTAGTTTGACTGCACATGGCTTTGCTACCCCATGGGCCATTCTTCGACACCGGCATTTGGACTCGCGTGCGCTGAGGCTGCCATTTCCTGTCGCCTCTTGTCAAAAAGTGGAGTGGTGTTTGGATCGAGAAGTTGCTGGAGCTCAAGGTACCGGGGCATAACGCACACACACACACACACTCGAGAGGAACAAGGGAGTGACATCTTAGCGAAGCATCGTCTTGCAGTGCATCTTGCCAGGTTTTGTGCGAGGGCTGATTCTGGCCATCCCGGAAAACCCGCCGTAGGCGGCATAGTTGAGCATTTGATTGGTCTTCGAAGTTTGTGTGTTCTACATGTTTCTCGCAGGCTACGTTCGGCCGCAAGTGGAGCACAGCATGGCGGTTGTCAATGCCCATGCCCTTCCGGAGCCCTCAAAAACGCTCCCCCCCAATCTCACTCAGGGCTGCTAGCTTTGAATGGTGCCTGACAAGCTGTGAAAAGGTCCTGCTTGGGCAGTGCGAAGGATTCCATTGAGGTGGTTTGGGCAGCCGCAAGTGAACATGGTTGGAGCCAGCGGGTCGTGAGAGGAGGCTGACTTCTTTTTGCCCACTTTGGGACGACCACCATTTTGGTGGTTTTGTGGGCGACCTCAATATTGAGACGCCCTTGTCCACATTCTGGAAGGGTGACTTCATTTGGGCCACTTGACCTTCGACGGATCTCGAGTTGAGCCAAAGACACTGGAAGGTACCACCCCCCTGGAACATACTAGCCAACAAGTTAGCAGGTTTGGGTAAAATAGCCATGACAGAGGTTTAACTGCCATACTTTTTGTTCTTTTTTTTCTGGGGCCCGGTCAGCGTGGGAAGTCTGTCCGTGAACCGGCGAGTTCCACTAAGGGCACTATAAACATAGCAGCGGATTTGACTTAAAGCTGCTTCAAGACTTCACTTCCAATACTGTGGATGGACGAAATCCGTTCCGCACCACTTTGAATCCATGGTTGAACCCATAACGCTTGTCGGTAAATACGAGGGATCATCAATCCGGACACCGCGGTCCACGATTTCTCTGCAGATTTCGCAAGCATCCGCAGCACAACTCGAAAACAAAACGCATTCGAGTGATCGATTGGAATTGAAGTCTTGAAGCAGCTTTCAGTGAAATCCGTTGGGAATGTTTATAGTTCCCAATAATGAAATTCCCCGGGACACAGATCGATGTGACCCAAACGTATCGGATCGGTCGACTTCCATTTGGGCACCCATTTGCTCAAGAGTTGTTTTTCCCCGTTGTTGGTTTTAGAAAGAATTTATCACTAAAAACACTTTGCTCAAGACCCCCTTGTTGGTTTTAAAAGGATTTGTTTCCAGGGGTCGAAAACGCAAAGGGACGTCGAAGGTCCTGCAGCTGGCGGCGCCGGACAATAGCTTCAAGGACGTGCCGCTGCCGGAGCCCAGGCCGATCTGACATCCTCTGATGGGGTCGGAGACCTGGGCATCCCAGGTTCTATTTTGGGAGGCGCCCACAAACTCTGCTATCCAATAGAAACCCACGCTGGAAATCTCCAGGCGATTTTAGGCTCAGATAGAGAGCCGGAGCCCAAGTTCCATAGTCAAAGCCTGTCTTGGTTTCCACAGCTTGCCCAGGTTGACACACCCCTCCTCCTTTGGTTTTTCGTTGAAGAACCAACGTTTGAAAAAGGGGTTTGCTCTCCTGGTGGTTGCGCAGGTCGGAATGGTTTGCGAGGTTCGAATGGTCCGTGCCGCGTTTTTTGGTTTCGCCAAGCTGGGAATTCAGAGTACCTGGAGCCTGGAGCCGGACCAGGTACTTTAATGGGGCCAGGATGGTGGCTTGAAAAAAGGGTTTAGCGGCGTTGCTTTGCTTGGCACACCGCCTGTTGTTGTGTGTGTTCTCTTCGTTTTGTTTTTTGGTTTTGTTTTTTGTTTGTTTTTTTGGCGAGGGAACCTTTGAAAACGCCTTTTTTGTGGGGCCAAGCTGCTTGGATCTTTCTGAGAACCATTTTGCACGTTGGTTCAAAGGAAAGCCGCCAGGAAGCGGTGCAAGTGTTGGGGGGGTCTCCCAAGTTAACACCAGATGGCCAGGTTGCATGCCTGCACACATGCCAGCGCTTATGGCATTTGTGAGTGGCACTCACGAATCCCTCAGCAGAAATACGCCCCGCTCAACTGAAGATCCGGTTTGACCCTTGGATCAAAATCTAAGTCGCGGCACGAGAACAACTTCGAGGTTTGCTTTGGCGGTCCACAAGCGTAGATTGAATTCGAAGAGCGCTGATCAGTCATGTCGGATGGGACGTCTTGACTGACCACCTCTCATGAGGAAGGAATTACCCTTTTTGCCGCCACGATGATTTGGTGATCTGAACATCACAGGGTCACGGCAACTCAGAGCTAGCATCCCTCAGGAGCGTCCCATTTCAGAGAGCATCTCTTACTTCTGGGGGCAGACAACACTCCTACTTGAAAAGGCGTGGATGGAAAAATATCCATCATCGGTTGGTACAGGGTTTTTAAAGAGTAAGTTGGTGTTGCCCATCCCAACTGCGAACATGACTTAGTTCATTACATGTAAAATGATTATGCATGACCCGATTTTCAGCAAAATAGTTTTGTCCATCCCATACATATAGCTTTAGCAATGCAGCTCGGAAGCCGATAGCTCTGACTGCCAGAGCCACCTGGCAGGTCTGTCAGCCAGCTCTTGGAGACGAGGTTCGGGTGCGAGTGGCGGGCCTGCGAACACAATTGTGTTAGGATGTTGTATGAAAAATGTGAACTGGACTTGAATTGAACATATTTCTATACCACACCACCCCATTCTGAAGAGCTAACCCAATTATCCCCAAAAATGGATGCAACAACAATTACCATCGAAGCAGTCCACCCAAGCAAGGCTAAAACTCAACTGTTACCATTCTCTCCCTTTGCCGACTCCCAGCAGCCCACCAGGCCTCTCCAAAGCAGGGGCGGTCAGCCTTGCCCTTGTTGTTTTGCCCACATCCATGTCATGAATCATTGCCAAGGCGACACTGACAAACACAAAGCCCGTGGCTTCACGGCAAGCATTGAAGCATCCTCCTGATGGCACCGCGGGCCCCTCATCAGCCAACCCACCGAAGTGGTGCCCGCGAGCCAATTTTCCACAAGCTTCCAATTCACTTCCTCATTCTTTCAATGGGGGCCCACGCAGCAGCCCACGCAGCAGTTGTCATCACTTTCGGGAGGAAAGACCGGAAATCCTAGAAAATTGGATGCTTGGAAAGAATGGGTTTTAACCGAAAATGTGGCCTCATACAACACTTCCCCATTCTTTCTGGTTTTCCAATTTTCACCCAAAACAGATGCAAAAGCGAAAAACAAATAACAGAGACACACTGACCTTTGATTGAAAGAACGATGCTGGGGGACAGAACGATGGGGTGGGGAAAGAAGGGAAATAATGATGGTTGTGGGGAAAGAACGATGGTTGGGGAAAGAACGATGGTTGGGGAAAGAACGATGGCCCTGGGGAAAGAACGATGGTTGTAGGGAAAGAACGATGCCCCTGAAAACACAACGCTGCCAGTAAGATCGATTGCCTGCAGCGGCATGACTTTGGCAGGTCAGGGGAAGGGGTTGTCTAGTCTATTGGCCCTACCCCTAGCCCGCGGGACAACTTTCTGCATGCGTCAGTGCTCGCTGCAGAAAAAAATCGAAAACTGGGCCGAAACCGGCTGGAAAGACCGATCGTTGCACTGAGTGCGCATGTGACGAAAGAATGGGGAATCAACCCTTAGAATATTATGTGTTGTTTAAAGTGAACGACTTCAAAAACAGCTTACATGAGAAGGAGAGCTGTTGGGTACTTCTCCGAGCACGCACGCTGGACACGCCCTTGCTTTGGAAAGTGCACTTGATGTAATGGGCGATCCTGCATTCTGGGGATTCATGGACCACAATGGAGGCACGTGCTCTCGAACTCAGGATCTCTAGATGTCGTGAAAGGCGTGCAAGCGCAAAGCATGTTGCAGTGATCTCATTGCCCATCTCCCAGAGATGCGGGCCACAGGCTTCAGCAGACTTCCGACCACCAGCTTCGCCCGCACGCGACAGCTCGCAGACGCGCAGACATCTGGCGCATTCCAATGCGACTGGGGAGAGGTGCCCCTTGTCTGGCTGACTCCTTGAAGCTCCACGCCAGTAACTTGTTTCGGGTGTAGATGATTTTTCAGTGGCCCAGTGGAATCCGCAAACTTTAACCACTTTTTGGTGGGAAGGGCTCCCCTTTAAACGCAAGCAACTAAAATGGATGCACTTGTTTTCCCATGGCCACTAGGCATCTGCGTGATGTAAGAAGTTGCCATATGCGAACATGGTGCTGCACATGCCTACAAAATCTAGAGGTAGGTCCTCAGCGCAGTTCCAGCGAGACGGACAGGACTCAGGACCCTCAGCGTTGGAATGAGGGAAGTGGAAGTGCCCATAAATCCACCAACGCGCAACTGTTCAGTCGCACCCTTTTTTCCTTTTACCTTCTCTACAAATGGCTAAATCGTCTTCCCGAGAAAAAAAAGGGGATATAGCTCTTGTTCTACAATTCGGGCCACTGATAGAGTAGAGACCTGATATTTGAGGGGAGCTTTGTTTTCCTTCGGGAGAAAGGACGACCTTTTTTGGGGGAGAAGCAAACATACATACATGCATACATGCATACATACATACATACATACATACATACATGCATAGATCAATACATGCATGCATACATACATACATACATACATACATACATACATATCGGGAGAAAGGAAACTCCCCTGAGTCATGTTTTTTGGGGGAGGGGCCGGTTCCTTTTGGTTGGAAGGAAAGCTGGGCATGGGACGAGGGGTTTGCCCGCCAGGGACTGCTCCAGCTCTTCGCCGCTTCGGCGGGATTCGAGGAGTTGATGGCCAGGCTGCCTCAAACGAAGACGAAAGCTTTGGTGCATTTTGGAACCTATTTTAGAACCTATTTTTGTGGGGCTTGGGATGTTCACTGGGGGTAGGATTTGGATTTTGACCCATGGCCATACTACGGACATCTACGTAGACATCCACTCTTTGGTGCATTTTGCTTGGATGCTAGGAATTTTAACTTTTTGACAATGAATGGGTTTTCCGTATTAAACCACTGACAGTTTAAAACTGTTAGCAGGGGAGCAGCAAGCAACCGAGAATGGGTTCCCAAAAAAGCGGGGACTCGGACCCCTTGTTTGCACGGGCTCTTAAAGGGAAGCCGAAAGCAACCCACTCAATTACCTAGAGGGGTCCCTGATTTTGAGAAGCACCCAGTTTATCATATGTCACCTGCAGATCATTGGCTGTTGATTCCCGCATGGGCCGCAAATCCAAAGTGGCAAACGCCCGGAAGGCAGCGGACACAAAGCTAGCAGACAACTTGGCGTTTTTCCTGCCGTCCGGTTCCTCTGGTGTTTAGATCAGGGGTGTCCATTTAACCCACCAAAAGTTAGTCACTTTTAGCGGGGGAGAAAGCAACCGAGAATGGGTTTCCCAAAAAAGCGGGGACTCGGACCTCTTGTTTGCATAGGCTCTTAAAGGGAAGCCCAGAAAAGAGGGGAATCCCATTTATCGCAGTAAAAGGTTAAACTTGTAGACTGAAGCTTTGTCCCATGGCTAAGGTCTTGTTTGACCAAAGCCTGAGCTGAGTTGAGCCATACTCAAAACCCGGGTAAGTGAAGGTTTGCAAGGCAGACATGGGTCGCTTTTCAAACAATTCTTTTGTTTGGCTAGACAGCTTATAACACTTAACTCCAGGTTCTAATTGTGATTCAATTGATCTGCAAGTTCATCGTGTCAGCCTTAATTAATAGCGGAGACATGTCCGCCCAAAAGCCAAACCTTGAATCTCAACGATGTTGCCTGGCGCAACATGAGCTTGTGCTTTGTGTGTGTGTGTGTGTTTCAGGGCCGGTCGGCTTCCGTTGGGGTTCTAGAACCCCAAGTCCCTTCCGGGGTGTCCCTTGACAATTACTTGGCTCTTTGGTCACGGATCTGACTTTGACTTCTGGAAAGTGGGCCAAAGTTAAAGCATTTGCAGGTCAGAAGCCAAAGTTCCATGCTGTTTGGGGCACCTCATTGTTGTTTTAGTTCGAAGATTTTCAAGGTGGTTGAGGGGCTTTCTTTCAGGGTTTCCAAGCATGACTGATGAACGGACTGGCATGGAGTATGTATATAAACATATATGACCATGTGATCAGGGGTTCGCAAGTACCCCCCTATACATAGTGTAATGATGATGCTACCCCCGACCCCCGCCCACCCGGCCAAGGACCTCCGTTTGGCAGCAGACACTGCAGATCTTTAAGATCCATGTAGACTCAAACTTTGAGAAACACAATCTTGGTTAGCTCTTTGAAATTGAAGTCCGATTCAATCTTGAATAACGTGTTTGACTTGGCTAAGTGCATGCAATTTCGAGTCAAATAAACTTTAACATCAATTTTGGAAAGGAGGTCCTACTGCAAACAGCTTGAAAGTTGAATGTTTTGAAGGTGATAATCAGCAAACCATCAATATGGGGGAAAGGAATTGAATCCTATCTCAATTGCTGTTTGAAAACAACATCCACATCACGAAATAACGAGCATGTTTCACGTCCTGGCGCAGTTCGCTGTACATTCCAATAGAATTCCATCAATGTGACTCCGATTACATTAATTCAATCCTACTAAATTCAATCTTGGAAAGCAATCCGCCTCTCAATTTTGCGTTGCTTATCTAATTCGATTTCAAAATTTGTCGCTCGGTTACATCTATTGAACACCAACTATGGGGAGAATATGCATTCTGCATAGATGTTTCAAGTTCAATCCAGTTGCAACTTCAACTGGTTGCATCTCCTTATACATTTGAACATCAAACAAATGGAGAAAGCAGCTATTGAAATTACCAGTTGACATGGAAATGCATTTCCGTATCACAAGGATCGCTTTCCTGATCTCGTTCCGTGGATCTTGACCAAGCACGAACTGAGCCAAGCTGGGCCTGTGCAGTAACATGCTGGATGTTTCTGCATCTGTCAGTTCATTGTCCCCCCCTCAAATTGAAAAGGACCGACTGGGCAGGGTATGTCATTGAGGGGCTTCACACTGGACACTTCCTATCAAGCTTGAAAGGGTTCCACATGACCAGAACCCTTAAAAGTTGTATGAGGGGGGGTGGATCCTTCGACGGTGGTAGTGTTTGACACATCTTTAACGCCCCCACCATACTGGTATATGAGTTCGTGGCACAACATGAAACTTGCGCAGACATTTTTTGGGGGGGAACGTTGGATCCCAGCCAGCTCAGGACGCTTCAAAGTTTTTGGAACAGCTTGAAAGTCTTTGTTGAGCTTGCTCCAAGATCAAGGTCCAAGAAATCACAAAGTTCCAGAGCATTTTAGACCTTGGATCCAGCCAACAAACAGTTCAAGTTTGTCCAACATGTATCCAGATTTCCCACAGCACATGGTTGTGCAGTCTTGCATCTTGGATCCAATCCAAAAACAACTTTAAAGACAGATATATATATATATATGTATAATCCTATGTACATGTGTATATAAAGAAATACACATTTTCATACATAATGAACAAAGCAACGAAGCCTGCCATGATCAGACAATTGGGCCCAGGTCCTTGTCCCTGGACCCACTGGAGCGGGTGAAAGAGGAGCCGGTGCGGTGCTTCTCGCAGGACCGCATGCGACCCAGTTCCGAACTCCGGATCGAGGATTTCTCGTGTTTCTTTTCGTTCGGGATGGGAACAACGATGCCTCCAGATGGGGCAGCAGCCCCTTTAAAGGACCGGATTTGGTTGCAGCCTCAAGGTTTCAATGCTTTGAAAAAGCGGATTGACGCGTCACAGCAGCTTTCGCATTGTGGATGCTGTGGAAGAGGGGGTTCAAATGTAGTCGAAGTGGGGAGGACCCAAAGGTTCTGGTTGAAATGCCCAGAGAGAGGGGGACATGCTTTGACAATTCTCTGGGTGATGCTGGAAGGTCCAACGAGAAAGCCGCGCCATGTTTTCGCCAAGTGTAAGAGACAAAATCTGCCAGCGTCACCCGACAAAATGGAGCATGACTCCTCGCTGAGCCGAGCGGTGTTTTTTTTTTTTTTTGTTTTTTTTTGTTTTTTCCGCTGCACTGTGATGTTCATAGAGTCACCAGGCTAATTTCCAGTTCGTAGATGTCCACCCATGAACAATATCCAGCGTAGCAACCTTGTATCCTGTCTATGTCCATTGACCACCATCAAGGGTTCGCTAGGTTCTGATTCGGGGTGCTTGACTGGTCTCAGGAGGTGTTTTCAAAGATAACATGTCGCATCGTCGCCAGCTTGCACAGCCCTTGAGCCGTCATCTTGCTGATGCTCACAAGCAAATCGAACACTTGGGGGTGGGGGAACTTGTGCAAAGTCCGATGTGCATCTCATACCAGCACCCACAGGATTGCACGCGCCGCCAGTTGGACAGGTTCAAATCCCATTTGGAGTGTTCTATCCCGGGCACTTACACTGCTGGTAAATCAGTTGCGCTGTTGTTTCCCCTTCCCCCTGACCGTTTTTTGGCTGCCCACAAAACAAACAGCACTGAGCCACAACAAGAGCTAGCAGCACTCTTTTCTGGGTCGGGACTCATGAAATCCATCAATTTCCCTCCCACCCTTTTTCACATCGAACTGTTCGACGTTCGGGACCATTCCCTTTAAAAGGAAGACGGCAACCAAAGCGGAGCCCCCCGGTTACGTCGAAGACTGCCAGGACCTGCCGGGGGAGGAGCTTCTTCAGCATACCCAGCCCTGATCCCAGCTGCCGACGCTTGCACGGTGTTTGAGGCCACTTTCTTGACTGCTATTGGGTTGGATCTTTAGACTTTATTTGTTTGGGACATCAAGGGGTTTTCCACTAAACCCCCAAAAAGTTAAACATTTGGCAGGGCGGTCAACAGCAACCAAGCTTTGGTCATAAATTTCGACGCGAGGGTTTGGATCTGGGGTGGAAAAGAGTGTATGTTTCAAAGGGTCAGCCGGCAGCCAAGAAGCCAGTAAGTCGCAGAGTCACTCCGACTTTGTACGCGTGCAAGATGTAGCATCTGTAGTTCGCAACAGGAATCGGTGCACGCTCAGGGTCGGGTACTTCTGGGCTGAGGGTCAATTACCAGGTACCAATCCATTCCCATTCTGCGCACAGATGGACTTCTTTGTGGTCTTGCGCACAAAATGCCTTTACACGTCACATACAACCACTGGGACTGAGCGACAATGAAAAGTTATGGAGCTGCTTCTGGTTGCTGAATATGTGAACAAGCTTGGTTTCAATCCTAACGGCCAGCAAGCAGGCAGGGGATTCCGGTACTCTCGCTGACCCAGTTTGGTCGTTAAACAGACACACTTCTATGAGAAGAACTTGCGCGGGAAATTGGTCAGGGTGTGAGTTAACGTGAGGGTGTTGTGTTTTCTGTTTCTTCTTTTATGGGGACCCCCATGGTGGTTTGCTTTTGGTTTCCCTTTCAAACCAGCAAAGAATGGGTACCAGCTCAAACAAGCCACACCCATGTCTGCAAATTGATATCCCCGCAATCCCCAGCTCATCGCCCCCTGCTCATTTTAGAAGAAAGCGACTTGTTCCTTGCCATCACTTGCAAGTCGCAACGGCAATGAGTCCTCTCAACCAAGGTTGTGTGTTGGCTATGGGATGCAGACATGGGCACTTTGATTCTAGATGTGTTGAGGCTTGGTGCACGCATGCCCCTTTTGGGAGTGTTGTACAGATACTCAAAGCAAACGGGCGCGGTTAGTTCTCGCCTGCTCATGCCTGCTCAACCACTTTTTGCATCGTGCTTGCATGCATTTCAAGTCAGTGCTGCGCACGAACCCGTGCATGCATACTGAGAATCTTTGCCTGAGGTGACCAGTCGTATAAAAGGACACATTGATGCAGCCTCACCAGCTATAAGTGAGCGCAGACGACAGAGTCTTACATGATGTCCATAGTATCCTGCCGATGTGTTCAAGACCAGTTGGCAGGCTTCACTGTGTTGGCGGCACACAAAAGTATCGAGCTCGACAGCACTGCCACACATGTCTCTGAACCAAGTGGACCATGGTTGCCACTTTAGTGTTGCTTCAATATTCCCGAACGATGGAGCTGACAGGATGAGCCTTCTTAACGTGCCGTGTGAAGTGGTTCGCCTAGGCTGGATGGCATCAGTGCGCTGGCATTGCCGATGCCTCAGTTCGGAGGTTGCTGATGGAGCTTATGCCTTCAGCCCTGCAGTTGTGACGTCGACTTACAAGCCCCGTTTCGTATGGAAACACGGGGCCGTTTGTCTCCGTAGTGGCGTGTTTTTATTCTCAACACTTCTTCATGGACCCTGGATTGATGGCTATGTGGTACCGATTCGCTGGACTTTAACTTCTTGGTTGGAGCAGGTTGGATTTTTCTAGGGGTAACTTCTCCATTTTTTCCAGGGATCCTGCTTTCTAGAAAACCACAAAAAACCGGGAAATGGCGATCGGTTTTTGAAAGAACGATGGCTTAAAAGAATGGACAAGGAATCAACCCCTAGAACTTTCCGTAGACCCACAACAAGTCGACCGTTTTTTGCTTTCTGGGGTCGTCTCCGCCAGCCACCACTTGAAACTTCCCTGTTGGGCTTCCGGGTGTGAGCTCTGACTTCAAGGCTGGGCTTCCAGCCATCCAGCTCCAGACGGGGTTTTAGTTGCTTTGAATTGATTTTGTGGTCCACGGGATCCGAAAGAAAGCCCAGAAAGGAATGACACAGGGCGTTCAAGTGTTTCAGGTGAAGCATACTATGAGACGGGATCAAAAGTATAATATTTAAATGACGACATTGTTTGTATACTCTTCCTTGCAGACTGCACAAAAAAGCGAAGCAGGACTGAACGCACACCATTTGTACCATATCCCACAAGACGAAAACCTGGGAATCCACAGCGGGACTTACGAAACATCATCTGAATACATTGCGTGGACTGCGAGGACCAACTTTTCACGATGGTTTGCATGTTTCCCTTGCTTATTGGAACATATGTTATTTGCCTTCATGGAGAGGGCTACAATGACTTTTACATGGTTGTTGTTGGGAAACATTTTACATTTTTGCTTATTGTGGTTTAGTGGTTGAAATCCCAACTTACCTGCCAAACAATATTTTTTAGCTCCCCTTCCAACGTCAACCAAGCATAGGGGGATGAATCTGTAGATTTGCCAACAGGTTATTGTTCTCAAGTCAACAGGCTAGATTTCCGGTTGAGGTGGTACTCGCTTTTTGCATAGTGAGTATTGCTTTGCATGGGGCACCTGGAACAGATAGCGCAACCGGGTTGAAGTATGGTTGTCAGGCAGCAGACTCTCTGGCATAGGTGTCGTTTTTGGTTGTTTTGGTAGACAAATAGAGGCCCTGGTTTACGTGGTGGTTTAATTATCTACCAGGGCCATCTATTTCCCCCAAAAAGGACGCCTATGCTCTCTGGTCTTATTATAGATTTCTAAGCTCTCTCCACGCACTTCGGGAACACAACAACAGGGCTCTGAATCAGCTTGCAAACCGAAACCGCAAAGATACTATTTAGGCCTTTGAACAGGGGCGATGCGCAGATCAAGTTAGTTAATTCAATCGACATTGCTATTTCGACAGACAGCACCCATTTGTTGAAAAGATGTCAGCTCTTCGTGCAATAGCAGTAGCGGTTCCAGCAACCAACTAGACTGCCGGACTCAGCATTGCAGGGTTGCCAACAAAATTCTAGGGGTTGATTCCAACTATTCTTTTCAGCCATCGTTCTTTTCAACAGCAAGCCATTTACTCTGAGTGTCTTGAGGAATAGAAAGAAGGAAGGATCCCTGGAAAGAATGCAGAAGGTACCCGTACAAAAATCAACCACACTTTGCCCAACAGGAATTTGTTTGTCTTGATGCCCTTGCAGTATTCAGCCATCGGATGGTCCTATTGGCATGCCCTTGTGAAGCATTGTAGTGGGAGACTTGAAGCCACCTTACCTCGGGGGCAAGTGACCTGTTGCAGCGTCTAAGAATCACACTGTGGATGTCTACATGGCCTCAGTTGCTTCATTCACGTCCACACGTTGAAGCAACTCCGCATATGTTCTTGCGCATTTGCTTATTTCAACTTTACTCTAACATGAACGGTTCAACTGTGCTTTGATACATATACCCATGTCTCAACCATGAAATGAACATATTCTCATTTAATCAAGCTTACAATGAATATAGCTTCCTTTGACGTACCCATAATTCCCTCCATGCTTGTCTAATGAACATCGTTTCTAGTCATATAATTACCACCAGGGTTCCACTTTTTGACTACCCTAGGGTAGACTTAAACCAAGCGGTGGTCCGTTACCCTCAAAAGGGGAATCCCTGGGTTTAAGTCTATCTAGTCAAAAAGTGGAACCCTGATTACTACAACTTCAGGTAGTCACTATGACTTCCTGGTGCTCAGTAGGCAATAAGTTGGAATGACCCCTATAAACCAGGTTTCCTTCCAGGGAATCCCCAAATGGTTCATTCCATTTCTCATTCCCCGGCGATCGCACCAGCAAGTTATGTTTTTGCAGTTATGTCTTGTGTTGAACCAGTGACCATTTCCTTTCAAAACGGAACGGGAAAAATAAACAACATATCCTTCAGAAAGGATATCGCACAAGTAGGACAACTCCCTGGGACTTTTTCTCGTGCGTCTTTGCCTTCGGCCTTCGGGAAGGAGCGCTGCCGAGCGGCAACGCCTCAACGCCCGCGGCATCGCCACATACGCACCCCGGCCGTGGGTTCTGGATACGAAATCTTGAGTTCCCATGGGACCAACCACCTAAGTGGGTTTCCAATGAGAAAAGCCTGCAGTTCTTCTGATCCTATGTTTCCTATGGATTGTTGTTTGATCATACGGCTCTTGGTGGTTTGTTGCTTGGTGTCTGTAATGTGGTGCTTTGCTTTTTGGTTTCTTTGGGAATGTCTTTTGGGCTCTGGTGTGTTTCTGGTTTGTTTTATTGGACAGGCTCTTGTTACATTGACTTTGACTTGATTCGCCATGCTACCGTTGTCGATCCGAAAGACCCTCCTGGCCGCAATGGCCCTCAGGAAACAACAACCCGTGTAGGATGCCTGGATTGGCAGGCTTTCATTCGGGAAGAAGGTTGCCTTCGTGAAGGAAGTGGCATGAGGAAGGATATATCTTCCTTCCATATCAGCCATTCAGACGATTCTCATGCCGAATCTGCACTGATTTCTAAAGTTTGTTTAACGGACCCCAACAGGAAAACCACCATTTTGGAGGTCCGAGAAAGAAAAGGAAAGAAACATAACACACGCACACACACACACACACATGTATCCGAGTTCCGGCTTGCCGGCGGAGCGACCGGGACAGAGGTTAAGCATTCAGGGAGCAACCATTGCTGTTGCCCTCTCAGCTGCAAGTCGCCGAACAAGCCATTCGTAATCGCCTAGCTTGTCCGCCAGCGATTTTTGGTAGGCTACCCGGTTGCCCAGTGGCGTAGGGGAGTAGATAGTCTGTTTGTTCAAGGAATAGTGAAGCACTCACTTAGTTTGTTGGCTCCTTCTAACCGGTTCATGCGTGAGACTCTGTTATGCCGAGAGATTAGCTGGTCATGCTAGTCAATTGATTGTCAAGCGTTTTGGCTAGAAAGTTGCCCTGTGCTTTCTTAACTCGAAAACCAATCCGTTGGTCAGTTGGCCAGTTGGCTAGTCAGATGGCTAGTTAGGAAGATAGCTATGTTGCTCGTGAGTTGATGATGTCTCCAGTCCGCTGATTTGTTAGTTGCAGTTATAGCTAGCTTATCAGTTAGTGAGCCTGTTAGTCAGATAACTTGCTGATTCTCAGATTTTAAGTTCCTTTAGTTCCTTTATTCGGGAATTCATTCCCAAAACGCTGGGTTTTCCCAATCGCACCATCAAACAATTATTTCGTTTCTCAGCCCCAGGCAGTTTGAGTCAAACCTTGACAAGAGTCAAAAGGATCCAGAGGTTTGCGGTAGCATCGTATCCGAAGGTGAAAGTTAAGTGGCAATTGCTACTGCTTCGTGCGAACGGGGATCTGTCTTTTTTTGGGGGGAGCCCACAGATGGTAGTTTTCCTTTTGGTGTCCCTTAGTAGAAAACGGGTACCCTCAAGAAAAGACACACCAATGTCCTTGGAACGTAATTTCCTATAGTGCTTGACACATAATCAGGATGTTGGTTTTGCTATGGTCAGGCAACTGACTGCAACTCAGCATTCATCATTCGGACGGGCGGCAAGACACGGGAACTTTCTTGCTGGACTCGAAGATGCCAAGACAAATTCAGTGGCCAGAAGGATACCCACATTCGCGACACACGATCGGAGAAAGCCTGGAGTTTTGTTGAGCACCCAACATTGAAGCGGTTGGTTTATGTGATCGAGTTCGCGTGGCAGACACAGGTTCCTCGATTAAGAGATATCAGTGTTGGAATAGCCTAGAAGCAGGTGGTGCCGGCCAAGCGTTGCCTGTCCAGTCGCTGTCTCATGTGAGTCTGGCCATTGAATTCGCAAGCACTCGGCGCTCCGAGGTGCTGGGCGTGGATCAGGAGGCATGGCGAGGGATGACTCGAATGGGGGGAGAGAATCTAAGCCCTGAAGCTACAATTCTGGTATCCTCCATGTCCATTTCCAGGGATCCGGATCTTTCTAGAAAACCACCCAAAATTTTAGGGAAATGGCGATCGGTGTTTGAAGAGAACGAAGGCTGAAAAGAATGGGGAATCAACCCCTAGAACAATGTTGAAGGTATCTAGCCCTCAAAATAACTCCCTGTAAATTGGGGACCAGCTTATTTTACGAGCTCACCTTCGGAATTCATTGCACCCTGCACGTGCAAAAACCATGGTGCGGCACCGTAGAAGCAAACAGCAATGGAGTCTCTCGACAAGAATGCCACACAAATGGCATGGGCGTGTCGATTCGGACCCCCAAAATGGTTGTCCTTTTGGTTTTCCTTTAAACCACCCAAAGAAGTGCCCCAGGGTCCCCGAGCCACCTACATAGATCTAGTCAGAGTGAGCTTATCGCCAAATGGTTTTTCCGGGTCCTCGGTCGAGTGTGTGGTAGCAGCCGTAGGCTGTTTGCAATACAAATCGCAACGGGCTTGAGGGAAACGGTACTACCTGGATTCCAGATCGCCAATTGCTGCTTGTTCCCAGCAACTGTGACGGTTTTTGGGGTAAAGTGTCTCAAACAAAAAGCAGGAACTTGGCGTGGAGGTAGTAGTTCTCTCAATCGATTGACCCGGTGCATCCTATTGAGCCGAATCAGCCAAAGCGTTTCTGCAAGAAAGATCAAGCGACCAGCTGCAAACTAAAGAACGCGAGCAGAAGGCAAACTGCAGTGTTGACGCCGGAGTGAAATGTCTAAATTTGAGTAATCAGCCGTATACACACCCACCTTCAAGCTTGATCTCGACCAAAATCAGCTCTCAAACCCGCCCCCGAATCACGCCCAAGCTCGCCAAAGCCTCATCAATCAGTCCTGCGCCAACCTCCAAAAGGCTAAACACACACTCGGTGTCAGTCTTTAAACCTGTTTTCATTCAGGCCCCCAGCCCATCCTCGTAAACCCTAAATCAGGTTTGAGCCCAGCCAAATCAACCCTAAACACACCCTCAATCAGGCTTAACCTCGCCTGAATTTCGTCTTCATTCCCTTAATTCGTCAGCCTGAAGATGCTTTCATTCGGCCCTAAGCCAGCCTGAAATGCTCGAAATTCGGCTTGAACCTGCCCTGAACCAGGTTTCCAGGGCCTGCCACACCCTCTTTCAAATCAAGCTTGCGAGCCATAAGCTTACCACCACAATTGAGCCACAACTCCGTTGCCCAAAGCCGTTTGTAGAACCCTGTTGGCATTCGTAGTAGAGGTGCCACAAGGCGATCACCTTTTATTTCTAGGTCCCTAAGGGGCAAGTGAGACAATCAACAGTGCAACTGCAATTGAAGCCCAGCCAAAAGTAAGTCCCCACCACAAATGAGCCACAATCAAAACCCGGGTAGACGAAGGTTAGTAAGGGACAATCCCAACTGTAAATAGCTGCGGCCGCCTTGTTAATTCTTTACATAGTTCTGGGTAGACCATTCTCATACCGGAATTGATTGTGACTCAAATGGGCTTCACCGTAGACCTCCCGGGCCTCGCCTCCTGTACTCGTCGAGGTGGCGCTTCCCTTTGCCAAACGCCTGGTGCGGCTGAGATGCCTGGCCATGGCAGACGAGGCACAAACTGCGATCGGACCCTTGTCTAGGGGGCCCTCAATTTCCGTTGCGTTGGTCCTCCAAAGGTGCGATTTGGTTGGAACCCACCAGTAAACTGCAACTTTTGAGTTGGGGAATTTAGTGATGTCTGCAAGCAGGTTTCTAGCAAGCCTTTCATCAGTTGTGCAACCACTTTAATGAATCTTTCCAAGGTAGACTACCAAAGGGCAATACGGCAGGGCCTTCCCTTTGGTCAAGAGGTTGCCGTTGTTGCGGGATTACGGATTGGCCAAAGCTGCTTCCCAGACTGTGCTCATTTACCACACAAAGTGCCTCAATGTGGGAGGAGCTCTTAAATCGAACTTATCTAGGTCCGCCAGTAGTGCCCTTTTGCCCTTTTTTTGGGGAGGGTTCCCCTACTAGAATAGACTACAGAAAAAAGGGTACCCTTATTCTAACCTCTCTACTGGAAGACCTAGTTAATTTTTTTGGTGTGATCATGGGACCAAGGTCCCTTGACCGTGTTTGGTTTGACCTGTCGGTTTCTCTTCACCATTTTCTCAGAGGCGGTTCCTGCTGTAACTGACAGAAGTGCACATATTATAGGTCACCGTTAATTGTGATCTACGGTTGTAAAGAGGTTAACATCATTGCAGTACGCAGTACACCACTTGCACCCCAGCCGTGCGGATTCCCAACGGTTGCTTGCACGTCATGTGTTTGTTTGCTCATGACTCTCATGGCCAATGAACGCATCATGCCCCTTGTGCGTATTAGTGTTGTTGTTTTTCATCAAGAGAGATTGAACATGTGTGCGTGTGTGCGTGTGCGCGTGTGCGCGTGTGTGCGTGTGTGCGTGTGTGTGCGTGTGCGTGTGTGCGCGTGTGTTTGTGTGTTGCGAGAGCTTTGTTTGTTGTCCAACGAGTTGTGCCAGCCCCTGTCGTGTTGAAAGGACAAGCACTGGCGACAGAACCGCGCCTTCAGTAAGATGCGTTGAAGGCTTGCCTGCGACGGCAGCTGGGGATGCAGTGACCCTAAATGCAATGGGATGGGCCCTTGGAGAAGTTTTCTTTTGGTTTAACTTTCGGGGGTGGGTCTGACTCGGCCAGCAGCTGGAGAGCGAGTCCGACGCGGAGCCTCCCGAGGTGGGACATCGCGAAAACAATCCGAAACCGGGGCGTCTTGGAAAGGGAAACCCGGCGTCTGGCGGGTGACAAAGCGGCCTTAGGTTTGCGTAAGCACAGTCCATGCTGTTGGTTAATATGCGTGCTTCCCTCCTGTTCTAAAGGGAATCTATCACTGGATTTGTTTTCAGGGGACTTAAGCGAATGGGCTCTACGTTTGCGGCTGGCGAAGTGCTCGCTTCACTTGGCTTCACTGTGGGAGGTTCTCATAGCAGCACATCCACTTCGAGCCATGCGAGCGGAGTCCCGAAAAACCATGGCCGAAGCTCGCCCAAAGAAGGGGTAGCAACTCTTAAAGCGACGCACGAGAGCAAAAACAAAACACTCCTTTTTGGTTTCCTATACAACCACCAAAAAAGGTTGGTACGGTACCAACCCGTCAAACACGACGCAGCCCAGGGGATTTCCCCATGGCCCACTGCCGTTTTGGCCCGCCAGGTGGCGGTGGCGCAGGGCATGCTGAAGCTACCCGCGGTGAGCGCCAATCGCCCGCCGCACGGCTTAAGGGCCTGGTACTTCAGGCTCAACGCGTTTTGCTGAAATTCATATAGTTTTAATCTCCCCTGTTGGTTTTGAAGGGAATCGATTTCACTACTGGAGTTGTTTTTGTTTGATTTTGGTGTAAAGAAGTTGTTTTAGTGTTCGTTCGAGGGGCTTGAGCAAATGGAGGAACATGCCTATACTTGGTGCTTACGAGCCATCCGTTTCCCTAGTTTGTTAGCTTTTGGGGGGGTTTGTGGTTGGGTTTCCGAACTTAAGCCACAGGTTAAACTGTTCGCAGCGGATCAGGTTTGGAAAGCCCAGCTAAGCTCAAAGATGTGTGTCTGGTAGTGTTTCTTTTTTAGCGTTGGTGCCCCTTTCTTGGTGGTTTAAAGGGACACCAACAGGATACCAATGATTTTGGGGGTCTCCCCACCTAAAAAAGAAGCCCATCTGTCGCCGTGCGCAGTTCAAGCGTTCAAATAGCAGGTTGGGGTTGACGATATGCTGTCATCGGCAAAAGACTAGCTGGGTTGAGTTTTTCTTTTGCGTGTTAATGGTTTGAGGAGTGTGGCTTGCCATAGATAAACACATAAATAAACTTACAAACATACGCTTGGAAAGAGATGTTATTGTGCAAAGGCTAAGAAGTTGAGAGAGAGAGAGAAGAGAGCCAGTTGTTTGGTTTTGTGCCGTTCACCTTGTGTCATCCTTCATGGTTCTAGGTGAAGCTTGGATTCCATTTCCATTCTTTCCAGGGATCCGAATCTTTTCCGGAAACCATCAAACGCCCAGGGAAAGTAGCTGAGTTTTGAAAAGCACGATGATTGAAAAGAATGGGGAATCACTCCAAAGAATGGTCATCATCTGCCCTTTGAAGAGCAATTTCCTTGGCGCAAGGCACCATCAGTCCATCACCTTGGAGAGTCCGAGTGGCCAGTTGGTGCAGGCTGGGCACTTTCACTGGCAACGGGCAAGCCAGGTGTGTTGTATCCAGACCCCCGAAGTGTATGCAAGGGGAGTGGCGCACCCCACACAAAAGGGCTCCTTCTGAAATCATGTTCCATTTAGTGATACGAGGCAAACCTGGGGCTGCCATCGAGAATCCCCGTTGGAGATGTTTTACGTTATGTTAGCGCCACCGCGAGTGTTGCTGAGACAAGGGTCCTGGTTCAAGGTAAATAGGTTGTGATTGTTTCGGCGTGGCTATGCCCCTTGATCTTCTCTCAGGATGGTTGGTCCAAGTTCAGGGTGGACTGATTCATTGGCCGGACAGCTCTTTGTTTCGAAACTGAAGGGGTCCCTCATTGGATAAGGGCCAGGCAGCCAGCTAGTTTTGCTGGTCCCATTTTGGAACCCCATTTTGTCAAAGAGTGACCACAGTGATTTGACATTTGTTATTGGCCACGGCTTAAAACGAGGCACGGGCATGGCTAAGACACTGAGGTGTCTTTGGAGCTCACTCGGGACAGCAGCGTGCTGAGAGTCTGAGAGTCTGAGAGCTGTGACATTGGGCCGTTCGTTCAACGAGTTTCGCCCATGGACAAATCCCATTGAGTCCCAAGAATCAGCATATTAGGTGTCGATTTTAGGTTGGTTTGTTTAGAACTAGATGGAGTCCACTGGTGGAGCTGGTTTTTATTGCATTTAAGCCAGGGCCATCTATTTTTCAAGAAGATCACCTATGATCAGGATGGTACGGCCGGTCAGCCACAGTCTAGGCTTCTATTTGCTGATTGAACATGTTACTGCTGTCACTTGTTCCCGTAGCTCTCAGCAAAAACAGATTGGAGGCTTGAGCATAGCTTGAGCATGCGAGGTTCCCCGGTTTGCATAGTGAGGCTTCGGTGCAGTGAGATGTCCAGCATGCAAACTGATATACAAGCTCTTTTCAAGCACACTAATGTGCAAAATGATGTTTGACACCGCTTTGTTTGTTTGTTTGTTTGGTTGGTTGGTTGGTTGGTTGTTTGTTTGTTTGTTTTGCCAATCACTCTTTGAGGTTCGCGATAGAAGGAGCGCATCATGCGAAGCGAGTGAAGACACCAGCAGCGCTTGGTTCGCGCTAGCTTGACTCTTAGGGAGGAAGGGTGTCGCTTTGAGAGGTCGTCTTGTAGCGCTGAAATGATAGATTGGAAGGTCACGTCATTGAGTTTTGATACGTGCAAGCTGACGTCCCAAATCTTTTTGCGCTTGGGTCCTGATGCGTAGAACAGCCCATGGTGCTGATGCTGTGGTTGCAATGTTGCAGACAAGCGCCGTTGTTTGTGCTCCAACAATATGCAACTTCGTCCCGACGCGTATCATGTGTTCCCTGAAACTTAGTCTTCCATTATCTTCTCAAAATGTATTGTTTGCCCCCGTTGGTTCTAAAGGGAATCTATCACTACTGGACATATTTTCACTTCTTCCAGGGGACGAACAAGCACATGGAGGTAGTAGTTTTACCTTGCAGCTGTCAAGAGCTTCCTTCCCCGAAGCCTTTGACATTGGTGCCCCGAGGCTGCGTGCTCTTCGTTCCCTTCATCTTCGAGAACCTCACGCCTCTCACCTTGAGCATGAATCGAGGAGGGCAAAAACGGCCGGTCAGTCGGGTCGGGCTCTTGCCGGCTGTTGGGACATGGGGTCACCTTCTGGACCATGTTTTTCCAGATGTGTTTTGGCTTTTTTGGGCTTTGGTCCATTTGTAGTGGGCTGCAAAAACCGTCGGTTGTTTGCAAGCCCAGACCAAGGGTTGTACAGGTCACCAGAGATATGAAGATTGCTTAGTAAAGATCGTTTGTTTTTGTTGATGGGCGAGATGATCGGATTCACCGAGATGGGTGTTCCCTGAAAGTAGTTGGAGACCCCAGAGCCAGGTTGACCTTTCCCTGCTTCACAAAGACGGAGTCCCAACATATGAGGAAATCATGAGTAATGCAGGTGTCGGTTCTATCGCCCAAACAAGGGCTGAGGGTCTCCCAGTGATCAGTGCGTACTGGTGCTCGGTAGCTGCATCGGCTCGCGCTGGTGCTGGAACGTGTATTTGATTTCTAGTTTCTGTCGGATCTTCTTGGGCAAAAGCCGCAACCTTATCTATGACCTGATCTGACCCAGGCACCTTGGCACCTTGTTTTGGGATATTTGCGGCCATGCGATGTGTTTGGCACTCTTGTTGTTCAGTAGAGCTTCCGTTGTTCCACCAGGGTCACAGCAGGGAGTCAGCCTGTACAAGCCCTCTGGCTGCTTTCGCGCCAGATGCCTTGCTGGGCCCGGGCTGCCGGGCTGTTCTGCCACAAGGCTGGACAAGCGCTGCATCCTTGTAACTCCAGAAGACAATTCCCGGCTTTTACGGGGAATTCCCCGTTTTGGGGCATATTAAAGCATGATATTGTATATTAATGATTAAACATCACCTTCATCAGAATTTACTGCACTCCGGCAATGATGTAAGCTTTGGACTGATCTTGGCAGCTCTTATTCAGCTAAGGAGCCCACCCTTATGGATCAAAGGGGTGGTTCCGGCTGGTCTTCGGGTTTTTGTTTTTTCCCCTGAGCTTCGGGCTCCCGCGTTTTTGAGCTGTTGTTTTAGTTTCGAACAAGTGAGTGCGGGCGAGGATGGCTTTGAAAGAGTCGGATAGCTGAGCTTGTCGTTGGCAAGAAAGTGGCCGAGGCGTCGTCTGAGACGGTGCCAGCTCTGGTTGCTTGACGCCATACGGCCAACTAGTGCATCAAGAACATGGAACAGATGCGCTAAAAGGTATCTTCCCTATAAGCCGTGAGTTCAGATTCAAAGCTTGGAACAATGTCCTGCACGGAAAAATGGCCGTGGCTTGCGACAGGGCTTGGGGTTCACGTCGCCTGGCCGAGCAAGATGCCCAAAGTCCTGATGTCCGGAAGTGTGGCTTCCATTTGTTGCCTCTGAGATAACAAGGGCCCCCCGGTTCGCGAGGCCACATTCATTTCCCCCATTTTCGGGTGCTTTCGGCCAGATCCACAGCATCCGGACACGGCCTTCTTCACATTCCTGACGGCCAAGGAGATCAAAGAAGCTCAGGAGAAGGGACCCAGAGAGCGCCTGGTGTTCTTTAGTGCCACTTTATTGAAGGGGCAGAAGCCAAGCCCAAGCGGTGCTTTTTTTGTGTGTTGCTGGCTGTGGCGTTTGCCAGTGTGCTTCAGGTTTCAAGTGATTTCTATAACAGGTTCGAAGACATTCATCTGGTGTGGGCCGCAACACGCATCCCCTAGCGTTCTGAACGTGCCCTGATCACTCGCACTGGGTGACCGAGTGACCCGAGCAACGCCGCGACTGCCTTGCGTCAGGAGGGAGGTCGCAGCCCCAAGCAGACGCCCTTGCGGAGGCGCGGACGTTCGGAAGCCTGTCTCGTCTGGAGATTCGGCCCACGGTCCCCAAGCCATTTTTTTTTTCCCTCCCCAAATACGATCAACACCCGAAAGTTCCCTTCTTCCGATCTCCCAATTACATCCGTGCTGCAATGTTAAAAGAAACAGCCAGAAACTGGGAAGCAGAAGGGAAAGGTTTGGTGACTAAAAAAGCCGAAGAAGGATTCCGCACCCCCCGTCCCCTATTCATAGATATTGTTGTTTGGGAAAGCATACTTATTCACAGGGTCCCAGGCGCTTCCAATACGATCCTTGTCCATGTGAGGTTCCCCCTTGCCGGGCGCAGAAACGTCAGAATCGCAATGTGCCGAGTGAGGAATTCATATGGAATTGGTCAGACGCTTGTTTGGATCTGTCAGTTCAATCTGAATCGATGAAAATACAGTTGCAATGTACAATTTGATGTTGCAATCAAGAGAAGGCAAGTGCTGCAAGTGCTACTTGATAGTTGCTGCCAGAGGTTTGGTATTAGTGTAGTAATTGGGTCAATTAAAAGTACAATTTTGAACTTTGGCCTGACACACATTGTTTACATCAATTTGAGTGCATCAGGGGAATTGTTTTTTCATTCAGCCGCGAAAAAGGAGCTTGCAGTACTCCTTCCCAACTGTTGCTGCGTTTGGGGATACGTTTGCCCCTGTAAAAAAGTGGGTTCAATACGCAACAACCCCATTTTGGCGTCTTCGCCGCGGCCCCACAGTACCAAGCGGAATCATTTTTCCGCCAGGTTTGGCAGCAACCGCACCAGCAGCTCGGGGACCCAGAGAATCTCAAGGGGAGGGACGTGATCGAGTGATTGTTTTTTTCCCGAAAGCATCGCGAAGGGTTCTTCCGTGCGGAGCCCTTGGACAAGTTACATAGAGCCAAGTTACATAGAGCCAAGTTACATAGAGCCAAGTTACATAGAGCCAAGTTACATAGAGCCAAGTTACATAGAGCCAAGTTACATAGAGCCAAGTTACATAGAGCCAAGTTACATAGAGCCAAGTTACATAGAGCCAAGTTACATAGAGCCAAGTTACATAGAGCCAAGTTACATAGAGCCAAGTTACATAGAGCCAAGTTACATAGAGCCAAGTTACATAGAGCCAAGTTACATAGAGCAAGTTACATAGAGCCAAGTTACATAGAGCCAAGTTACATAGAGCCAAGTTACATAGAGCCAAGTTACATAGAGCCAAGTTACATAGAGCCAAGTTACATAGAGCCAAGTTACATAGAGCCAAGTTACATAGAGCCAAGTTACATAGAGCCAAGTTACATAGAGCCAAGTTACATAGAGCCAAGTTACATAGAGCCAAGTTACATAGAGCCAAGTTACATAGAGCCAAGTTACATAGAGCCAAGTTACATAGAGCCAAGTTACATAGAGCCAAGGTTAGGTAGAGCTTAGAGCTTCGGCGTTAGCAGCTATGTAACTTAGTTTGGGTTTCTAAGGCGCCGGGGCGGGAGTTTGATCGTCGCTCGGGATTGCGACCCTCTGCGGAGATTCGCGTGGTCGAGGTTCAAAAACTGGGGACGTTTTACGATTTTTAGCATGCGCGTGCGACCCTCTGCGGAGATTCGTGTGGTCGAGCTTCAAAAACTGAGGACTTTTTACGATTTCTGCTGGCCACGCGCGACCCTCTGCGGAGATTCGCGTGGTCGAGGTTCAAAAACTGTGGATTTTTTTTTTAACGATTTTTAGCATGCGCGCGCGCGCGCGACCCTCTGCGGAGATTCGCGTGGTCGAGGTTCAAAAACAGGACTTTTTACGATTTCTGCGGTGCGCGCGCGACCCTCTGCGGAGATCGTGCGCGTCGAAGCGCTCTCGCTGTGGCGCCGTGCGAATTTGTCTTAGGCGAACCCTCTGCGGAGATTGTGCGTGTCGAAGCGCTCTCGCTGTGGCGCCGTGCAATATTCTTGCTCGCGAAACGGCCTTTGGAAGTTGTCTCGTGGTTTGCGCGCCTGCTTTCGCAATCCCGCGGTCGCGGGTTCGATTCCCCCCTGGGGTCCGCGGCAGCTCCGGCTTGAAAATCGCAGCTTTTAAGTACAAACGTAGTACGCGGAGCGTGCTCCTGCAGCTCCGGCTGGAAAATCGTAACTTCCTGGAGATTCCTTTTCCATGAATTTCCTGGTAGTTCTCGGCTTTGACTTGCTTTTCGTAAATCTCGATGTTTTTTTCTGAAGTCGCCTAAAACTACTAAAGCTCCTATATTTTTGTGAGATTGCAGAATTGGTACGGTTTCACGTCTTCCCCGCCCAGAACTACCCGCAAAACGCCCGCAAACGCCCGCAAAACCCCGCAAACGCCCGCAAATCTGAAAAAGACGCTTTTTGGGCTCGGGGGTCGCGCAAAACTCCTAGAAACCACTTAGAACGCCCAACATGCCCAAAACTACCAGAAAACTAAAACGCCTAGGAAAAGGCCGGAGAATGAATCTCCAGGTTTTAAGTACAGACGTAGTGTGCGGAGCGTGCTCCCGCAGCTCAGGCTGGAAAATCGCAACTCTTAAGTACAAACGTAGTACGCGGAGCACACCCCCGCAGCTCCGGCTTGAAAATCGCAACTTTTAAGTACAAGCGTAGTACGCGGAGCGTGCTCCTGCAGCTCCGGGTGGAAAATCACAATTTTTAAGTACAGACGTAGTATGCGGAGCGTGCTCCCGCAGCTCAGGCTGGAAAATCGCAACTTTTAAGTACAAACGTAGTACGCGGAGCACACCCCCGCAGCTCCGGCTGGAGAATCGCAACTTTTAAGTACAAACGTAGTACGCGGAGCACACCCCCGCAGCTCCGGCAGCACTTGCGCAGAGCAACTTGCGCAGAGTCACTTGCGCAGAGCAACTTGCGCAGAGCAACTTGCACAGAGCAATTGCACAAAGCACTTGCGCAGAGCAACTTGCACAGACCAACTTGCACAGAGCACATGCGCAAAGCGCTTGCACGGAGCAACTGGCGCAGAGCCCTTGCGCAGAGCAACTTGCTCAGAGCACTTGCGCAGAGCAACTTGCACAGAGCAGGCGCAGAGCAACTTGCACAGACCAACTTGCGCAGAGCACATGCGCAAAGCGCTTGCGCGGAGCAACTGGCGCAGAGCACTTGCGCAGAGCAACTTGCTCAGAGCACTTGCGCAGAGCAACTTGCACAGAGCACTTGCGCGCAGCAGCTTGCAGAGAGCAACTTGCGCGCAGCAGCCTGGAACAATGCAGCTTGCGCAGACCACTTTCGTGAGAAATCGCGCGGCGCAGTTCGAGAGGAAAGTAGGATGATGAGATGGAGCTCTCATGTGACCATACACACTGAGCATCGCCGCGCGCAGACACGCTCGCCACAGCGATGTAAAAAGGTGTCTCCGCGGCTGGATGAGCACCTGTGGAAAAATGCTTTCGGGCCAATCGTCCTCTAGTTGTTTTGTCTCTAGGAAGCTCCTAAAAACACCGCTGGCGGAATTTGAGTTTGATGTTTTTTTGGTGAAGTTGGCCGCATCCGTTTTGGTTGACCAGCGGAATTTGAGCATAGTCCAAAGACCTAGTTAAGGAACTATTAACGAACCATGGGCTAGTTGATTGCTATACACCTGGTTGATTCCGGCTTGAGGGGAACACTCGCCCATTTGGGAGGGGATGCAAGCCGCTATGAACCCACCAGGTGGATAAATTCGGGGCTGGCACTACTTTGGATTCCTTGCCCATGCACTGGAAGATTATTTCTGGGGCAAGCCGTGGTTCCTTTAGGCTTGCTTGCAAGGCAATGCAGTTGGCGGGCCATCTTCGGGGAGCCCCAAAATGGGCTTGTCCTTTTGGTTTCCCTTGAGAAAGTACCAAAGAGGGGTACCAACTCCAAATTTTGCGGCTACTGTAGCTGAGCCAAAGGACATTGTTGGACAAATCCTTGTTTTACTTACCGACTCTCGCTCGCCACCCAAAGTCTTTTGTTTTTACAATCGGCAATTTGCAGTGTCGAGCCAGGTCTTCGAACCATGGGGGTCTGTGAGAAGCATTGTTATCCCTGGAAAAGCCGCCCAGGCGTTCCATTGCCTGATCGGTTGAGCTGAACACCCATCAGGTTGTCCAAAGGGTTCCTTTTTGAGCCCATCGGTGACTTTTTGTGTCTCAGTCCACAAGAGTAAAAGTTTTTTCATGATTTGGATCGCAGCCCTTCCGTTGCAGAATCTTGCCTGTAAATTCCATGAGCTTATGGTTTTGACCGGTTCGAACATGAGATTCCTTCCGTTCCCAGCTCTCCCCACCAAATAGAGACTTTTGAAAAGGTTCCGGGAGACCAGCGCAGTAAACTCAACGACCAAAACAGCAAGCCCTTTGCGCCTCTTTCTGGAGGCTTCAACATGACCCCTGAAAAAAACACGACGAGGGACGCATTCTTGTTTTGCCATGGCTTCGTCTTGAAATGTCCTAAGCACCCAAAAGGCAGTTGGGGAATCTGGCATCTAAAATCCATAAGGTTATCAGCACCCTTCTGTTTTCTCCCATGTCCCACAAGGCAAGTGGGGGGTGCTGGCATGGTTTTGAGATGTTTTGACTGGGTTGGACCTTGGATGAATCAACCCCGGTCTACTAATAGGTGTGTTTTTGGTTTTCGTGCGGACTCCAGACCACTTGGAGGGGCCAAACCACCCCAATTTTGCAAAACAAAAAGCAAACCACTTGTGTCGGGGGGCCAAAACCACCCCCGGAATTTAATAAACTGGTTGGTTGATAAATATGCGAGCTGGTGCTCGGTAGGGAATGGAATGAACCTGGAAATTCCCTAAAAGGAGACTACCAGTTGGATGGTTTAAATCGGGCTCATTCCCTGTCTCATTCCCTGCATCTCTCGCACCAGCAGGCATGGGCCTCAACATTTCATAAGCTGGTCGGTTGAGGGGCCAACACCCTTGGTTGGTCAACCTGGAGGGGACAAAACCACCCCCCGAATTGAATAAGCTGGGGTTGAGTAGCCCCCACCCTTGTGGAGGGGAACACCCCCTTTTATCATGGAGGGGGAGGGAGTCCAAATAAGGTCTTAATAGGGGCTGAAAGGGGCTCCCCCCCAGCCCCCATGATTTTAGTAAACCGGTTGGTTGAGGGGTTTTCCCCCACCCCCCTGAACTTGTGGAGGGGAACATTCTTCACCCCCCGAGTTGAATCAACTGGTCGGCTGCATCTGGGGTCACCTCTCAGGCGCCAGCTCCACCTTCAGCCGCGCCAGCCTGAGCTTCGCCGTGCCCTTCTTGTCGGACGTGGGCCGAGAGCACCGGCCCAGCACCCGGAGAGATCATTCGCGGGGGGGGGGAAAGTCGGGGGGGTGGGTGGGCTCGTGTTTTTTCTTTCTTTTTGGTTGGGACCCCTCCAAATGGCGAAAGCTCCTGGGTGTTCTGTTGAAAATCCCGCCGCCAGCTCCCATGATTCGTTTCGAGGCTGTCCGGGTCGGCCGCGCCCCGCGAGGTCTGCGATTTCCAGTCGTTGCCCATGACTTCTCGCAATTCCCAGGAGCAGGTTCGGGCAAAGCAACGTAGATTCGTCACAAGCGCCAACCCACAAGGCGCAGTTGGTCGACTCCGACAAAGCGCGTCGCTGACTTGCCCTGAAGCGGAAGGCAAGAACTCATGCCGAAAGAAAGGCTTAGCACGTTCATGGAGTCAAGCACGCCACCAGTTGCGACCACTTCGAAGCCTCGAAGAAAGAAAAGCAAAAAGCCAGCGTTTGGAAAGGAAGCCGGGCAGCACTCCAGTGACCCCCCGCTCAGTTGCCTCGCCAAAGTTTGGTCCAGTGCGAGAAGTTGCAAAATGCTAGTGGAAAAAGCGACATAGATTGCTAAGTCTTTCACTCTCAGAGTGCAGGGGGTATGGAAGAGTGGGTGTGTCCTTTTCTGAACGTCACAGATTTCTGTCGTTTTGCCACTTTGGCTTTTAAATCGTCTGATTTGACTGCTTTCACCTCAGTGCTCAAGCTAACATGGGGTCCACGCTTGGACAAAAGCTCAGATTTGATGGAGGCCCCTTCTCGTTGGGCAGGTTCGCATTGAATCTGGATTCACACTTTCGCCGCATCGAGGTTCTTTGCCGTGGACCGCGCGGGTCCAAGGAAGACTAGATGAAGGGAAGGGGTGTCCATCTTGACGCTGGTAGGAGCGCCCACTGGCCGACATTTAGAGTGTGCCAACGGGAGGCCTGAAACATGTAGAGTTTCTTTTGGGCTTCCTTCGAACCCTGGTTCTTGGGCGCACGCGAGAACTTCGGCAAAGGCTAGTGTCGGATATGTTCAGAGATGGCAGCTAGGCCTCTTATTCTCGTGCAGATGCACCATGTTCCGAAACTCTTAGATCAAACACGATGATCATGTGCCATTTAACGCTGGGGCAGCCGGCAAACAAGCGCTGGTATCCTCCAAAATTCATATTTCACAACCTGTGCATGCTGAGGCAAACAGATGCGCAGGGACCAGGCAGGCGGATTGCACTGCAGGGAGCTGCTGGATGTTTGTGATGTTAAGTTCAGGCCGGTGTGTGTGTGTGTGTGTGTGTGTGTGTGTGTGTGTGTGTTTGTTTGTGTGTTTGTTTGCTTGCTTGCTTGTTTGCTTGTTCGCTTGTTTGCTTCTTTGTTTGTTTGTTTGTGTGTTTGCTGGTTTGTTTGTTTGTTTGTTTGTTTGTTTGCTTGCTGGTTTGTTCGTTCGTTTGTTTGTTTGTTTGTTTGTTTGTGTGTGTGTGTGTGTGTGTCTTTCTGTGTCTGTGTCTGTGTCTGTGTCTGTGTTTGTGTTTGACATATATGTAGCAAATTCTGCTGGACCTCAACACGCGCCGAGCTTCTCTTGGATTGTGCAGCCCTTCGCTGGCGCCGACATGGTTTTGAAGACTGGGTCGCTGCTCATGTTCTTGCGACCGGGATCCCAGTGCCAGAGTCCGTGATTCCTACTGTGGATGGACGAAATCCTGCACCACCTACGAAACTCTGGAATGATGAGTCCCCTGTAAATACCACCAAACAATGGTTTCCAATGGCTTCAAAGTGGTGCAGGATTTCGTCCATCCACAGTATGAACTCACAAGGTGAACAGTGGCAGTGCCCGCCTTGCGTTGCCTTCCCGCGCTTGAGGCAACCATATGATTGGGCTTGCATCAATTTGTGAAGTCTCGACTGAACACCACGGCTCTGCTCGTCACCGCCCCCTTTCTTTGGAAGCTGTGGGATTGTCTCACAGAGAAAGATATTTCTTGGGCCAAGCTCAGAGCATCATAATCAAGTTCCAGCGCACGCCTGTACCCCTTTACATCAAAATAGGCAAATGGAGGTTCATCCACGCCAACATGGAGCCATAGGTTATGCCCCATGGCCATTTGCGCGGAACATACCCCATCATTCCTGGATATGGCTAGCAGGGTTTTGACCCGCAGCCAACTGTCGTCGAGTGCGACATCAAACCAAGAGGTCTTCCTATAGAATCCCCGGAGTCAGTCGCCGCTCCAATCCACCGTTTCGGCTTTGAACCGTCCAGGAGCGGGAGGGGTCCGGCCCTAAGCACGACCGAAGTGGCACATGAATTTATGGGAAACCATTGCTCGTTGGTATTTACAGGGGAATCATCATGGGTTTCTTGGGTGGTGCAGGAATTCGTCCATCTACAGTATCATAACGACCTTTTGGAAAAAATAGATGGGTTTCCCTTGTAACTGGGGCATAACACGAATCTACACTAGAGGAACCCAGCAATGTCTAACCAAACTAATCTAAAAGGACACCTATGGCATCCTATGGCCACCAGCAGAACCAACTGAATGGAGTTGCCCCATCCTCAACCTACCAATTCAGAGGAAACATTGTTACTTGTCATCACCCGGTACCGTTGCCACTAGCATGGGATCCTGAGAAACATACATCCATGGGAGAGTGGCATGAGCCAATTCCATTCTCGAGGGGGGTCTTAGAAACAAACCAAAGTGTTGGCTTGAGATGTGCCGCCTTGGGTCCAAAATTGGTCCACAAAGTTGATAATTGTCTTTATTTCATGTGGTTTTTGCGGGAGCTGCTTGACATAGGAAGGGCTTTCTGCCATGTACAAGCGACTTTGACCACACGGGCTGACTGGGGTGGAGGCATGACTTTCCAAGTTTGCAGTTGGCAGCTGGTGCAAGTTGCTGCAATCTCGAAGCTTCTGTTGTTGGACGGTACCAGCGCACTGAAGTGGGCCGGGAATGTTCCCTGGCTTGACTAGGGTGATTGATTCACTGTGGGGTCTCTCCAACATGGACGCAGACATAGATGAAAGTGTTTGCTTTGGCCTGTTTGCTTTTGGCGTCTGCAATCGCCCGGTCTCAGCGTTTGGGCTTTCGAGAGCCCATGTGGGCTGTCGCGCTGTCCCCACGCATCATGGGAGGAGGATTCTTCAGCCTAGCGGCCCGGCAGATTTCGCTGGGAGCGACCCCGCCGGGAAATGTGCAGGTTTCTTGAGCCCCAAAGCTTCCGCTTCCGCGGTGTCTCTTTTCTGGGCAAACCCCTTTGAGTCTTGTGTTCGTAGGTGACCTTCTGGGAAAATGGATGAGTTTCCCTGATAAATGGGGCAGAACACCCATCTAAACCAGTGCCATCTACTTCTATCCAAGCTAATCTAAAAAGGACACCAATGCTTGTGTTGGAATTTTCTCCCGAACTTCTAGCCGAAAGTGTTGGAAATGCGCATTTCTGCTGGAGGAGGTCGTACTCCTCAAGCAAGCCTGCATGGGCTGGTCATTTGTGAAAGTCCTTGGCTTTCAAGTGGTCTAGATGGGAAGGGTCATGTTTCTAATGGACAGGAACTGCAGTTTCTCCAGAGCAATTGCCCCCCAGTTTCTTCACCAAGGAAGCATTAGCACGCACACCACCAGCATTTTGATGTTGTTTGTTGACGGATTCGAGCGCGGCCGACGGCTGCTTTGAGAACACGACATCCCCCCCACACCACCCTGGAGCGTTTTGATGTGCTTTGTTACTGGCTTCGAGTGCAGCCAAGGGCTTTTTTGAGAATCCCTGCAAGCACCCTTGTCCCTCGCAACCACAGCACCAGCGCGGCGATGAGCTTTGTTGTCGCACATGTGCGCGTTTTTTCTCTTTTGTTTCTTCAGTCATTTTTGCTGACGTGATCTGCTGACATGTCGCATGACTGGCAACAGCCCAGAGACCGGCTTGCTTTCCTTGCAAGCTCTGGTCGCATCTTTCGCTATCTTTGCCGCAGCGGCTGGCGGCTTGGTCTTCCTCCTTGTGCACCGCGATGTGGCTGCTGTTCCTGGACAACTTGAGCCTGGCGCGGGCTGTTCATCCTTCACTTGGTGCAGCGCGGCACCGCTCAGTGGCTGTGCTTCCTGAACAACTTGACAGCATGCAGGTAGCAGATGCAGATAATGATTTCCTGAGCTTCAAAGAAGCCAGCGAGCCTGCAAACAAACAAACAAGACGCCTGCGCCGCCACCTTTCACAACACTTCTTCATGTCTTGTCCGCGCACGCGTTCGGGATATTCGGGGGCTCGTTTTTTGAGGGTGCCCTTTTTGGGGGTGGGTTCCATAGGAAACGAAAGGGAAGCGAACATTTTGGGGGGCACGACTATTTTGAGACAACCCCGCGTTGGTGCTTTCCTGCGAGCTCAGCAGATCTTTTTCGAAGAGCAATTCCAGCGAGCTTGCAAACGCAAGGGGTCGCCAACATCAAATTGCCATCCTCAGACGCACCCAAATGGAGGAGGGAAGTTGAGGGAAGCGAATCATGATTTCGCCTTTTTTCGCTCGCCGAGTTCCTGGCGTTTGGGCTGGCGGATGCCGCAAGCTGCTATGACCAGACGTTCGAGAAGGCCGATTGGCCATTCTGCGAGCAATTGGCATCTGATATCCTCATGCCGCTCGGAGTGAACTGTGGGTCTCGATTCGGGAAGGGCGAATCCCTTGCAACATCCGCAAGGCATCTCGGTCACAATGGTCGTGTGACCCTATATCCTTATATCATTCCTATCTTGAAGAGTTCTGGGGAATGAGAAAGTTATATGAGGAATAACCGTCGTTCTCTTGGACACGTACATCCTTTACTGGTGATTGAGCGGTCAATTGTGGATGGGTCCCGCCGCCTCTCAATGAAGTCCTGCCTTACCTCCCCACACCATTCTGACCCAACAGATGATTGGAGGCGTGTGGCCCTTTCCCAGATCTTGCTGGTCAGCAGGGAACGAGGGAAGCCCGTGTAAACCATCCCGTGTTTCCTTTAAGGGGACCCCCTCGGTTCATTCCCAGACTCCCTGAGCACCGGCATCGATCCAGCAAATTCTGACGCTGGGCCGTGACTGGAATCCCAATGCCTGAGGTTTTTTTTGGGCAGGTTGGCCAAGCCCGTTTCCACGCTGCGTTGCGGGCTTGCTACAAGCCCAAGCCGAAGAACCAACCAACGAACCAGCCAACCAACCAGCCGGTCAGCCAGCCAACAAACCAACCAACCAACCACGTCTTTTTGTTCGAGGTACTATGGCCCCTCGGGCGACTTCGTGAAGCTGGGCCTCTTCGTGGAGAGTCACCAGGCCTGGAGTTCTGTCGCCTTGGGCGGCAACGGCGGCATGAAGGGCGCCCAGCAGCACCTGGAGCGGAAGAATCGAATCGAACCGGATAAAATGAAGGGATCGCCGGGTGGTCGGATACTTGGAGGTTCCCAGCCAGCCTTTTTTTTGGTAGGTTTTTGGGGTTAGTAGTATTTGCTTTCCATTTAACCCACTGGAAAGGTTTAACTTTCAGCAGGGGATTTGAGGACAGCCCAGACTAATTTTCGGATTGCCCAGATGTGTTATGTGTTGGTTGGACCCCCAAAAAAAAAGAAGCAACTTGTGGTTATTATTATTTTCGCTTCTCCTTTAAAAAACTACCAAAGGGGGGTCCCGAAACAAACACACACCCATCGAACTTCACTTCGGAGTGACGAACGGTTGAACAATTCAGAGGTGATTCTGCCTGTTGTTGATTGAACTCAATCTCTTTCAAGGAGGGCTCCTCTCATTGGTTGGTATTTGCTGAAACTACCCCATCGAATTGACTCAGGAGTTCAACTTCCTGAGATAGAGTCACTTAGATGCGGGGATATGCTTGATTGAGGTTCTTCACGTAGGCCTTTTCCTGCCAGCCTTTTCCACGAGTCTTGGTTTCAGGGCATCCTTCAGCATAGCACAAGAGATTTCACATGAGACGTGCCGAACACGGTTGACGCCGGGCTCGTGAGCTTCCGATGTCTACGCTAGATGCAAAAGATGAGTCTTGCATTGTCCGGGGAATTGGCAAGTTGATGTTTGCAAGATTCAGGGAGCCAGTACTCTCATTTGAATGTGAGATATGTTGCAGTCATGCTTGTCAAATTATGCTTGAAGGGTTTGCTGGCGGGAGTTGAATCAGGTACATGTTCAAGATGTGTAGAGTATTGAGTGGTACGGGGTGACAGAAATGTTTGTGACCGATTGAATAAAGGGTGCCACGCGGAGAACCGTTTGCCAGCAAGTATGTACCCAAACAATACAGCGTTCACAATGGCAAAGTGTTGTAAACACATCCAATTCAGGGGAAGCAGTATCAGCTAAGAAACCACACCAGTTTGTTTGCACTACTCTCCCGTATCCCATTTTGCAAGACCCCTTTTTCCGCGTGTGCCCCTGTATATATGTTGTATACACCCATTGTACCACGCTCCTCATCTCTCGTGCCCTGTGCCCATGGCCCATATCCAACGTACCACCAGAGCATGCATCAAGAAACCGAGGTGCGTGCTGCATCAGGCTAATGTTGGGTTTGCACCGGTAAAGGTTCAATCTATCCACCTCTTTCTTAAGGGTTAGCATTTCCCTTGCACCGGCATGGAACCTGATTGAAACTGCGTTCCATGCTGATTTGGTCAGGATGCTTTGGAGGACACTGAGACTGAGACATGTGCTGAGACTCAGACGACATTGTCTCTTTCCAATAAAATGGAACAAAATGGTCAACCTCCAAGTCCCCCTCCCTTGGTTAAAGAGTTGTTTTGGGTAAAACCGACTCCCTCCCCCCCCCCCCCCCCCCAACCCCCGGCCTGGTTTTTGCTCATGCAAGAAGTCGGCCCAGGTTCGTTGTGCGCAAAGTGAACGGCGAGTTTGCTGTGGAGGAGCGCTACTCCGCAGACTACACCACGCCCCAACTGCAGGCTACGCAGGCAGGGCAACCTTGTGCTGTTGCTGTGGCTGCGGCTGCTGCCGCTTCTGGCGTTGCTGTTGCTGCCGCTGCTGGTGTCGTCTTCGTCTATGCTGTTGTTGATGTTGTTGTGGTTGTGGTTGTGGTTGTGGTGGTTGTTGTTGTTGTTGTTGTTGTTGTTGTTGTGGTTGTGGTTGTGGTTGTGGTTGTTGTTGTTGTTGTTGTTGTTGTTGTTGTTGTTGTTGTTGTTGTTGTTGTTGTTGTTGTGTTGTTTGTGTTGTTGTTGTTGTTGTTGTTGTTGTTGTTGTTGTTGTTGTTGTTGTTGTTGTTGTTGTTGTTGTTGTTGTTGTTGTTGTTGTTGTTGTTGTTGTTGTTGTTGTTGTTGTTGTTGTTGTTGTTGTTGTTGTTGTTGTTGTTGTTTGTTGTTGTTGTTGTTGTTGTTGTTGTTGTTGTTGTTGTTGTTGTTGTTGTTGTTGTTGTTGTTGTTGTTGTTGTTGTTGTTGTTGTTGTTGTTGTTGTTGTTGTTGTTGTTGTTGTTGTTGTTGTTGTTGTTGTTGTTGTTGTTGTTGTTGTTGTTGTTGTTGTTGTTGTTGTTGTTGTTGTTGTTGTTGTTGTTGTTGTTGTTGTTGTTGTTGTTGTTGTTGTTGTTGTTGTTGTTGTTGTTGGTGTTGGTGTTGGTGTTGTGTGGTGTTGGTGTTGGTGTTGGTGTTGGTGTTGGTGTTGGTGTTGGTGTTGGTGTTGGTGTTGGTGTTGGTGTTGGTGTTGGTGTTGGTGTTGGTGTTGGTGTTGGTGTTGGTGTTGGTGTTGTTGTGTTGTTGTTGTTGTTGTGTTGTTGTTGTTGTTGTTGTTGTTGTTGTTGTTGTTGTTGTTGTTGTTGTTGTTGTTGTTGTTGTTGTTGTTGTTGTTGTTGTTGTTGTTGTTGTTGTTGTTGTTGTTGTTGTTGTTGTTGTTGTTGTTGTTGTTGTTGTTGTTGTTGTTGTTGTTGTTGTTGTTGTTGTTGTTGTTGTTGTTGTTGTTGTTGTTGTTGTTGTTGTTGTTGTTGTTGTTGTTGTTGTTGTTGTTGTTGTTGTTGTTGTTGTTGTTGTTGTTGTTGTTGTTGTTGTTGTTGTTGTTGTTGTTGTTGTTGTTGTTGTTGTTGTTGTTGTTGTTGTTGTTGTTGTTGTTGTTGTTGTTGTTGTTGTTGTTGTTGTTGTTGTTGTTGTTGTTGTTGTTGTTGTTGTTGTTGTTGTTGTTGTTGTTGTTGTTGTTGTTGTTGTTGTTGTTGTTGTTGTTGTTGTTGTTGTTGTTGTTGTTGTTGTTGTTGTTGTTGTTGTTGTTGTTGTTGTTGTTGTTGTTGTTGTTGTTGTTGTTGTTGTTGTTGTTGTTGTTGTTGTTGTTGGTTTCCTGTTTGTTGGTGTTTGCGGCGGCGGTGCTTGTGGTGGTTGCAGTTGAGTTGCTTTTGGGTTGCGTTATTGCGCGCTGTTTGCATTGTATTCGGCTGTGTTGTGTTTGAATTGACTGACGCTGTCGCAGTCAAAGCACCTTTTTATGAATGTGGTCATTGGATCGTCATGTTTTGGTTGTGAACATTTCAACATGGGTGTGGCTGAGAGTTGTGGTTGCTGCAAATTCGGGTGCCTGCCCAAGCGTGCATGCTTTAGCTTCAATTTGCGTCCAGCTGCGCTCCAGAGTCGAGAGGGAATTAAACCGCAGGAGGTCAAGCTCATCTTTGCCAGTGAAGAAGCAGGGAACATCGCCTGGGGTGTGCTGCTTCCCAAGACTTCCTGCGCTGAAGGAGAGAGGCCAGGGGGGCCAGTTACAGTTGGACCAGTTGCAAATAGAAACGGGACACGTGCACGTGCCGCATCGAACCGTGTCAGTGCAGCTTGTGGTCATGTGCAACTCCAGAAATGCTCTCAAACATCTCCCTACAGAAGGGCTGATTGCAGGCTGATTGCAGCGACAACAAGCGAACATTGCCTGAAATGAACATATTATTAGCAACACACACAAAGCGATGCCTGGGAGAGTCCCTGCAGATAAGCCCGTACATGCGTGCGTGTGTTGGTATTTATGTGTGTGTGTGGGCGTGTTTGTTTGTTTGTTTGTTTTGTTTTGTTTGTTTGTTTGTTTGTTTGTTTGTTTGTTTGTTTGGTTGTTTGTGTGTGTGTGTGTTTGTTTTGTTTTGTTTGTGCTTGTGGTGTGTTTCTGTGGATGTGTACCAGTGTGCGAGAGGACTGCAATTTCGTAATGTATACGTGTATGTGTGAGTGTGTGTATGCGTGCGCGCTTCAGAGCGCAAAACTGGCAGCAAGTTGAGCTATGGTAGTGTTGTGGCAAGCGCTTGGCGCACACTTAGAGGTGTTTGTTTCTTCGGAGTTTCACAGCAGGGAAAGGTATTCCTGACATTCGGGCGTTCGCAAAATTTCGACCACGTTTATAAGGCGAGGCAGGGTAAAGGAAAATAGATTTGCCAGTGGCTTTTCAATAGCCAGCGGCGCATGTCCGGATTGAGCGTCAGCTGGCAGCTTTAAGTTAAATCATTCATCCAGAAGGGAAATCTTGATAGCAGCCTTGAGGGTCGATGCTGTGGTGGAGCCGGTTTGAGTCGGTTTGCTTGTCCAGGAGCTTTTTGATATAACAGGAGGTATCATGAGAACCCAGATGAGTGTTGGGCGGATGTTTCCCAATGCGGGGACTTAATGCTGCAGGTCCCAGGTGTGTTTACCTGTGTTTCCCGTTTGAACCCCATCCAAAACGGCGCTGATCTGTTCCAAGAAACACCAAAGATGTTTGAACTGCTCCGCCTCGCACTCTCCCCGCGCTGGCGAGACAGACGAAGACAGGGATAGACACGGAGAGAGAGTCAGCTCAGTTGCCCAAAGCGAATCGGGCTTTTCACCTTTTGGTTTTTGCATGTTGGTCGATTCTTAGTAGAGGTGCCAAAAGGTTCAGGAACCTTTATTTCCAGATTTTTTCAGGGGCAAGTGAGATAAAGGCCAAACGCATGTGCGTGACGAGATCGCACCTGACAAGAAAAGCTCAGAGGTACGCCATGACCCTAAAGGGCGGAAACCAGCGAGTGCGTGGCAGTCCGCCTGTGTGTCGGACAGGTATCCAATCGAAGACGTGAGCCGCTTCATGCACTGGGCGCTGGGCGCAAGCCATGACTTCACCTACCACCCACGCAGAGGCAAGGAAGAGCCCCACCCCCTTCAAAATTAAAATGGAATTGGGGGAGGGGGGGTTCCATTTTCCCTTTTGTGGGGAAGACTGAATAAATGGAATTGTGGGACCCCCACCCCCCTCCCCCTAAGGCAGGGGGGAGCGCTGCGCAAGACAGCAAAGGTGTGCGCCCGGCCGCGTGTGGCCGTGAAAGAGGGTATCTTCAGAATATGTTCTATCGGGCTATCCTGTTCTGTTGACAGCCATCCACCAGCAAGGGCAACTTTGAGTTCGACGTGATCTATGCCTGCTGCAATGGGGTCAGCAAATCAGCTGACTGGACAAATGCGGTAAGGTTTCAGCTGCCCAGCAAACGGTAATATGACATCATCCACGCGCCACACTTTGAGTTTGGAGGGAAACTGATTGGGTAGATTATACCAACACGACTATCGACACAGCCATGAAGGAATGGCAAGTTGCAAAAGGCAGTGCCCTCTTGATGTTTTCCTAAGTGATCACCACGGTGCTTGGGAGGAACCCGCAAGTGATCTTTCGCTGCACCTGAGAGACATCGGGCGATGCAACGGGGTCAGTCAGCATTCGTGCGGGTTTTTTGGTCAGCACAAAACCTCTGCCAGCTATAGGTTCTTCAACTCACCCACCAAATTCTGGGAAGTGTCCTGCAATTCGCAGGTGCAAGGCAGGTCCCAACATTTCCACCTGCTGAGCTCTTGAGCTCTACTCCAATTGTCCCGGGAAGTGCTCAAAGACGATGGTTCGTCCGTATTCAAGCAGATTGCCTACACCAGGGTGAACACCAGCCCCTGCTCCCAGGATGCCCACTCATGTAGATGCCTCAAAGGACTCTCCGCTTTCGTGGTTTCCCAGCCGTGGCACATACCCTTCGTGGGTAGGAGGCCTCCATGGGTTTGCGGACCCCACCCCCCCCTCCCCGAAAGACAAAAACAACAGCGAAGGAAGGCTTGTATTCGGGTTCCCCCGGTTTTTGGCCAGTTTCAGATTGGGTTGTTGAGTGGGCTCCAATTTGGAAAAGCGGGACTCCTTTTTTTTTTTTTTTAAGTAACAGTATTCAGAATAGATCATAATACAACTTTTGAGTAAGACCTTATGAAGGGAACCTAATGGAGACGAAAAAACTTCTCTCACTCAGGAGGCCCCTAGCAATCACATCTGGGGAGCTTGGCTGAGTTGATCTGCTTTTCACAGAGTTTAGTATTGGTTTAGTATTGGGCAATGTCAAATCAAATTTGCATTGGCATTGTTTGGGGTCGGCTGGAGGTGCTTTTCATTTTGAGGGCGCCGTTTTATAAACCATTCCAAGGCTATGGGTGAAGCCAACTTTATCGCCCAGCGGCCAGGTCAATTCCATGCGAACCTGATCTCCGGGCCGACAGTTGAGCTGGAGCGAGCGGCCGCGATGGCATTGTTTCTGCCTGCCGACTTCGGGAGTAATGCCCTGACGTCGTTGCTCGTGTGGTTGGGAAGCTCCCTTCCCCCAATTCCCGCACAAGCGAACTGGAAGATCGCTTTCAGGACTTAGGAGATGACTGTGCCTGGCAGATCTAAGTCTTGTTTGGAGCGGCGTTCCTCAAGTGGAATGTGAAAACACCGGACCCCTGCAATCAGCATCGGCCTGCCGATGGTACAGGGCTCTCGACAATTCGGTGCAACAGGATGTTTCTTCTGATTCACGCCAGGTCGCGCACCCCTTTAATTTGGCACCCAGTGAACCTTGCTTCTTCGCTACCGACATCGGATGTTTCGTGAGGCGACCAAGAGAAACTTACGTTAGCTCCAGGGGAAAGCGGCACCGAGAGGACATGAGCGGCTACCAGAACATCAGCATGACCATGCCCAACGTACCAGTGGTTCTGGGTCCAGGCGCCAGCGCCTTTTGCATTCTATGCTCTTTGATGGAGAGTCAGCTCAGTTGCCCAAAGCGAATCGACGTGTAGTGGCCTTTTGCTTTGCCCATTTCGGTCGTTTTTTCAAAAGGTTAACTTTTGATTTTTAGGTTCCTAAGGGGCAGTGAGAGATGCCATGAATCAATTTGTTGGGTATCAAGATCGGTCCCTTCAAATGGGTCAACGGTGGGAGTCGATCACATTAAGGCTTGAGCCACCCGTCGGCCCCGCATTGACACCAGTGATGTTGATTTGGAAAGAGGCGGTCTTGCACTTGCAGACTGCACCAGTTCACAATGTGAGCCTTGGATATCGGCCACCGAAAAGTCAGGGAAGTGCCACTGCCACGTTTAGCTTCCCATAGACGCAAACATCAGAACATGGAGCTGCCGGATGGGACCACGTGGGTGTCAAAGTCCTTGATTTTCTGGTGCAGCTGGCATTGAATTCGGCCATCTTGTGACTGAGGGCGCCGCAGAATTTGTGAAGGGAAGCAATTTGCACTGCAGTTGGAGACATGGCTCGGTTTCGGTCAGTGCGCATGGGCTTTCGTTTGGATTTAAGCCATCACTCTTGAGACAGCTGATGCATCCAACATAAGTCCATCACTATAGTCAGAATACCTGACCCTGGCCATGCTTGTTGGTTTTGGGCCGCTTCCATTCGTTCATTTGGGTGCAAGGTTACTTGATTGCACCAAATTTCGAGCATTGCCGGCGCTGAGAGCGTTCGCGAAGCGCGTGTTGCTTCACATTCCGTGCGTGCCGAAGTTTGGTCCTACTTGTTGCCACTGGAATAGTGGGCTCCATGTCCCATGGTCCGCTCTCCTTTCCATAGCTGGCAACATCCTCATCCAGCGGTGTGCTCCTTGATGGCTCCTGTCATTTCCGAGGCCACCTGGAGTATCCATGAAAGAATGGTGTCAATTTATTTTGGGTAATGACCGCATTTTCTATTGGTCATGGAGACATGGAGAATCTAGGCACCTTCGAATTCAGAACACCTCGGCCTTCCATTGACGTTCCGGAGCCGGTGAAGTGGACGGGACCCGTGATGTAGGTTCACTCCTTGTACTGCACCCTGTTCACTCCAGATCTGGGTGTGGCTCAAAATTAAACAGGAGGGGCAAACCGCAGGTTTTGGTCTAGGGTAACCCATTTTGGTGCCGGTGTTTTGAGCCACAGCCATATTCCATGCATCGGCTGGTTGAACCCAGGGCCCATAGCCTTGGAGCTGCAACCTCCCACCAAGGTGCCTTCAAAAGAAACATGGTGAAAACCAGGACCTGACAGTCCCATGTTGAGTGGCCCCATCTCAGATTTGGCAAAGTATCCTTTGTCCTGCCTCAGCCAGTGGGCGAGTTCCTGCTCATTCTCGCAGTGGCAGTGGTTTTCGGTGCCAGCAGCCAATGTCCAAAGCCCTTTTGGCTAACTGGCGAACACAAGCGCCATGCGCCATTCCCCCTTGCTTGGATGTAGATGTTGGTCTGATTGTTTTTTAGGGGACCCCCAAATCACGGTTTTTCTGTGGGTTTCCCCTCCAACCCAAAGACACACCCAATGGGGTGAAACGAAAAGCTTCGATTTACCAGGTGGCTACGATCAGAAGAACCCGTACGTTTGCAACATCTTCAACCTCGAAGAGATGCTCCCAGCAGGCCTGACCGCCGACAACAAGCACCATGCTCCTTGGAAGACAGATCTCCGGGGGGGGGGGTTCAACCCACCGAAACCAAAATCTGCGTGGCTGTGGTTGTCAAAGCCGTTTTGGGATCCCCCCAAAGCAGGTGAACTCCCCACCCATTTTAGGTGCACCACCCATTTTACAACCTATTTTAGTGGGGATTGGGATGTTCACTGGGGTACGGGCTTGTGACCCATGGCCACATTGTACGAGGCCACTACATGATGCAACTATCAAAGCACACCATGGTCCTACCTATCCACCTGCACGGGCAACAGAGAAAACAATCGCCGATCTGCGTTGCTTTTGTTTGTTCACGCCACAGCAAGCCAACCAAAAGCCATGGTTACAACTACAAAGGTCTTAGACTTGCTGCGTGGGGAATCAACGAGGCATGAATAGGACAGGTGGCTGCTCTTGCAATCAGCCTGGAATGCTTGTGTCGTGAGCTGGCTCACTCAACAAGGGGCCTTTTGTCTCGGTCGACAGGTTCGATTGAAGCACTCAACATTGTTCAATATCGCAAGTACAGTAGCATGATGAGGGAACCAATATACCTTGTCACAAGCTTATCCTAAGCAGCTCTTAAGCAATGATTACTCCGTGTTTGTTAAGCGCTTAGCATTGGGCAAAGGATAAGCGTGGGATAAGGCACGGATAAGCAATGGACAAACCATCAGTAAGCCCTTATTCAAGCCTTATTAAGCCCTTAACAAGGAGTCATTTGCTTCCTTTGTGGATAAGACCCAACAGTCCCTGCCCTGCCCCCCCCCCCATAGCCCCGCACGAATTTCATAGTCAGCTTAGATGAGTTGTTCCAAAATTGTTACGAGGAGGGGAAGCTTATGCTCCCATTGCTGCATGCCCACCGGGACCGAGTGGAATTCCAAAGCGTAGTCTTTGTAACTTCAGCTGGTCTGGGGCAGAGGTTCCGTTTAGAGTAGGCGTTGAGGTGCAGACGTGCATGCGGGTATCGATTCGCAGAGGTCGCCATGTTCTCCCCCATTCTGGACCCGGACTCCGTCCAATACGTGCACCACATGATCCTCTACGCCTGCAACGACCAAGCGCGCGTCAGCTTTTCGCACAACCAGGCGAGATGTTGACATGCAAATCATCGCGGTGTCCTAAGATTTGAGACCCTTCGCGCGGGAATCTTCCATTTGCGGAAATGTTTGTGTTTTCCCCTTGGTTCGAAGGGCATCGATTTCACTACTGGAGATATTTTGTTCTGTTGCCAGGTGGCGAAAAAGCAGATGGCGGGGTAAAGATCCCAATCCGGCGACCGTTCCGGTCTTATCCGGGCCGCCGGTTTTGAAGATGTGGGGGGCACGCCGTTTCTGGGACTCGCCTTTTGGGCTTTGTTGCTTTGAGGGTGAGCTTTTGGAGAAGTATCTCGGGTTCCATGGAGATTGGATTCCTTTTGCATGTCCAATGTTTTGTTTGTTTGTTTCTCTTTGCAGAACAGGGTCCTTTGTATGCCACAGAACAGGTTGTTTGTGGGAGGATTGGCGGAAGGGAGCGCAGCCAGGTGTTGGAACACAGATCGGATACCATTTCTGTGATTGAGGCCGTCACGTGTTTTTCGAAAAAGTGCCTGAACGCTGCGGCTAATACATTGCTAAGACACTTAAGACACCCATGTCATATTTTAGTTGCCCAGAGCGAATCGACCTGGTGACCTTTTGTTGCTCCCCGTTTGGTCCATTTTAGTAGAGATGCCAAGAGGTTAGCCTTTCTATTTTCTTTGCCCTTTGGGCAGCTGATATTATAATATTATATAATATATTTATTTAATGGATTGCTGCTATTGGTATTACCTGTCCCCAGATTTGCTTGAAGCCCAGCAGCAAGCTGGTCCACTGCAGGTCGCCTTCGTCAATCCAAGATCCCGATGTTTCCGGCTTTGCAAGGTTTCCTGCTTACCTCCCCGATGGAGCCAGCTCCAGTTCACAAAGTTTATTCTATGTTGATTCAATGCGCTCACAGATGACTCAATGCATGCGAAGAAGGGGTTTTCAACCGTGAGTATTTATATATATATATATATATCGAACATGAGCGACATGTGCTCTAGCTGTACATCTTCTCCAATCTTTTTCTTCTTCTTTTTTTGTTTGTTTTTGGACAAAGCCTTATCAGCCGTTGACACATTCTGGACCGCCTATTCCATACGCATCATGCTTGGGAATCATTCAGCGGATCCCATCTGCCACGCTCTTCCGAGGAAACCCGAAGCATGCATCGATTTTGTTTGATCCCGACTCCTCGGGGATTCGGTGTTCGGTGAAAACAAGCGTTTTTTTCAGAGGACCTAAGACTGATATCATCCTTTCCACGCCCTAGCCCACGACCCAAAATATGCCCAAAGACCTCGAAGTTATGAGGTCTTCGGACTTTTAGAGAATCCGATCGGCTTCAGCCAAACACCCCCCCCTCAAGAACAAACAAAAACAAAACAACTCGTGGCTTTACGCTTTGTTTCCCTTGGACACCACCCACCAAAAGGAGGTGTTTCCTTTAAATCACGTTCACTCCAAACGAATCCGCGCAAATCAAATCAGCCGAGGATCCTTGTTTTTTTTGGTTGTTACCAGCGTGGGGCTCTCCTGTTACGCGTGGCGCTGGTCTCCTGGCTCGCTCCGATTTTTGGTTTTGTGCCGGCAGGTGGTCCCGGAGTGCGAGAGCATGCCGCAGGGCTGCAGCGAGCTGAAGTGGCCCTGGGCCATGGGAAGTGAGCCGGTGGTCTTCCCCCCGCAGGATCGCTCGGATCGATCGGAGAGGTCTGTCCCAGAGCAGAGGTGTGTCTGGGGGAAGAAAAAGCCGAGTCGGACAGAACTGAGGTTTGCTTGGGTTTTGGTTTACGCGCACGTACTGCTTGTTTGGCGGTTTTAATGGGAAACCTACCTCTGTTTTTGTGCCGGGAGGGGGCCGGGGGGGGGGGTACTCTAGAAAACGACAGACTGGGGGCAAGCTGACATGAACAGGATTGCTCCATGCCTTACACAAGGAGCCAAGTGTCTTGCCATGAGTCCTTGCAGCAATCCTTTGCAGGTTTAAAAGATGGCACGGGATTATATATATATATATATACATATTTGTTTTACTTCAAGGATCGAATCAATCACCGCGGGATGGGAGCAGTGAGCCATTTCCAGATAGTAACTGGGGCGATGAATCTATGAGCTTTGGTGGTCAAGGATTCTGCTTTCGCAGGTGGGCATGCCCATCGGCCAGGGCCAGAAGTGGTTCGCCCTGCAGTGCCTTGGCTGGCACGGACTTTGTGCGAGCCATGTGAGTGGCGTCTGACCGTATTGAAGTCTTAACCCTGAAGCATCACAAGACAGGCGCCTTTATGAGCCATGAGAATATGCGAAGGAACCACCAAGATGGCATGATTTAAGTCGAAGACTCCCCCAAAGCTTGATCCACTGTGGGTGTAGGAATCGGCGCGAGCCTCGACCAATATGGAGTGCTTGTACCTGGCCAAGGGGCAACTTTTTGACTTGTCTACTCTCAATGGATGAGTGACATCCACTAGGTCACTTGCTGCAGGACTTACAACCCAAGGGCCAGGTGTTGTACTTTCTAAAGATTCGTCACCCATAGGGTTCTGATGCTGATGTGTTTCCACGCCATGCGAAGAGAGAGGAGAGGCCAGGAGCCGGAGAGGGTGAGAGAATTGAGGAGTGACACATCTTTGGGTATGGGTCAAAATGAAACCACCAGGACATGGACCGCAGATGTTTGTCTACGTTTCCACTTGCCAGGGTTCCATTTTGGGTACCTAGTTTTGACCCACCGCCATTTTTCCCGAGAGAGGATGCACTACTACAACCCCTCACTGCACACGGGGGTCACAGACAGCAGCGGCGTCCGCATCAGCCTCGCGGACAGCGTCCGCGCCTACGACGCCGGTGCCTTCCGGTTCAATGGCGGCACGGACGCTCGGCGCGCGGCCCCGAAAGATGCTGGAGCGGCAACGACTCCCATTTGCTTAAGAATATGTGTTTTTCTCCCCCTGTTGGTATTAAAGGGAATCTGTCACTACTGGAAATATTTTTATTTATTTTTTCCAGGGGGCTTAAGCAAATGGAAGAAGAGAAACCAGGCACATCCAGGACAAGCCAAGTGAGTGACCATAGGTTCTGGGAGCTCACCACTGCGTTGAGAACAACCCAGACTCCGTCTGTGCTACAGTCGGAGGATGTTCACCAAGCGCACCTCGCTAGTCCCACAAAGAAAACAAAATAAGCTTAGGTGATATCCCCAGCATGTGCTCTTTTTAGTCGCAGCACCCCGCAGCCCTCGCAGAACCTGGTGGAACCCTCGTGGAACCTTACCTCCGGGCCGGCCTGCCACAAGAGAGCCCAGGGTCATTTGCAGCTGATTCGTGCCATGGACCAGCTCCAGATGCGTTCTAAGGATCCAGATGTGATGCAACACCAAGATGAAGTGTTTCGCCATGTTCTACTTTGTGTGAAGTGAGGATCTTGTCATTCTGGCAAGCAAGGGGCCGCCATGGCATAATACACATTCAGTTCCGTTGAAAGCAGGGCACTACACTAGCGCAATGCCATGTGAGTAGTTCGCACCTGTATATTGCTTTGTGTCGTGATGCAAGGTTCAACACACACACACACACACACACTTGCATTTTCCGATTGATCAGCATGTGCCTCGAAAGGTTCGGGCCCGTTCGTGAATTGATCTCGTGGACCCATTGATTGGGTGAACAAGTCCGGCTGAGAGGGGGGACCATCTTCTGACCCTCAATTTGTGGGACACCAAGGGGTTAGAAGGAAGATTGCACACCTCACAACACATCCCACCCATTGCACACCCGCGAGCCCGGTCAGGTCACCATGAAAGCGAGGACCCATAGCGAACCTAAAGATTGCGCCCAGCCCCCATAGGAAGAACAAAACTGCGGTTTCCCGTTGGTTGCGCGTTCAAAGGGCACCCGCAACCCACACGCATCCGTTCTCGCGCTCAGGGACCCAGCATGCGGGCTGCTCTGCCGCCGGGTGTGCCGTTGCTCACCGTGAAGCAGGCGCTGCTACCAGCCGCGTGTACCAACGAGTGGCAGGAGGACGTGAACGTGCTCGGCGTGGCGGCCCGTGTCGCATGAAGCGAAGCCAAATTCAATGAACCCGAGCTTGTCGGGTGGTTGGTGAATGTTCGTTGCGGTTTTGTTTGAGTGGGGTCGTCTTTGGGCGGTTTGATTCGAGAGGATGGCTTGGCTTGATGTATTTGCTTGATTGCTTGGGTTGACTGACTGGTCTATTGGAATAATTAATGCGGATGTAGTTGTTGATTCGGATGTTGTTTGACCAATTTCTTAAACGCTTCATTGCCAACTGTGTAATGTGCCACTCGATGATTTCAATGCTAGGTCGGTTGAGTGGCCGCTCGTTTGTATGTTGTGTGTTGTGTTTGACGAGTCTGTAACAGTCTGTATGCACTCCTTTTGGCAGTTCACGGTGCGCGTGCACAGCTCTGGGTTTGTGGTGTTCGAAGGGAACGTCCTGGGACTTGCCTCCATCCCAGAATCCCAAGCTGTTGAGCCAGAAATATACACGCGCCATCAAGACGGCGAAACGGAATAGGACGCTCAAACTGTGAGAGCCTTTCGATCAACCCCGTCTAAACAGGTTGCTTCCGAACCTTCCGGAACGGTGGTGGGGACTTTCTGTTCCCCCCCCCCCTGGCCCCCCTGGCGCGACCCGCGACGCGCGCAGCAAGCCGACACGCGACCGAATCGAGCGATGGGTCGTGTCTCAGGTAGGGTGGAGCTACCCATTGGTTTTAACATGTTTAAACCATTGGTTATGATGATGATTTCTTGTGAAGGTGGTGTTTGAGCTAGATTTTACCCCGGTTGACTACCCCAAGATGGACTTGATCAAGCCCAGAAATTCTCGGGGAACGGACCAATTCCTGGGTTTGAGTCTATCCTGGGTGGACCAAGTGGTCTCAGGTGTACCACGCGCACCTGGTGGGCAAGCGCCTGAACATCGAGGTGCTGCGAGGCAGCGAGAGCTTGGGGGAGCTGCGCAAGGAGAAGCTCTACGAGCCTCGGAGGGTGAGAAGTTGGTGGGTTGGGCTTCAGGCTGGGGCAAATTGAGGTTGTTTGAGAGGGACTGCTGGGACCGCTGGGATTCGTGTCCTGTTGGTGGTATTCATCCTCTTTTGGGGCTGGTTGAAAGGAAAAACAAGAAGAGCCCATCCATTTTGAGGTCACTGATTGTTTGTGAAAAGATTCGTGTTCGGCAATGACTGGACACTTTGGAGACAAACTTGAAGGTCAGTAGGAAGCGATCGTCCAATCAACTGATCGGTGCTGGAGTCGTGCTTGTTGGCGCCGGTGTCGTTTGGATTGGGCCTGGACCATGTCGATGTATCTGCATGGCGAAGTATTCTGGGCCCTGATGTGCCGCTACGATGTTTGTATAAGTATATATAGACAGTTCCTGTTGTGTGCATCGTCTCCGCCGCACTCAAGTCAACACTTAAACCAGAATCAGGCTTTTGATCAGTGCTTAGACAGTTGTTGTTTGGCTCAGCTCTTCTCTTTGAAGCTTTTGCCACATGCAAGTAAGGTGGTCATTTGCTTTTGCTGGCTGTATTGTATGTGTCAAATTTAGAGATATTAATTCAGTACCCCCTCTCGTTGGTGACGTTGTAAATGTTACCCTTTCAGTGATGCCCTAATTCGAGGCGCTCGTGTTTGCATATGAGCAACTCCAAACTCCCCACTACAAATACTGCCTCTCTGCGGCTTTGCCCGGCTTTCCCTCGGCCGGAACAGTTCTGACTTTTAGTCGTATCGTCGTGTTTTGTTTATGTTTCGTGTTTGGCTTTTCCGGGCGACCAAGACTTGTCCAAAGCTATCGAGAAAGAGACAGAAAGGTGTGTCCTTTGTAAGGCGATTTTGGCCTACAAATCCATGGGTTCCACATGGATCCACTGCTTTAGATGAATCTTTCCTCCATGCACCAGCAAACGGGGCGCCGCTTTTTTTTTCTCCAACCGGCGAAACGCGATCCACTGACTCCTTCGGTCGATTCGATGCGGTCGATCGAGGACTTCAACCATCAGTCCTTGGAGCCGGCCTCCGTGAAGACGCTCAAGAAAGGACCCGGCTCCCGCCTACGTCGTCGTAGATTTTCGGCCGCCGCTCTGGCGGCTGAAACTTCCTCAACCCGCGCGTTTGTGGGCAGTTTTTGCTTAAATCAATAGCTTCGTGCCGGGTTGGCGGTTGATATCTTCTTCAACCGGCGCGCTTGTGGGCATGTTTTGCTTAAAATCAATAGGTGTATTTTTGGATGTTTTTTTGGTGGGATTGTCAAGGGAATCGACTTCACTACTGGCAATGTTTTTTTTCTTGTTTTTTTCCGGTGGCTTAGGCAGATGGAAGTTCAGGGCGAAATTTGTTTGCACCATGTTCAGGGCTCATGGAATAAAACAATATGGGCCCAAATGTAAAAGCACCGAAATGAAGGCGCCACTTCCTGTGGCGATGAACCATGTTTTGTTTTTGTTTTGGGGGGGGCACATTAAATCTTCGGAAAAGGCCTTTCCTCCGAGAAAGGCAGAACTATAGGGCTATAGGGATGATTTGTGGGTGAGTGTTTGCGAGAGTACTTTTGTTGTTTGCCTTTCACAGCAAAGTTGTACTTTGGTGCATTTTGCTGGATGTTAGGACTTTAACTTTTTGCCAACGAATAGGTTTTCCATTAAACCACTAAAAGCTAAACTTTGAGCAGGGGAGCAGAAAGCAACCAAGTGTAGATTGGCTTCAGTGCTTTGGTGGTGCTAATGAAGCCGCAGTGGCCCCGAAAAGATGCCTTTCGAGTGCGCTAGACGATTAGGGTGGAACTAGTGGCGGCAGTTTTCCACCGTCACAGCTCCATGTTGGTACAACTAGACTAGTTCTGCCATGTTCCGATGACATCTCAAGACCATAAGTCATTGTGCTTTACCTGCCTGCTGGTTCGGCTTTAATCAAGGGGGTTGGTTCTCTTCCTTGAATTCCGGGTGCTGAGAATCAGCAGCCCGCCAAACAAGAGATCTAAGGAGGCACTACCCCGCCTTTTCCGTGCCGTGCCTGGATACCTGTGTTTTAATGGCCGCTACTGGCCATTTGATCTCCATCGACCGAGCGCCGCATAGATGCTTTCGATGTGTGTTTGTGGGCCCGGTGTCAAGTGCGCAGGCCGTCTCCATGACATGATATCTTCCGTGAGCGCGTGACCTCTCTCAGGGTTTGTTGGGCCCAACTATGGCAGCCTTGAGGGGGCTCGCCCTGAGTTTAGGGACCTCCAGCTTGAGGAGATCAACTGGTCATGACCTGCACTTATGACACCTCAAGCCGAACAACACCAACACAGTTCGGCGACTCCACGCAGTGCCCTGTTGAACATGCAGGGGGCTGGTTGACCAACCAATGGTGCCATCCTTATGGACTTGAATGCTACTGGGTTGGATCTTTAGAGTTTAACTTTTTGGGAAATAAAGGTGGTTTCTACTAAACCCCCAAAAAGTTAAACTTTTTGCAGGGGGTCAACAGCAACCAAGTAGACAAGTGATTCTTCATCGCCATGTTCAACGGCTCTTTTTTTGTGCTGTCACTTGTGCACTCTGATCATTATCCGTTGGTTGATTCGCGTGTTGCCCGAGGCTGATCTCTATTCTCGGCTTTGGGTCAGCTTTTGGGCGCGTGGATGTTTGGGGCTGGGAGCAGTGGGTTGGGTATGCAGGCAAATTATGTCTTACATGAGTCTGTCTTGTTTTGGGGACCGCCCCAAAAAAAGAATAGAAGGTTGCTTTCCGCTTTGGTTTCCCTTTGAAGCTCCAGAAAGGGTCGCCTAAGCAAAGAAGCCACAGCCACATGTTGCTGATCATGAAGTCATTCTGGTTTCAACCCGACAACTCCTTTCCATTTTAGGGACACTGTGACTTGGCGTGGAGGCCTTGGCAATGGGTGGTGCAACAAACGAATCAGTCGAAGGACTTCCCAGCGTTTGGTGTGTGTGTGCGTGCGCTGAGCGCTTTGGAGAACCTGGGATTCCCCACGCGTCAGCTCCGGCTTGAGAGAAGCCGTTCGATTGCCGTACGTTCGGAGGTTTTCGCAACTCGATAGCCACACACACATTTGGACAGAACATGATTTGTGCTAACATATATATATATATATGTATACATATATGGGAGTCGTTCTAAAGGTCCTTGTAAGGAGTTTAGTATTCGGTGACCATCGGTGTTGGTTGAGGTAGCTCCGCGAAAGATTCGCGATGGAGTTGCGAAAGTAACTTTTTTTCTCGCGAAAGTTTCGCGTAACTGTGTCTTGTAAATCAATGATATGTGAAACCATTCATCTTTGCTGCTGAGCCTTCCTTCTGCGCTGATTACAACACTTTGTTGTTTTTGCGCCGAAAAAGCCTGGTGAGGCTACAGTTTGACACCCTTCTTGGCTGGTTAGTGCCCCAAGCCTGTGTATGTGTGTACTCGGCGCCTTTCCGCTCTGAACCGTGGGTGGTTTTTCGCGAAAGTTCCGTGAAAGATCCGCGAAAGCCCCCGCGAAAGCGGCTTCGATTGTAAGGGGGTACTTTCTGAGCGCCGCGCTTGTCAGTATACCAGCTTGGTACTGGAAAGTTGCGCCTTTAAGCTGGAGCTGCACGGCTTACGAAAAGCTGCGTCTTTCCAGCCCGTGCATGTCATGTACTACCCAGTGATGAAAGTTGCGACTTTACAGCGGGAGTTGGGGAATCGAATTTCGCGCACTACGCTGGCACTTAAAATCAGCGGTTTTCTGACTTGAGCAAGGAAAAGGGCACAGCGATGAATCCGCGAAAGATTCGCGAAAGTAACTGTTTTATTCGCGAAGAATGGCCGTTCCGAGACAAAGGAATTTAGAACAACCACCATATATACATTATGGCAGGGTTGCTTTGCCTTTGCTGCCCTCTTCAGTACAAATCTAGGCTGCCGCGAATACAAAAGTTCACTGCCGTCCTTGACAGTACCAATGCGGCGGCAAGCCATGAGGGGTGTGTTTCGTGTGCGGATCTGACTTTGGTGCGTTTTGCTTGGATGTTAGGACTTTAACTTTTGTCCAACTCATGGGTTTTCCATTAAACTACTAAAAGTTAAACTTTTAGCAGTGGAGCAGAAAGCAACCGAGCTGAGTCATGATGTTTGCTGCATTCTGATGAAATGGGGATGTTGGAAGGTTTCACTGTATCGGTTGGCCTGCTTGTCACCATTGAAAGCTTGCGAAAGACTCCGGGCATGCGGATTCTGCTTGGAAGAGTTGGCCAGCCTCGTGCTCGCCTTCACTCTATTGACCATGCGCATCAAGCCTAAACCACAGGGCAGATGAAGGATGACTTTCAGGCTTCTTTTTCTTGTCACCTGAATTGTGCGTGGCATTCGCGCGCTCGCAGTTTTCCAATCAAGATACTTGTCGAAAAGCCATCCTGCTTTTGGGCAGAGATATTGAATTCTGCGTGAGCCGAAATCAGTCTCAGACTTGTTGCCCCTCTTGGGGAGCACGGGAAAAATGATCTCAACTTCGCTGGGTGGCCTTCGCTGGGCGAGCGCTGTTGCTTAGTTTTGTGCGCAAGCCCACCCTTTTCTCGTGGCTGTAGTGTTCCCGCTCGCTTTGCAACACAAACTTTGGCCACACCCAGACACCCAGCCAGATGGTTCTCCTTATTATTATTTTTTGGGGGGAGGGAGGTGGGGACATCCGTCCAGGAGCAAAAGGGTAATTTTGACCCCATGTTAATCATGAACCCCAGCTCATTCGTAGGGGGTCTTCCCCTCCAAAAGTGATGCGTCCCCACTTAAGTTCAGGGACACCCCCCCACTTACTAGACTTGGGTTGATGAATGTTGGGGTGAATATTAATTCAGCGCCTAAGGACTGAGATGTGTTGGTCGGCCTTCATGTATTACCCCGTCCAGAAGATGAACCGCGTCCTCTTCACGAGCGAAGACTGGATGCGCCCTGGGCACTTTTCTGGCCCCTACCTCAACAAGCGAGTGAAAAGGAGTCGAAACAATCAAAGATTCACACTTGTTCTTGTCTTCTTGAGATTTGAGTACCTTTTGACAGTTCCTGCAAGGCATTAACGTGTATGTTAATACATCTCCGTGGTGGGTCGTGAAGCATCAATATCAGGTTTAACCCTTTTCCATATCGACTCGTTTCGCGGAATCAAACAAAATGTTTAGGTTCCCTTTGACAGCTTCTGAGAATAATCCTGATATTATTTCTTGGCAGCTTCTGAGAAATAATTAAACCTGATGTTGAGTCTTGGCAGCAAGGGTTTTGTTTTGTGGCGTGGGGGTGGGCTGCAGCAGCGCATCCTCGATGCAGTTTTGGTTCTTTGTGAGACTAGGGCTTTCATAGGCCCCGCTCGCACAGCGGGGCCGGGGCGGAAACGGAAAGCATGGGAAGAGTTGGTTTCTTTGTATTCTTCGAGGTGTTCTTGGAGCAAGAATTTCTAGGGGGAGCTTACAATCAAGCTGAGATGGGGCTGTACTTGCCACATGATGAAGATAGTCAAATCCTTTCTCATCTAAACGCTTTCGCTTTGCTTGTCTGAGCTCTAAGTGCTGGTTTGGTTGTCTACGGCCCCAGGAAGTCATTGCCAGACATGCCGTTACACAAGACAAGCTAACGCCGGTTATAATTGCGCGAATGAGCCGGACCTTAGTCAGCAAACGAAGCACAAGGGTTTCGCCTTGATTGAATGCTTTGACCGTGAGAAGTCAAGCGCCTGTTTTTTTTTAATCTTCGAGGTCCTCTTAGAAGCAAACAATCTAGTGAGGAGCTTACAATCAAGCTGAAATGGAGATGGGACTTTAGCAAGAACTTTGGACAGTACTTAGAATCAAATTACTCATCTAAACGCTTGCTTTGTGCTTGCTGAGTTTGATATGCAAGTTTGGTTGTGTGTAGCTCTGAGAAGCCATGCCAGACACGATGCTGCACAACAAGAATTAACACCGGTGTGTAACGTTTGCAATTATTTTTTGCACTCGTAGAAACCACCCTGAGCAGCTAAAGAATTTGGGTTCCAGCCCCAAATTTCATGGGCCCTCGAATGGCCGCGGATGTCAAATAATGAAAACTAGTCTTGGTAATAGTAATCACTTGTTTTCAGTCTCTTCCCAAGTGAGTTGTGTGAAAGCATGTGCTCTTGGTTTGGCAATCTGTCGTATTGGGCTCCTTCGGTGTAGGGCTTCAGTACTGGGAAAGTGATTCAGAGAAAACGGGCAGACTTTGAGGTATCGAGAAGCCGGCAATCAACAGGTCTTGGGTGTTTCATGGGCAACCCATGACATCATTTCAGCATGGTGGCATTTTCCACACGCGAACCTTATGCCAACCTTCACGTAGGTAAGTAACGTCGTCCTCCATCCTTTAGGCGAGGGGGTTTGTTCCCCAAGCACTGCAAGTGAACCAGCCACGTCCAACAAATGGCGGCAATTACTGTTTTCGAGCAGTCTGTTGCAGAGCCGCGGCGGACATTCGTTGCAGACCCCCATACATAACCTATGTGGCAAGACCTTCTGGCTTGTTAAATACGCCTCCTGACAACCTTCGTTATATGCCTCACATCAGCGAAGCCAGCTCGCTGGTTGCATGCCGCTCGTTGCATACCCCAATGCGTAGCTTCCCCGTGGGTGCCTGCAGAGCAGACTGTGTAGAGCATACTTTCGCTGGACATAGCCCTGAAGAGTTAAGTTACAGAGCTTGCCATTCAGGAGAAAAGTTGGACCAGGCAGCAGGGAGGGTCTGGAAGAAAGAATGTCTGGGCTTTACCTCGCTACATACCTCGTTACATTGCAAGTGCATAACTCGTTGCAGACGCAGCCCTGGCCCCCCTTTTTGCTGTCGCCTGGTTTGCGCTCACGAGCTGCAAATTTCAAGCTGAAGTTGCGGAGGTGCGCTTCGCGCACTGCACTTGTCTTGTGAGTAGCTGCAACTTTTGAGATGCAGCTGCGGCGCTTTGTATATCTGGTGCGTTTCAGGCACTTTTCCCGTCACACACCCACGTAACAAGCTCGTGTACAAGGACCCTCGTCACGCACCTCCATAGGAAGATAGGTTCCGCTTCGCGCGCTGCGTGCCCTCAAACAAATTCATAATCATATGAGTGATTGCCAAGGAAAATGCAGGTGTTCCCCTGTGCCCTTGGGGTCACCCCCGCACTTCACCGGCGTTTGCAAGGGATGCATTTCGTTACTCTGTTCGGAGATCTCGGACTCCATTTTTTTTGGATGCGGTTGGCCAGGCTCTGCGAGGGCGCTGCCCAGCAATATCACGCCAACACCATCCCCTCCATCCCCGCAAGCACCTGCCAAGCCGTTGGCGACGTTGGTTCCCAGACAGCCCTGGACCTGCTCGCGTCCATGGGTGTGAATGTGCCTCGGCGTTGAGCAATCTGAGGTTCCATCTTAACTTGGGGCTCAGTAGGGAATGAGGGTATGACCCCTATGAACCAGCCCTTGTGGTTTTCTTTGAGGGGACCCCTGGCTTCATTCCTTCATTCCCTACCGAGAACCAGCAAGGATCTTCGCATGGGAACAAAAACCACAACAACCAGGAAACACGGCAAACAAACGCGCAGGTGACCGTGTGGGCCTATTGTCAACCTGTTTTGCGCAAGGAGCAGCGTGTTAGATTAAGCTCGCTTGTTTTTTTTCAGGTGAGTCACTGCTCAAGCCATAGCCGCACATGTTGTAAACAAGGCTCGTCTCATGTTTGCTATCATTCCAGCTGGGGTTGGCTTAGGAGAGGGTTTCCGTGAAAGTGTGCGGTAGTATTCTGGCAGCCTGTGCTTGGAGGGTTGCCGCGCACCAGTTCTTCCATTTGGCAGGGCTGGGTTCTGTCTATACATAGTAAGACTTGATGGCGTGTATTCCAATAACGTGCACGTCTTTATGGACTTCTTCACTGCTTCACCCCCGAAAATTGAGCCCCATCAGTGATCGCACCAGTAACTCCAGCGGTTTGCAATTGCCGTCCGTTTTCAGTCAATGCGAATACTAGATCCCTTAATGCGAAGTAGCTGCGCGTGCATCGGTAAACACCCCCCCCAATGTGACAATGATGTATCCCGACATCGTTCGATGAGTGCCATTGCGCCGTTGGCCAGTGGATTTGACAACCAAGCTTCCAAAGCCAAGGTCGGCAATCAGACACACAGATCTGTCTTCAGAAGGGTACAGTCCTTGTCAGAGGTGCCCGTCCGTAGGCAACGCAGTAGTCTTAGTTTCAACCACACCAGAGCTATTTGTTCTTTGGTCACAGAGAAAGGGAAACTCAGCAAGTTTGAGCTAAGATGTGAGCACTGCCATGCTCACTTGAGCGGCAACTAGGTGTAGAGTTGACACGCTCTAGATGGCTTGAAACAAATTTGTCTCAAGCATGGGGGACCAATGCTCCGTTTGTCTTTTCTCGTTTGGGGGTTGATCAAAAAGTCCGGTAAACGTGGCATGACCATTTGGGGGAAACCACTCAAAACATTATGTTTCCCACATGGGAAAAGCTACCCCTGTTCTTTTGGGGGCCAGAAGCATTGATCAACCCCCATTTCTGTCCCTTTCAACAAAAGGAAAGGATAGTCCTCAGTCACGTCCATCAGAAGAGACTTGCCTTCTTTTCCCGCAAGAATCTAACAGCTTCAGTTTTAGGCGTCCCCGTTGGAAAGGACATTGTTGCCTTTCGGAGTGGCCCAAAGACAGTTTGTTAGCTCCCAGGTTCTTTGGCTTTTATTCGGAACCGGCCACCGGCGATATTTTGGGCACTGAAGCAAATAGAAGTTAGAGATTTGAGGGGAGGCCACGTCACAGCCTCAAAGAATAAGATGTTTCGCTGCTTCCAACGTGTCTCTATACGGAAACGCCCAGCGAGTCACGTCTTGAACCCAGGGCACCAAAAAGGAACGCGCTGGCAGCTGGCACCAGCGCCAGCTGGACAACACCCTCCTCAACTCGAGCCTGCCTAAATGCTCGAGGGGTAGCTTCCCGATTCTTTCCACTCTGTTGCCAAGTGGTGCCCTTTTTTCCCCCGATTTTGGGTAAGGGGTTCCCCTTTAAACTCATCCTGCAGCAAAAAAGGGTACCCGTTTCTTCCCATGGCCCCCGTATCTGAGTCCAGGGGTCCTTCTTTCCAGAAATCCACCAAGCACCGTAGGGAAACAGCGATCGGTTGTTGAAAAGAACGATGGTTGGTTAAAAGGAATGGGGAATCAACCCCTAGGCATGTCGCAAATGCGGCTGAATGATACTTTGACTTGACACCAATATGATGGCTGTAAGCCAATCTGTAACCCTGCCCACCCTAAGTTTCCCAAGCCCAAGCGTGCGCTCTGGACCAAAAAGACTGGAAGGAGAACTCCAGGTCTTAGTGACCGCCAGTCATTGAGCCGTGTCTGTTTCTCCGTTTAGGTCACCGGGGTGACGGAGCGCCCCTCAACGAGCTCAACGAGCCGCTTGGCCGCTTGGGGGGCGAGGGTTGACCCCGAACCGTGTGCTCCAAGCAGACCTCGTGAGTTGGTAGCATGCTTCCGCGCTTCACGCATTTTTTGGTCTGGCTTGGGGGCATTCGACGAAACGCAGCTAAAGTTGCAATCATGTGCAATGAAAACAGGTTGAAATATGGTTGGCCTTTGCCGCTGGGTTTTCCACAAACAGCTCTGGCACAGCATGTTCCAGGCTCAGACATGGCTGTCTTCAGCATGCCTTTGCCAGCAACAGATCTACGACCGCTGCTCTCTCTGCTTTCTGCATGGCACAGCTGTGGAGGGCTCGTGGTCTTTCGAGGGCTCGGTGGTTCTGTCAATCGGACGCCGACCCCCTGGCGTGACTCATTTCGTCGGCGTGTCGTGCGATCGTGCGGCCCTTCGCGCGGACGCTCCACTGGCAGTTCACCGTCTCACTACCGAAGTCTTCAAGGCCAAGGAGCGTAGGCCGTTTCCGCCACCTGTTTGGCCACCTGGCCCAAGGTACTCGCTGCTTACTGAGTTCCAATGCGCCAGCTTTCAGTCCGCTCGGTTGAAGGACTGGGCAAATAGCTGGTGAATTCCAATAGCAAGCTTGCAGGGTCTAGAGGGTATCGGTCAAAGCGAAACCAGGAATTGGACCGCAGGGTTTGCTCCTATTCTTGACCCACAATGTTTAGGAAAGACAGAAAAGGAGATCACCGCGTCACCCCTTTGAACATGTTCCCAAGTTCTCAGCTTTGGATGTCGATGTGTTGTTAAGGCCACTCCTCGCTGCTTGAGTTCCATTTCGGACTTTAGACACTTTTTGGGTTTGGACCAATCTGGTGGCAAATGAAAACTGTCCGGTTACTGGTTTTTCAGCCAATCCACTCAGTGAGACTCTGTTTCCAGTCCGTTTCCGGGTAGCTGAATGGGATTGAACATTATGTGCAACACCGAAGCAAGCTCCTGCACGGCCAATGGCGCAAGGGGGGTTTGCAGCTTCGCCGACCCTGTGCCTGCGTGTTTGATCTGCGACCGTGGATCGCACAGATAGGTGAATAAATGATTTGTGACAGCACATGGAACACAGTAAAGTTCGGGATTTCCCTGTAAACCAACCCTAGAAAGGCTACCGTGCCTCAAAAAGAACACCTGATTCCAAGGGTCGACCTGTCTCGCAGGCCCGGAAGGTCTGAGCGTCTCGGCCTCGACCACGGCCAGTGGCTGGCTGCTTGCGGTCTGGGCCTTCGGCGCCTTCTGAGGCGCGCCTTCAGCTGAGCGAAGCTCAAGTGTCTCCGGTTGATTCCCATGATTCAAACGTGTCAAGGTCGAGTCAAGCGTGTCAAATCCAAGTGAATTCAGCCGGCATTTTGGACATGTCTAGGGGTTGACTTTTCTATGATTGACTGTTTATTTATATTCTAATTATATTTATTTTTTTGTTAGTGTTTTATCATTTCATTTCTTTTCTGGGGTTGATTCCCCTTTCTTTTCGACCATCGTTCTTTTCAACAACCGATCGCTGTTTCCCCTGTGGACGGTTTCCTGAAAAGAAGGCTCCCTGGAAAGAATGGAAATGGATGCTTCCCCCAGAAATCCTTACCCCGCAGACTGACATGGAACCTCAAAACAAATTGGGGACTCTTCTTTGGCAACCCTTTAAAGTTCCAGTGGCATTCCGCAGTGGCATCCTTTTCCGGGATTCTTCAATTTGTTGTGAGCTTGTCCTCCCTTTGAGATTGATTGTCATACATAGTTGGGTGTGTCTTGTTGTTGAGGGTACCTTTTTTGGGGTGGTGTCAAAGGGAAACCAAAGGAGAACCATAATTTTCGGGCCACTAAAAAACCACACCCAGTTGTTACCCACCTGAACAAGAACAACCCTCTCAATAGTTTTTGGGCAATCAAGTTGCCCCTCGGCAAGCCTTTTTAAGATCTTGTCCAGACGCTTCATTGCGCTGTCGCGGTCACCGGATCTGCCTTCGCGAAGACTCAAGACTCAAGGGAGGCCCATGATAGAGCAGAAGACCTAGGTAAATCCTCTAGGACTCTTCCCCAGAATTTGTTCCTTTTTTTTATTATATTTTGCTTTTTAGGGCTTCCCTTGGTTTTCCACTGGGCAACAAATATCATATATATATATATATATATGTTTTGATGGGGTCCTAATTCCAGCCAAGGACTGTGGTTCCTCACAGGTAATCGCCACCATTTCATGTCATTTGGCTATGAAGCCGGCAGCAAACAGCAAGAGAGTAAGAGAGTGCCCAGAGCAGGTTGGCTTTGCCAGCGCCATTCCTTGTCGACAGCCCAAAAAAGCCCGCTGCAGTTGTTTAATGAAACGTTTGGGTTCTGTTGTTTGTGGCGTTTGGGGGAGACCCCCAATCCGGCTCGAGTTGGGGATTGGCTGAATTGAGCAAGAAGGGATTAGCGCATCGGTTTTGCCTTCCTTGTCATGGCCAGAAACCCCCGCCGTTTGCCGTCCGCGCCAGGCGAAAGTTATGAAGCTGCGCAACAGGCGCCTGTAGATCGATGCACTGTGCTACCCTGGATCGTTAGCTGGGTTTTGCCAAGCGCCGGGCAGGGTCACCCCCGCTCGGCATTTTCCCATCCCGGCCCGATCCGGGGTCTCTTCGGCCGGTTTTATGGTCGACCTCCTGCAAGGGAGTTATTGCAGTAGCAGGACAGCGCTGGGGGAACTGGCAATGACGTAGCATGCTCAGGCGCGCTACCGATTGCATGAATGTGTAAGTTGTTATTTGTTATGTGTTTTCTTTCTGGAAAGTGAAAGGACGTAAACAATTTGGTGAGGCCTCATCATTGCTGACTCATCCCGCTGTGTATCCAGGACATGCAAGCGGGCAAGGCACGTGTTTGTCTTTGCACACTCTGGCTGGGAACAGCTTGCAGAGTCTCGAAATGGCCATTGCGCCATCCCCCTGTGCATTTGTTAGAGAGTTATGTAATCTCGGTCACTTAACTATCCTCCTTTTGGGGGTCGAGAGTGCAGTGGCGGTTCAGTCTATTTGCAGTTGCCATCAAAGAACCCATACAGAAATGTTTGACAGCCTTGCCCGTTGCAAACGGATCGCATTATTCCAAGAAAGGGACGCCCTAAGGGCTGTCCATCCTTGCATCTGGTAGCCGTGAGCATGCCTCAGGTCACAATCCAATGCAACGTGTGCGGGTTGCGCTGTTTGTCAACTTAGGTGGACAAGGCACGGTCAAGTCATTGCCTTGATCATCAACACACTGTCTCTATGCCTGTGCGGGATGATCTGAGCACTCGGTGGTGGCTCACTGCTTGAACTACGCTTGCATTTCCGGCTGGACATTGATCGCAAGGCATCACATCGTAGCCGCCAGTGGCTTTCGAATAGGAGATGATGCGGTTTAGACTATTATGATATTGGTGTGTCTTTTCTTTTCCGAGGGTATGGGAACCAAAAGGAAATCCGAAGCCATTTTGTGGGTCACCTTTAGAAAGCAACAACAGACCCTTCTGGGAAGCATCCAAATGTGCAGTGCAGACAAGCCTTTGCACTCACGTTTTCCTGCTGACGGTCGGGCCGCAGAGATGAATCTCGACGCCTCGACGCCTCACATGACCTGTGTAAGCGGCGACGAGTGAGTGGCAGGTGTTTGAAGCAGCCGGCCAATCCAACCGAGACGATTCAGGTGCTCGATGTGCCCACCCCTCTCGCGACGGCTTTTTTTGGGCTTCGGCTGCTGAGACGCAGGAGCTGCCGCGCCCGGCGCCATCGAAAAGCTGCTCGCGATGGCGATTTTATTTGCATAGTTGGGAAGTTTGGAGCCTTACAGCGGGCATCTAGTTGGACCCGTCTTTGATGTTCTGCCTCTTTGTCGTCTGCATATTTTATGAGTAAACGCCTGGATTCTGAAGGGGTGTCGAATGAATGAATATGTTTATAGACAAAATCCTCACAATTGGGACGTTCCTAGCCCGAATCTGCCACTTCCAGGGTCGACATTTGGCCAAGAAAGGTCTCGTGTGACTCTGAGCCGGGCGTTTCACTTTTTTAGCCTTATGGCGCCTTTTGTTCCCACGGCCACATCTCGGACGAGTTGTGTCCCTCTTGGTGTAATGTTGGACCCCTCCAAAATTTGAATGGTTTCCCTTTAAAACCCAACCAAACAACGGGTACAGTACCAACTCCAAAAAGGATAGACCCATTTCCCTGCTGTTCAACTGCCTGCGTGACATCCCTAGTCTCCCTCACGTGAGGAATCCATCCATCCCCTTGGATCTGGTGATGCCGGAAAGTGCCGAGGCCGGGCAAGTTTCGAGTTTCAGAGTCGAAATCCAGCACAGACCCTTTCACAACAAGACTTGTTCTTTCTGGACCAAAGGCGAGCGTGCTACAAGAGTTTGTTGCTTGTTTCAATGTGACTGTTTCGAAGCGTGCAAGATGTTTGCCACGCTTTTGGGGCGTGCCCGATTCGGTCTAATCTGGCGACAGCCTGTTCTTTTGTGCACAACAAAAAAGCTCGGCCTCTATTTTATGAGGCCTCCTTAGATCTGTAAACATGGGTGCAATATGCCTAGAACCCTCAGCGTGTTCATGTACATAAAGTGCACAATCATATTGATGATAAGCTGCAATATCTTGAACTTCAGCGTGTTGTGGACACTGGAAGTGCAAGATGTAGCACAAGTCACCCAGCATTTGGAAGAAAGTGCACGGGGCGATTGCGACATAGCCAATGCCTAGTTGCTTAGTGTCACGCTTGTTTCCTTTTTCAGGTGGTTTTTTTTTTCTCGGAAACCAAAGCAACGATATCCTGTCCCACGGCAAATGGCAACTTAGTTTTTTTTTTTTTTTAAATGGCTGCTTAGTTGCTGCTTGTCCCTGGTTCCGAACACTCAAAATGGACACGTGAGAAAGGGACTGGGTCGTCAATTATGATGAAGCGTATTTAGACGAACGTTGCATCAATCTCCCTTGCCGGTAGCATACACAACTATGGGGCTCACACACACGCAAACGGTTGCACTTGCACCATGCCGCTGCTGAATTGTTTGAATACAGTTGTTCACCATGACTCACGAGTCCAACCAGAACCCTGGAATACTAATTTAGATTGGTTTTGAAAGCATGCATTGGGAGGTTCAAGTTTTCATGTTGTGGGGATTGGGCAAGAATAGCAGTTAGGCATTCATATGCTGCCGAATCCGCAAACATGTGTCAGATGAGATGACATGCTCAATAACCAATGCAAGCAACTTACGTGTGGTGCATAGATTGCATCAACCACGTGAGCCGAAAAAGAAAACCCGTTGTATGTGTCAATGTAAGGCATGGTCTCAGTTGTTTTGGACGTATCAAATCAGCTGCACCGCCGCTTGTAATTTGAAGGGCAGGAGTGTGTTGCAGGAGCGGCCGCGCAAGTCAAACATAGGGCTGCGCAAGCAAAGCGCAGGTGAAGCGCAAGTGACCCAGTGATGATTCATCATCATCATCGTCATCGTCATCGTCATCATCATCATCATCATCATCACCATGGCCCAAAGAGTAACAAGTTTTCGTGCAAGTCCCGCGCAAGTCACGCGCAGCCCGCAGATGCCCCCAAACTGCTTGGAGCAGGAGTGGCCCGTTTCTGTATTTTGCATCTTGTTTCTGCAGCCCCAGCAATTTTGCCGAGTGAATTTATTAGCACAAAATGTGCAGCGGTGTATACACATGAGACCTCATACACTTAAAGGGGCATGCATGCTATTGGGGGACCTCATGCTTATGCTTTGCAATGAAAACGACTTGGGATAAGAGTTTTAATACGGGTTTATTTTTCCAGCTCACGTGCCTTTCCACTGGCTGAATCAAACACATGCCGCAACGAGTGGTATTGGCAGTCTATGCTACAGGTACGCAGTGGCTAAAAAGACAGCACTCTCCCGATAATGCAAAAGGAGCCGCACAAGGGCTAACAGGGGGCTTGCTGTTGAGTGTCCCTTTGTCCAGTAACAGTGACCACAAGCAAAGCCACAAAGAACTACAACAAATTCCCCAACAGCTGGAAGCTTTGGGGTCTCAGCCCAGATAGGCTCCGGGGAAGTCCGGGGCGGCCCTGAGGTAAGGTTCCAAGAAGGTTCCACGAGGGTTCCACGAGGGTTCCACGAGGTTCTGGGAGGGCTGCGGGGTGCGACTAAAAAGAGCGCCGCGTGCTGGGGATATCGCCTGAGCTTGTTTTTTTTTTTTTGGGGGGGGGCATGGATTGGAGGAGTGGTTGGCTTCTAGGGGCCAGCTTGCAGGTTCTGTGAGGCTGTGTCCTGTGAACACACTCGAGTGAACACTTCGGAGCTCAGTTGCCACCAGATCCTCGCAGATTTCCGATGTGCCCTGCTCGGGCCCTCGAACCCTCTTCCGGGCCCTCCCCAAAGTCTAACGATTTCGTAAATCGTAAGCCTTGCCACATGCGAATCCGGCAGGCTGCGGATATTCTGTTGTCCATTCCCTTTGAAGCACTGACCAAAACGAGGCTTCCCTATTTATGTCCAATCACACAAATGATTGATTGCACACACAGAGATCTTTCTCCTTGACAGCATCCAAAACACATGGTCGGCTTCCAGAGGATTCTTTTCCCTCAGCGCCAGACTGGGACTTTTCGGGATGCCAAACATCCACCTCCCGGGGCCCCGTCCGAGATCCGCGCGCGCAGGTTTGCTCCCCGTGCCGGCGCACTCGCGCGAACCGCATCCCCGTGCTGAAAGGCAGGCGATCTTCGGGTCTCAGGCTACAACCTGCAAGCGACAAGTCTGAACAGAGTCATGGGTGTCATAGGATACATAGGTCTGTCGCATTGTTTGAAATCGGTGACCCTAAGTACAAGGTTGAGGGCTTTCAAGAATTTCAGTTTGGTTCCCGCCGGAATCCATCTTTCCAAAAGGATACCTGCGCTGTTTGCCCCAGAGGGTTACATTTAGCGAATGCCAGAAATCCCATGAATCATATTGAGGAAACATATCCCGTTGAGTCCAGCTATGTGTACCTGCTCACTGCAATGATTGTGATGATCATGCTAAACCTTGTAACTATGATGACATAAATCGTAAATCATATTCATATCTTGGACCTGTGGATTGACCAGAGCGTCCCATATTTGCGGCCTCCGGATACCCTTTTGAGTCCAACGGACATTTTCCTGACCATTGGCCGTGTTCAAATCAAGGGCAGAGGCACGGGGTGAATATTCTATCCTCCATCTACCATGGTTTTTTTACGTGGGACAACCCGCTGCCCTCGATTCGAGGGTCATGTCTGTGTGGCTATTTGGGTAGCGGATCTTTGGACTTGATAACTTTTGGTGAAACAGCTGGGAAGGCAACCAAGACGTTCAGGAAAATAGACGAAGGGCTACCTAACTATTGAAGGCAACCGCCTGGGATTGATTCACTGGGTACCCAAAAGTGCCAATCGATTACACTTTCAAGTCAACTCCAAGCCCGGTGTCAGGCCTGGTGGTGGACAGCCTGAGCTTTGGCACCTGCTTGAGGAGCGAGACAGCCGAGACTGGAAGGTGTCATTTTCAAGGTAGGCCTCCCTTTCACGCTGCGATCTTCCAAGCAAGTTTTATGCACTATCACATGTGGGTCTGTCTTTTTTCAGGGGACCCCCCAAAAAATTGCGGTTTCCTGCTTTTAAAACAACCCAAAAGGGTGCCAGCTCCAAAAAATGACGATCTTGAACGTTTGTGGAAGTCTAGCGGGCTTTAAGTTTACTCCCAGCCGAATTCATGTTTCGGCATTAAAGGGATGTTTGAATGCATCGTGGGTGGCATTGATCAGGTACGTTCCGAGGAATCCACATCTGATGATTGCAAAGCAACACATTTTAAAGTCTGCGTTGCGCCTTGCAATGCCTTTACTGCTCCCGCCGATGAGCAGCGTCCGAAACCTCCGGGTACATGTTTATATGTAGTCGCGTCATATCGACCTGTGAGCAAGCAACAACTCCACACGCATAAGGTGGCGTGCGCTAGTGGCGAACCCTCCACACGAGTCTCGTAAGCAAAAGCTCCACTTGCATAAGGTGGCGTGCGCTAGTGGCGAACCCTCCACACGAGTCTCGTAAGCAAAAACTCCACACGCATAAGGTGGCGTGCGCTAGTGGCGAACCCTCCACACGAGTCTCGTAAGCAAAAACTCCACACGCATAAGGTGGCGTGCGCTAGTGGCGAACCCTCCACACGAGTCTCGTAAGCAAAAACTCCACACGCATAAGGTGGCGTGCGCTAGTGGCGAACCCTCCACACGAGTCTCGTAAGCAAAAACTCCACACGCATAAGGTGGCGTGCGCTAGTGGCGAACCCTCCACACGAGTCTCGTAAGCAAAAACTCCACACGCATAAGGTGGCGTGCGCTACTGGCGAACCCTCCACACGAGTCTCGTAAGCAAAAACTCCACATGCATAAGGTGGCGTGCACTACACGCATAAGGTGGCGTAAGCTGGTGGTGTAAGCAAAATGACACGACATAGCCAAACATGTAATGTTTGCATGGCTCAATGAATACCATGGCTGCACTGCATGTGAGGATGTCTCACAGAGCATCAGGAAACCGTCGCAAGCGGATCTGTGGAGCCAGCAAGCTTTCAAAGCTGGATGCATGCAAACAGACTAGTAGTAACACCACGGAGGCCTGTGAAGCTCTTGACATGTGATCGATGACTCAGAGCAGTGAATCCGATGCGCAGAGAGTCACCTGCTATGCCGCGTTTGTTGTTTGTTTTTTCCTGATGCCTTCCCTACAATCTGTACATGCTCAAATTAAACAAAATTAGTCCGCCGCACTCCCATGGTGCGGGGGAAGCAACTTGGCACTTGATGCTGTGGCCATGGCCTGTATGTAAAATTGCAGGCTGAGAGGCCTGAAATCAGGTGCGTGTCTTTGTGCTCGATAGGGTATTCTTCAACAGTACATCGAGTGTTTTCACCAATCTATCAACCTGCCCAACCCAACTCTACTGCTCCCTGCCTAACCCACAAACCCACTTCCCTTGCTACTGCAAAGTCACGTGTCTCCTCTTGGACATGTCTGTTTTGTGTCCGCCGCTTGTCAGGTAGCCCTTGGTTGGTAGTTTGGAGAATTGAAGTTCACTTCCTTTTGAAGCCACATGGCAAAGGTATTTAACATGCAAGCCACCAAACCAAACCAAACCGCCAAACCACCAAACCAAGCCAAACCACCAAACCGGCAAACCAAACCTAAGGTCCACCCGGTGTAAGGTGAGCTTGTTTTTTGCATTTTCCCCAAAGCAGGGAGTGGATTTCGCGGCCTGCGCCAGGTTCGCAGCAGCGCCGTTGAGGCGCACTAAAGTGCTGAGCCTCTTCCCCCGCTACTTTGTGAAGCCGTGGCCCTGGATCCGATGGATTGCGCTGGGCCATGAGGCGTCTGAGTCTGTGGCTTTTGGTGCCCTGGTGGCGTTGATGGGCGCGCCCAACGGGAAAAAAAGCACACACAAAACATCGCCATGTTGGGTGGTTTGAAGTTTTGTGGGCAAACCTGAATGTCCGAATTCCCATAAGAAAGGCCACAGCCTTCTTTATCTTCTTTAGCCGAGGTCTGAGCTGGAGTATCCGATCTGCCTGGGCTATGAGGGCTCAGAGGCGTGGCTTTGATACCTCTGCGAGAGATGCAGGGAAGGAGAAAATTTGCAATGAACCCAAGATGAACCATCCAACTGGTGGTTTCCTTTATTCGGGAATCCCTGGGTTCCTTCCCACATTCTCTACCGGGCACCAGCAAGACGAACAGAACGAGGCTCGCAACATGTTGTCTGTCAAGTGGCTGCAGGTCAGATTGACGGATGAGTGACTGGTCAGATCGTCAGACAAATGTCTAGCAGTTTCTGGTTGTCTTTGTGGTTTTCCAGAAAACTCATCCTGAATTGAGATGTTGGCTTGCCTCATGGGCGCTCCTAGGTTTGCCTTTGAAGTCAAAAGAGGTTCCCTCAAATCTGAAGGTCATCTGTTGAGTTCATGAGTATAGACACATTATAGGCGATCCCAGCGAGCGGGGCTCCGAGCCCTCAAAAAGCGCACTCGTTGAGGTCGAAGTTGTCATGGAGCCGGGCGATGTGGTGCCAGTGCACCCGCCGCAGAAGGAGCGCGGCGACAGGCGGGCGGGGGGGATGTGTTGCTTCTGAGGGGAAGCCTTCTTGGCTAGACATTGAGAGGAATCCAAATTGAACATAACGATGTGGATGCTGCCAGGTGTTTTTTTGACAAATACGTTTGTCATGTCATGACCTGAAAGATCAGTTTCCTCTTCGAGGGACCCCCTGTGTGCCATGGCAACGTGGGAGAGAGGGTAAGCAAGAAGTACAATATTTTTTATGGTTATTTGATAACGGATCTTTGGACTTTAACTGTTTCATTGAAACAGGTGGACCCACAAAAGTTAAACTCTTTGCAGAGAAGTCATTTTCGCCAGCAACCAAGAATCTTGAAGTCCTCACATTGACCAGCACTTGGTCCAGAGACTTTCTGGGACATCCGTGCTTCAGGCTCTATTTCCGCCATGCGGCCGAAACGTCGGAGACCTTCTCCTTCAAAGGCATTGGAACTGGGAGGGAGTTGGCCTTTGTCTATGTCCTAGTCCTATATTTTTTACATTCCTTGCATTTCCTCGCATTCGGTTCCCTTCGGTTCCCTTCGTTTCCGTTCATGTCCCTCATTTTGTTGCATTTCCCTTTAGACCAACATTGCTTACACGAATCCACAAGTCCATATAAATTTGTATCCTGCTGGGTCTCGCTCGATGCCAGGCTACTTTCCGGTTCTTGAGGGATGGGTTTTCGCACCCGACCGCCAAACCAATCTAAGCCACCTGTTAAAGCACTCGCTCAAGCCCGGCGGCACCTATGCGTAAAAAGACCCCTTGTAAGATACCAGACGCCCATGGGTTAAGTCCATCAATCGATTATATATAATATGCAATGAAGTAGATCACATAAGTCCGGTGGATTGCTATGAGCTAGTCAAGGCGGATCAAGGCTCAAGGACGGAAAGAAGCTCTGCCGTGTTTGTGTCTTGTTTGTGGAAACTTTTTGTTTTCCCTCCCAGCAGGTGTTTGGGGGGGAGGGCGGGGGGGCAACCCTGGCTTCACTTTGAATCGATGACACATGATCGGCCCAACTCATGCACTCGTGATGATGCTTCCGTTGTTGATGATATCTCGTCCAGCCCAGAGAATTTTCACAACAACATGATGCGACCAGATGGGAACGCAGTTGGCAACAGGAGACATTTGCCGAAGCAGATTCACCGTGTGAACCGTATTAGGCCTTGCTGTGAGACCCATTGGAAATGGGACCGGACCTGTGCACCCAGCCTGGTCTCCAGACGCTACTGGATTTGAGAGGAAACCCAACCGAGTTGGGGATGTGTTGTCCTCTACAGACTTTTTGTCATTCTCTTATTTGCAATTGTCCAATGCTGCTCGTAGACCTCTTCTCCTTCGAAAGGATGGGGCTGCAAGTCAAAACCTTTGTGTATCGGGCCATAAGGGGTGCACCTTTCGTTCAATCCCCTGTTCAACAAGTATTGAACCGCTGGTTGGCTTGACGTTCACTACATGTCGTTCAATACCCTTTGATCATCAACTATTTGGGGAGATCGGGTTCAGTAGTCAACAGAGTTTCGAAAGCCGTGATCCGTCGAAGTAGTCAACTAACACGGCGTCACGCAGTATGCCGCCGCACAGAGCCCCCCACTCCCGAGCAGCCCTTAGAATTGGTAGCCCAGCGACCGCGGGCGATGTAGGTATGTGTGCTCAGTGCCTGCCTCACGCATGCTTTGGGGCGCAGAATTGTCCGCCAGTAGCGGAGGAGACTGCAGAGCAATGTTGAAAAAAGGAAGGCCGATTCACTGGATTTCGGATGCTTTGCGTGCAGCCGCCACCCGCGGGTGTTCGTTCAATACCCCTTAGTTATACGTTCCGCACCCTTGTAAGTCCTCCCAGTTGCCATCGTGGTCACTTGCCCATGACGTCTTGAACAAGGCAGGCCCAGAGTCATGTCCCCCAAGTCTTTGAATGCTGCAGAAGCGTACTTCGCGTGCTACGCTTGTCTTGTGCTGCAAAGTTGCGCTTTTTGAGCTGGAGCTGCGGAAACGTGCGTCCCGTGCTATGCTTGTACTGAGCTGGAGCTGCGGCAGGTGTACTTCGCATGTATCGCTTGTACTACAAAGCTGCGATTTGACAGCTGGAGCTGGGAAGCACACTTCGCGCAAAGCTTGGTACTGACAGTTTGAAAAACATATGCGCGGATATATTGAAACACTGTTGAACGATGAGGGCCCCCCCCACAACCGACAACATCATGATCTCCACCAAGGCTAAGCAATGGGTTTCGTCAGTCCCTGATAGGTTTTCTGTTGCAGCCATTCAATCCCCATTCAACAAGTGCTGCCGTTCAGTACCTATTGAACAGAATGCAGCCCCAGGGGTATGTTCAGTAGCAGGGCTTAGACACACCTATAAGACTGTAGCTACCAAGCAGGCCTATTCCAAGACCAGGGCCTATTCGTGAGTTTCAATTGAAGACAGATTGAAGCCAACCCCGTTTGCGACCAAATCTGATTTGACAGCTCACCTTGCTTGAGTCAAGTATAGCAGGGGAACGTTCTTACAAGGCTTGCTTGACATGACGCATTCTGGCTTGAACCCTTGGGTGCTTTCTGCCTGAATCGTGTGAGCCCAAGACCGGGTGGGGATACAGAACTTGCACGAAAAGAAACTGCTATGCAGTGTTGCACGCAGACGACATAATCAGAATCATCCAGCACCCCTCCAAACTCCCAAGATTGTCACAGGGAAAGTCCGCAGAAAGTCTATCACTCGATACCGACTGCAAGCCGGGAAGAACGCTGTGTTTTGGGCAAAGTAGCAACAGTCGAAACCATGTCACGGTCATTTAGTTTAGTATCATGGGTTCCAGGATAAACATGACGGATTCTCATGGGTTCAAGGGTTCTCTAATCCGTGTTCATCTAGTTCATACTGTGGATGGACGAAATCCTGCACTGTGTTGAAACCATGGTTGAAACCATCGTTTGTTGCTATTTACGTCGGGGGAACCATCGTTCCAGGGCTTTGTGGTGCGAAATGGATTTCGTCCATCCACAGTATCCCTGCGAAATCGGATCCCAAGCTTTGTGCTGCCGTGTGGCCAGGTCTGGACGGATTAGAGCACTGCCGACGGGGCACCCAGCAAGCGACGGGCTGACCACCAACGGTCAAATAAAAAAAAAAGCCAAGGCGGCATGTCACATGTCCCACATGTCCCAGATGTCCATGGGCATGTTCACATGGTCACTGACTTCTCCTTTCTGCCCCTTCCGGATTCCGGCGCGCCGCCAAACATGTTGTTTCCATCAGTATCAGAGTTCAACGGGTGTTCCCCAAGGACATGATTTGCTGTTGCAGTTGTTGTCTTAGCAAGCAGCTGGGCGACCATCATTCAGGTTCTAGTCAATAAATAAGCTATTTCCTGAACCCTTCTTGGCAGGAAGCAGGGCAGACGAAGGGTTTTCAACGGCTAATTCATTCCAAACGTCAACAACTAGAATTGCTCCCTGCTGTCCAGCACATGTCCAGATACAAGGGACAGAGGCAAAACCCTAGACACTTTTTGTGCAGGACTCATGATTTCTTCTGAAGTGTTTGTTTTTGTTCAGAGCTCACGATCTGCATGGTGTTTTCATGAGTTCTATTTAGGAGTGTATGTAGATGAGTTCTACAGAACTCTGGACCTTGGAGTGTAGATGAAACCTGTCCATTTGCCTTGGTCTTGCAGTTGCTCAAATGGTAAATAAATGTCCCGTCGCTGGACCGTCGAAGCAGGTACCTTCTGCCAGAGAGCATGCATGCATGTTCAAGCAGGAAAAAAACGACACAGAGGGGTGCGTCGTTTTTGGAGGGTGTCCCTTGTTTTTTGTGGGTTTAAAGGGACACCAAAGGTAAAACCACCATCATTTGGGGGGATGGGGGGGGGCTAGTTTGAGACACGCCCATTACGCAAATAGTTGCGAATATGGAAAACCTGCCTTTGCGCATGCATACTTTTCTGGGTGTGTGGGTGTTCCTGTTGGTGTCCTTTCAAAATCACCACAAAAGGTATCCTTGAAAGTATGCCCGCGTGTGTATGTATATATAGATATACACAAACATGCCTCTGATCCGAATCTTGAAGCCAATCCGTTTTAGCTCAGCTCTCAGCCACTTTGTGCGGACTTGTGTGGATGCTCAATGATGTCGAGGTGCAAACAGTCAGGAATACATGTATGTATATATATATATACACATAATATCCAAGAGCCCTCCAACATACCTTTTGAGCATACGCCAATCCTTCCATGATAATTGCTTTCATTTGGGCCGGTGCTCAAAAAATACGTTGGAGGGTTCTTGGACTTGGCAGGTGCAAGTCCGCTGTGTCCCATGTCACACGGGACTGGGCCAGATGTTGCCAGGCACCTTCCACGTGTACCGGGATCGCCAGGGCCAGCGTGCTGGATTGGAGCCGTCCTTTGTTCAGGCTGGGCCGCTTTTGATGTCGATTCCGGGGTAACCAACCTGGCGGATTACAAGGGGGTGGTTCCCCCCCCAAAAAAAAAGCGACGGATCCGTGATTAAAAAGGGTCTCCCTCATCATTCCGGTGCCCAATGTGCTTCTAAGGTCGACCGCGGGGTAACCAACCTGGCGGACGAATCAGGATCCGTACTTAAATGGGACATCCCACATTACTCAGCCAGGTGTTGTTAATCCTGGGTCATAATTATGAATGTTGCTCAATGTCGGGAATGTGTCCAAATTATAACCCCCAGGCCAAGCACACGGCATTAATGTTTCCAGTTTTCCCGCGCGAAACATATCATGCATGTTGCGAAGAACAGCCAACCTATAATGCATTGGCTATGTATGTTTGATGGTTGGAACACCTTCAACGATGTTTGTAGCTGAATAATATGATATTTATCCTTCTGTTGTCCACCAAAGCGTGCAAATTTGGGATGTTTGTGCTTGTGCCACGGACAATCCCAGGGTCTCAGATTTGGGTTTCGCGGGTGATGGGTTCGATCGAAACGGCTGCGACCTGAGGTGGACATTCAAAAGATCACCTTCCCGGCCAAGCACCACGTGCCGCTGGCGGAGGCAGACGAAGAAGAAACCGAAGGTCTGAGCCCTGCATTGAAGCAATGTGCAGTTTTCGTGTTTCTTGCATTTTGCCAAGGGATGTTAGGACTTTAACTTTTTGCCAACTAATGGGTTTTCCATTAAACCACTAAAAGTTAAACTTTTGGCAGGGGAGCAGAAAGCAACCTAGATAAAGGTCTGAGCCCTGCGTTGAAACTATGTGCAGTTTTCGTGCCCATTCAGCCCGAAACCTCGACTCCAATGACTCCAATGTGTGGCTAGGCAACAGGCGTTGTGCGCAACTTGCATTTGCGTGTGCATGTGCGTGAATCCATACGCATATTTGTTGCGATAGTTGAAGGGTTACATTGTGTAGTTGTAGCGAAAGTGGTGCTCCTAGCTCCGGTTGGGTTGTGTATCTTTGCAGATCTGCAGGCCCCAGCTGCCCAGCGGCACCCTTGTTCCAGCTTTTTAGTGGAAAGGGTTCCCTTTCAGACTCAACTAACCAAAAAAGGATGCCTTTTTTCCCATGGCCACTGGGCATCTGAGAAGAAGCAATTCCACCCTACGTGCTTGCCACTGTTGACTTTGGCTCTTGGGTCGATTCACTTCCGAGCTCTTAACTTGCGGCCGCATTCGGCTTTTGGGAGAGCCCCGCAAGAACAAGTCCAGCTTTGGGCTGGCTGGTTGGGAATCTGCGGAAGCTCCCTTTTTGGGTTTTGGGGCGACTAATCACCATCCTCATTTTGGGGCTTGTTTCAGAAAGGCTCATACGCATCTGAACTGCACACCACATCTGAACTCCTTGTCAACGCAGGCCATTCGTCTCGGGTGAGGCTTGGGCTCTGGATCAATCATGTGGGGGTTGATGAAAAGGTCCTTTACATAGGATGATCATTGGGGAAAACCAGAAAAACATGTTATATTTTCCACTAGATGGGAAAAGCTACAGTAAAGTTACGCCGCCAGGAATATTGATCAACTCCCATTTGGATGTTCTATATTTTGCCCGCATGGACGCGCATATCCGGATCAGGCATGGGTAACCTTGGCGCAGCTTTGTTGAAGGGAAGTGTCAACAGCTCGAAGCGAGTCATAGATTTGAGCCTCAGGATCATTGACATGATTATCTTTTTCTTGTTTCTGCCGAAGACACTGCGCAAGACTTTGCAAAGGGCGAAGTAAGTAAGACAACGTGCAGCAATTGTTGGTTGCATGTTGAGTGAGATGCTTGTTGGTGCCTCAGTTTTTCTCTGCGTTGTCCCAGCCAGGGCTATTTTCTGGCTTTGCGGCCTCCAGACTTTCGTTGCGCGGAGGACGCACTTGTATGAGATCTGCAGTCAGGGCCAGGGCTGAAGGATCTATCATGTGATGTTTTAGCCCCCGGATTCGTCCTGGTGTTGATCTCTTTCCCGATCAGACTTAGCCCAGACTTATTTGAGGGCATTTGCAGATGCCCATGTCAATGTGTTTTGCGTCACGCCGAGAAAATTGGGCGCGCCGAGAAAATTGGGCGTGGCACCTCAGATCTTCCCTGAGTGGGGGTAAGCATTCTTGTTGGGAGCAAGGGATCTTTTAGCTTTGGGTGTCTATGTATAGACGCCGCTAACGACAGGGCTGTTTTTGAGGTCCTGCTTTCTGGGCTATCATCAAAAAAAGCATCAAACCAGAGAATTGAGAAGCTCTCAAAAGACTCCACGGAACCAGGGAGTATAGAATCATCAGAATCTGGAGCAATCCCCCTACCGATTCCTCTCTTTTGCCTGCCTCTGAGTTTTTGGTCCCGGGGCCTCTGAGTGTTGTTATTCTGGCCCGGTGTGTGTGTGTGTGTGCGTGTAGGGGGGCGGGAATTCCTTCCACTCTGGCCGAGTGGTTTTGGCCGGGGTTTTCCATGCATTTGCAGATGGGTATTCCGCTCTGGCCGCGGGGTTGGGCGATCTAGGACTTGCTGTTCCACTTTGACAATCAGACGCCTCATGGCCATCAGCCTCAGCCCGCCATGACTCGTGCCTCGTGGATCTTGTGCATCTTGTGCCCTCGCTCGGATCCCCACACCCTTAATGGAATTGGGGGAGGGTGACAAATGGAAATCCATGTCTGGCTCCATTGTCCCTTTTATTGGGAAGACTAGAGAAATGGAATTGGGGGCCCACCCCCCTCCCCCCTACAGCAGGGGGGATGCCCTAGGAGATATGCGTCATGGGTGGCTGTTCTTGTTTTGATGGTGCCCCTTTTTGGGATTTGAAGGGAAGCCACAAGGAAACGAGCCACTTTGAGGGGAATTGCACCTATTTTGAGACTAACCCGGATTCCTATTTGAAGGAGAGTGCCAAGAAAAACCTTGCTGAATTTGAGGACTGAGGTCTATATCTGCTGATGTCAGATGCTATTTGTTTTGGCCGCAACGCTGCAGACAATTATGCATCGACCTGCAATGTTGCCACTCGTATTTGGTAGGTGAAGCGACGTTCAACACATTGACTGCTTCATGTTAGAGTGCAGATGTAGGCAAGCATGGGGCATGGCAAGCCAGACTCCGATGTAAGGTGGAAAGAGTGGTGGCTGTGCAGTCGAAATGGTTACATTGGCAACTTCGGCAACTTGCGCAGATTCAGAGATCCTGCTAATGGTCTGCGAAAGTCAAGCACTTGGTCATGAAAAGACACAATAAACCTTGGTGGCCGCATTGCCATTTCAGTATCCGCCACACCGGTTGTGGCAGGTTGATTATTCTTTCTTGTTGGCTTGGGTGGGTTTCGTGCTTGGCCCTCTTGCTCTCCTCATCGGGTTTTTGCCCCAAACCGCTGCATACTCTGAGCCAATCACCTGGCATGAGGCTTCTTCGCGACCATCGCAGGCCTGGCAACGTGGAGCTTGGCCGTTGCACCTTGACTCCTGTTGGCCCGCTTTAAGCCATTCCACAAGCTGAACAGGTTTTCAGGTCTCAGCTGGGAGCTGGTTCGTCGGATTACTGTATCTACTATTGTTCTTCAGTTGTACCTCTTCTTCAACGAGACGTGTTGCTGGCAAGTGGCGCCGAAATGTGACTGGCCTTGGACTTTCGTCCAAGCAGCTGGTGCAAGGCCAGACTAGTCGTTTTCGAGGTGTCCATGCAAAGGTTTGAAAGGTTTGAGCATGGAGCTGGGCAAGTGAAGGCAACCGCCAGATAGGTGTGATTTAGATTGCTCTTTAAGCACATCTTCAAAAAAGAAAGGGATAGCCCGAAAGCAGTGCAGTTTGGCTGGAGGAGGTCGGGTGCAGGACAGGTTTTTCGGCCCCCTTGCCTTGCTGACGGGCAGTGATTCACCACCCGAGGGGCCATGAGTTGTTTGGGTCGGCTACCTGCAGCTAAGTTGCAGTAAGCCCCGTGGGCCGGCCACGAGATCAGCCGACCCCAAGTTGGTGGCCTGGGGCGCGGTTGGAATTTCCTGGGAGTTGGAGAGTGAATGCGGTTGACCCCTCAACCACCAAACCACCGGACGCAACAACCACCGGGAACTGCCAGCTCCAAACCACCGGACTAAGCGGAACCAAAGCCACGTCCTCAAAACCGATTCGGGTAGATGAAGGTTAGTAAGGGATTCCTCCCAACCATAAATAGCTGCGGATCTCCGTCTAGCTTCTCAATTCTTGAAGCATGGTTCTGGGCTTGGACCATTTTAAGACACCGGGTTTTGAGCAAGTGACTCAAGTGAGCTTTTGGTTTTCCCATTTCCGTCGATCTTTAGAGGTGCCAAGAGCTTTCACCTTTTGGTTCCTGGTCCCTAAGCAACAAGTAGCCTTCCAGGGCCCGAACAGGGGTCTGGGTCCAAAAAAAAGTTGTATGGCTTCTGTCCCCTCCCCCAGGCGATTCCATGGAAGCTCCCAGCCCGAAAAGGGAGGACTGGGTCTGGGTCTGGGTCCAATTTCGCCTTGGGCATGGGTCCCTACCCGAGACCGAGAGGCGCCGAAGCCGACGGCTCCACGAAGCTGCTGATCCTCAGTAGCCCGGGCGCCCGGAAAGCTCTTTTGCCGCGCTCGGAGGAAGGCTGTGAGCCACGTCCTCAAGACCGATTCGGGTAGATGAAGGTTAGTAAGGGGCCGTCCCAGCCGGAAATAGTTGCGGATATCCGCCTTTCTAATTCTCTACATGGTTCTGAATTCACCATTTGTGTACCAGGTTTTGATTGTGACTCATGTGGCTGTGGTTGTCAAAACCATTGTGGTTGATCCCATTTTGGTTGGCAGGTGAATTCACCTCCCATTTTAGAACCAATTTTTCGTGGTTGGATTTGGATGTTCACTGGGGGTACGATTTGGGTCTTGACCCATGGCCATGTCTTTTGACCAATCCCTCCAGGCGATTGATTCCATGGAAGCTGCCAGGACTTAAGACTTGTTTCCACTTACGGAGGACAATTGGGGGGAGCTTCCATGTTCTGTTCGTCTGAGGTAGTGTACTCTTCATTGTCCTTGAAACCAGAGCCACATCCAACTCATGCCATCTTACAGATTCCCAGTCACGTCCAAGAATGGGGAACGCTCCAGGGGGACTCCTTGGACAGTGTCTCAAGAAAAGTCTTCACAAAGGGAAGAGGGGTACAACTGACCTTGCATAGTTATGGCTGATAATACTAATGTCGGACCCTTCTAAGGGCCAACTTGCATACCCCAACTTGGGGTACATAGCCCGAAAACCATCCCTATATTTTAGGGGGGTATGATGGGGTGTGTCCATTTGGGGTATGTAAAATGCCCTTGGCCTTCAAATGCTCAAGAGGCTGAAGCTCTGAACATGAGCATGTGTCTCCGCATTCAGCCTGAAGCAAACCTCAGGAAAGTGTTTTTTTAGGTACCGATCGCTTGCCTTGCGACTCCCCAAATGAGATGCGACATTGTGACATGCAGCGCGGCACCATGCGGTCAAAAGAGGTCTCCGAAGAATAGCCCCTTAAAGATGCCAAAGGCCAATGCACAAAGTCGGGATGTCACGAAGCAATTCACACTTTGCCTGGGACAGCTGGTTTGTTCTTGACATGTGTATCACAGGCTCAGCCATTGCTTCCATCGCAGGTTTGTAATACATTTCTTCAGAACATTGCGCGTTGCTCAGGGTTCCCCTTAGGCCAGTTTCGGATGCATACCCAGAAAGGCCTCCTTCAAAAGCTACACGAGGTGGCGAGCAAATTTGGCAGCACCTCGTCGGTTTCCAGGCGGGATGAGCCAGCTGGTTTCAGTTGTGGCGCTAAACATTGAATCACCAGTACAATTTGGTTCTCCAACACCTTTGTCATTGAAGGAACATCCATTTGCAAGAGACCTGTTGGCTTTGACTTTGACATACAGGTTTTTGTTACCTTAAGATGTATTATACACGCATCAAGCTTCAGGTTCGATTCGAAAAGGAGCTGTTGTTTTTCTTCTTCGTATTGGCAGGAGTGTCAATGCCTCAACAGGCCCAACGATTCTTGGGACCATGGGGTGTTTCAATCGGAAGGTCAGCGAAGCGAATCTACCTTCACCTTCAGTGGCAACGCTGGGAGCTGGCAGCGAATATGGTCTTACTTTATATATTTTTTCAGACACAGAGATATGTTTGTTTTTTTGGGGGGAGCATGTCCTCACACCCCGCGTGGGTCTCGTGAATTCTTCGGAGCGGCACGTCGTGTCTGTTCGGCTTTGCGGATCGGAGCCTTTGAAGCCGAAGCCAAACTAGGGGCAAAGGCGGCCTTGCGCTTGGCTAGGTCCCCCAGTGCCCTTTCTCACTTTTGTTTGGGAGGGTAACCCTAAAATAGGTACTTGTTCTAACCTCTCTGGAGGACCTAGTTGGTAAACATGGCACTTGGGCCAAAAACTCCTTCAACTTCAATTGCTTGTTTGGGGAAAAACACCGTTTCTGGGAGGGTACGGCAATCCTGATCATGTGTTTATTGGATCATCTTGAACACGTATTTGGCCCTGGTGTCAGATTTGTTTGCATTTTATTCCTGGAATCCACGGGTTCTAAGAAACGGGTTTGGGACGTCACGTGTGCTAAGTGGGTGACCCGAGCTACACATTTTGTGGCAATACTCCCAGTGCTAGGCTTGATGAATAGTTCACCTGGCAAATCTTGCTTCCCTGAGTTGCACTGACATTTCTGTTTGCTGAAATGAATATGTTTTATTTTCCGCCTCGCCTGTCGGTGTTTGAAGGAAATCGATTTAACTCCCGGACATAGTTGTTATTTTGTTTTCCCAGGGGGGACAAAAAGAAATTAAATGGAGGTACCCCTTGATCAAAAGGTCCTTTACATGGGATGACCATGGGAAAACCACTAAACAGATGTGCTTGTGCCTTGGCAATGTCCTGGCATGGATGGATGGACACGCTTTCTACAAAAAAGATGATACATCAACCGCATGGGAAAAGTGAGCCATGGCGAAAACTGGTGGCCTTTAAGGGAATCTAAATCAACCCCATGTTTTATATGGGGTGGCTCGTCTTTTTTCCGTCTTGGTACCCCTGGATCAGTGGATATCAACCCCGAAAAAGCATCTCGCCTCCCGTTGGACTCCTCAGCCGCCGCCGCCTTCAACCCCCGGAAAAAATAATAAAAGAAACCAGCAAAACAAAAGAAAAAAGAAAAACATTCGCCTCCTGTTGGACTTCTCAGCCCGCCGCCTTCTCTCAGGACACGGAGCAGTGTTTGAAGGTGGCGGTGAAGCTGACCCGGGACAACAAGGCGCTGAGGGAGCGGAAGAGCGGCCGGAACTTGGTGAGCCCGGCGCCCAGCCGAGGGAAACCAGCGCGCCGAGAAAAACGCGCGGATTGTCGATGTCGCGCGGGCTGATTTCGATTGCGCGGATGTTTTTTGGCGGGTAGGTGGAGAAATTGCAAGCTAGGGGGTTGAGAAAATTGCCCAACATGGGATTGAGGTGGAGTTGGTTTGTGAGTTTCCACCCTTCTCCAAATCCAGAAAGGGGGAGCAACACTTCTCCAGTGGAGGGGTGTTCTTTCTTCCTTGGGTCAGTTGTCTGAGTGTTTCCCAGAACCGGCAACCCAGGGGGGGTTGACCACAATTTTGGGTCCCCTCTCCTTCGAACCACGTGGGCTGATCAATATTCCTGGCCCCAAAATGACCATGGGGTATGGTGAAAGTCAACTCTTTTTTGATGGTTTCCAACCAATGGTCACCCCCTGGGAGCTTTTGATCAACCCCCAAATGTGTTTCGCCTTCCGGCTCACCAACAAAAAGCTTGCCACGCTCCGCCATCCGCGCGTGGCGCGACCTCCGTCGCGGAGGTCAGACCCTGGGCCATGCCCTGACCTCCCGCAACGCCTCCAAGCCCTTTGCGCTGGAGGCCAGTCTCAGGCACGAGAGCGAGCGAGTGAAGTGATGGGACCTGCAATATTTTTCCGGAATTTTCCAGTTGCAACCAGTGGAATCCGAGCTCTTTTCCACCTTTTTGGAGGGAAGGCGTTGCAACCAGTGGATTCTGCCCCTTTGCAACTTGTTTGTGGGAAGGGTTCCCCTTGAATAACTCAACTGACTAAAAAGGGATACCCTTTTTGCACCCATGGAAATCCACTGGGCAGCTTGAAAGAACAAGTTTGATGGGGTTTGTTGAAAGGCAAAGAGATTGGCGCCCGTTGTTTGGTGTCCGAAATCATTTGACCGCCAAATTGCCATGGTTTGATAAGTTGTTGGATTGGCAACGGACTTGGCAACTTAGCACAGAACTTGGCATCCCCCTTTTTGGTGTCCTAAGTCATTTCGCGGACCCACAAACATAGCATCAGGTTCTATTTGGTTGTTGAGCAACTCCCACGTGCCCTCAAAACAACACCATCAGACTCATAACTCCTATCGACTTGTTGAATTGGCAAAAACAAGGGATGCGGGGCTCCGTTTTGTCAAGGTTGCTTTAGCTGGTGTCTGCCTTTATAGTTCACAGTGTGCCTTGCATGAAAACGGGAAGTCATTTCGGAAGACTGGGCCCTGTTTTGGGCTTATGCGACCGACCCACATTTCTCTGCGGCGCTTGCCCGAAGAAAAACACTAAAGACAGGGTAGCATGTGAATTTCTCTCAGACCTGCGACAATTGGATCGAGCCAAAGGGGATATCCAAAGGCAGATATCCAAAGGTGTGTGCCTTTCTGAGGGTTAGGGACACCCATAGGAAACACGCCTTTTGTTTAGGTGTCCCTTTCAACTTAACCGCACCTTGCATCCCCTTGCTTCGATCGGACGCTTGACTCACAGCTTCGATTTAGGGAACAGACAGCCACACATTATGCTAGAGAGAACAAAGGCCAGAACCTAAACACAGCTAAGTAGCCACACGTGCCAAAGAGAAAAATGGACCTAAACATAGCGAAGTTAGCCTCTAAGTATCAAGCAGCTGAATGGAAGAATTGGATCAGCTTTGTGGAGAGCTTGACGAGATACTTGGGGCTTACAAGGGCTTGGACGGGCAGATGCGACCCGTTCGAGAGTTTCCCATATTGTCATGAGGCAGGCTGCGATGTGTGGCTTCATGTAATTTTCCTGATGTGTTTTGCGCAATCGGATGAGTCTCACAAGTTGATCTGGGTGGATGTGCTTGCCTTGTTTTGACCTTCCCTGTTTGACATTGGATTTGTGTCAGGCTGACATCTGCAAGCCTCGACCAGGCGCCCGAGGTTGCAGAGGACGGAAACATGACCGGAACGAACCGAAACTTGGCCGACCCATCCGTTTCTTGAACCGCCCTGTGAGATTAAAGTATGCGAGTGCGATAGCTCATCCCGGGCGCAGCTCTCGGTGCACGGATGGACACCAATTTCATCTTCAACCAACCGGCATTTTTTTTGTGCGAGAAGACGCCTCAACTGTCCAGCTGATACTTCGCACTTTTGGACCACCATTTGAGATGGAGTTTCTGCTGCCGGTGTGAGTTGCCGGTGTGCTGCACAGGTTAGCCGGGATGTCGGATCGACCAAACCCCCCGCCCCCTGTGTTTTTTTGTATTCTTAATGAGGCCTGGCTGAAAACTGGGTGTTCCGCGCCGTTGTCGCGGAAGACCGCAGAAGGGCGAACGAGAGTTTCGCGGAAAGGTGTGTGTACTTTCATGGGATGAGGCCTTGCTCGTGTCCTATACGTGTACTGAAAACTATGTTTCGTTTGGTTTACTTCCTTCCAATTACGTGGAATTCGAGGAAAGGCCGGAGATATGTTTCATCTCAGAAGCAACTGTCAGGTTGCATATTAATGGCTGGGACGGCGTTTGGCGCCAGATTCCTGCATGTGTGTACATGACCCGTCGGGATCTCCGCTCACTTGGCAATAGGACACCGGCGACTGCATGGATGATGAAGGCTGGTGTGCGAAGGGTCGAGCTCAAGCATGGGATTCGAGCATTGGAGATTTCGAAGTCAGTCAACAGAGTTCTGACTAGCGACTTATGTGGTAAACATTGGTTTGAGACCCCCGCTGTGTCTGTAAACAACGAAGATCTCGAAATCCGCGCCAATGCAACAAAGTCGCGCCCCAACCTGGCATGCCAGCCAGCGTCTCTTGCTACCGAATTCCCAGACTCTATGTGAACAGCGCTGATCGAACGGTCAATGTTTTAAACACTCGGTGACCAGGACCTATCCGTGGTTGGAGTGTGACTTCCTTTCAGGAATCGCATGCCCAACGGTGCCAGGATCTACACAGCACAGACATGTCAGAAAGTGTGGTTGTAGCAAACCAAAACCTATGGAAAAAACAGTCCGTTCTGCACAGGTTTGGACTTCAACTTCCAGTTTTGGTCACCTCACCGCTTCGGCCACTCATCCCCTCCCCCCCATGCCCTCACCCCGGCACCCCTTCACCCCCTCTCCCCCTCACCCCCTCACCCCCTCGCCCCCTCACCCCCTCACCCCCTCACCCCCTGCCCTGCTCGCACTTTGGGCAGGCCAAAATCAGTGCTTCGGAAGGCCAGCACCGGTCTGGTCTGTTTGTGGCTCAGCCGAGCCTGGGAAGAGAGGGTGTGCCACATGGCAAGAATGTCGAACACACCGCAAGAAAACCAATATCTGGTGGTCTCTCTAGCATATTTACTTTAGACTAATCTGGAGGACTACACTTTTCAGAATAATCCCCCCCAAAAAAAAGAAAGAAAGATGGAAGTGATTCTGCTTAAAGGGACTGCGGTTCTCTAGATTAATCCAACATTGCAATGTGGTTTGCCATTACGAGTTAAGGTTTTTGGCGTCGTGAGTTGGAGCATGCGGGTGAAACGTGGGTAGCAGCAACATAATTGTAACCTATACCATGCAGATGATGAAATCCAGAGTTACCTGCTGACACGGTTTTGCTTGGCTGTCAGTCACTGCAGAGCACCACGTTGATGCTGCCCGATTATGCATTTGTTGGTTAGCATTTGTCTAGACTTGCTTTACTTTGCTCTCACTGCCGCGCTGCGCATGGTGTGTTGATTGCGCGTGGTAGAACAAGGTCCAGAATCATTGTGATTCAGCACCATCATGATTGCCAGGATGGAGCGAGATTTGTTGGTAGTTACCTACAAATATGGGGTAAAGGATGCTGAATTCCGAGAGTGTGACATCTTCGACCCTTTTCGCCCTATTGACTGCGATGTTGAAACACTCTGCCTGGAAAGCTGCTGTTAAAGCAGGGAAGATGTTGAGAAGCATTGCCTCGTGCTGGGTGGCTGATGAGCTGTTGTGAGCTGTCAACAATGAGCCATGTTTAAGTTTGTGCTGTGTGCTCTGTGCATCACTCCCCTCAATGGACCAAAGGCCTTTTTCCTCCAGTGTGGCATGGATGAACTGCTAAAGCGAGATCATTCCTGTACCCACCAGTCTTTGCCTTGGTGTTGCGATCGACTCGGAATCAGCCAATCGATTTCCATCTGCAAAACACACTCCGGTAATGTCATTAAGGACTGTCATGTCCCCAGTAGTGCCCTTTTACCCTTTTTTGGGGGATGGTTCCCCTATCGTGTTGGTGAGGACCCTCTACATGAAACGTGTTTTCAACCTGAATCGCCAAGTTTCGGGGCGGGGGGGGGTTGGTTACGTTCATGTTGACCGCAAAGTAAAAGAAGGACTCCCCCCGCCCTGGCTCGACTCTTGTCGAAGCTGCGGCCTTCGCGGTTTCACGTCTTGCGCGAGCGCTGCAGTTGCCACTGAACGCTTTTGAATCTTTCCTTAATGAACAATGGCATTTTTTCTCCACAACCCATTCTCCTCTGTGCTCACCGTGGCTGTACATGTGTCCGCACGTACGATCGCCGTGCCGGCCCCACTTGGTGCCAGGCGCTGGCTTACATGCCTTCTTGGGCGAAGCCTTCGGCTTAGCTCGTGCTTTTGGTCGCTCTGCAGGCGGCTGCGCGACTTGGCGGGTGACCTTGGCTTCCACTTTGACCAGCCGCAATCGCTTCTTCTCTGGTGTCTCCTTGCTTGCAGCCGCCTTGTCTGCTTTCCGCTTGCCACGAAGATCATGCCCAGGCTTACCACCACTCTTTGGTCTTGATCATCGCCTTCAAGCGGTGCAGCCTGCGAAGAGCACAAGTCCACTCTGTGCCTTGCATGCCCTGCGGCGTGGCTTTGACCCCAATTTGACCCCACTGTGCCCTGCGGAAATGCACGGAACGGCTTTGACCCCCTCAAAGAACGACCTTAAGGGTCCTGACCAACACGACGCGTACTAACATAGACTACAGCCAAAAGTTGGTACCCTTATTCTAACCTCTCTACTGGAGGACCTAGCCCCGGTTCGTCATGTTCGATGTCATGTTTGACAGGGGTCCGTTAGATTGCCGGGACGTGAACTGAACTGAACGAGCCACAGCGCGGCAGGTGGCGGCGCCGCATCTTCGTGAAGGGCGAATTCAGCATCCACTGCTGGAAGAGCCATGCCTTTGCGCCCCATAAGGCCAGCGATGCTGGAAAATTCGCTGGGATGGTTTTCTTTATGGATTGTAAGCGGTTTGTGTATCGGGGTGTGGCGGTTTCTGGTTGGAGCCGGGAATGCCCCCTATGGATTTTAGGCAGTTTGGGTATCGGTTTAGCCCTGTCTGAGTGACCCAACCGAAACCAACCCGTGGGATGAAAACGCAGCTGATCCAACCAGCAAGTTTTCACCAACCTGAAGGGGCAAGCTTACCCGGGTCCAAAACTACGTCGATCTGTAGGCGAGTATTACGCATGGCATGCAACAAGGATGGAGCGCACGTAAGCAAAGATGCGGAGGGTGCAGAGATGGCGTGTGGCGTTTGGTGAAGGGATTTGATTCATGTCGCTGTTTGTCTCATGACGTTTCGATGAACACCGTGACCAGTCCTCTGGCGACGTCTAACGGACTGCTTTTGGTTAACCGTCTGCATTGAGCGAGGTGTTCGCCTGTAGGTGGCTGTGGGTCAAAGTAGCCGCCCAAAATGGGTTTTACATGGAACCAAGGACCAAGACCTGCGGGTTTTCTGGTTTAGTCTTGACCCATCCCCCGGTGCGTTAGATCCGGTTCGCATAGGCACGGGTGGAGCTGATCTTAGAGGCTCCTGGCCCGGGTGGTTGGCGAGTCGAAGTCAGGACCTACACGTTGCCCAAAGCCAATCGACCTGAAATCACCTTGTGGTTTTCCCGTTTCGCTTGAAATGACCTGAAATGACCTGAAATGATCTTTTGGTTTTCCCATGTCCGTCGATCTTTTGAGGTGCCAAGAAATGATCACCGTTTGATTCCTGGTCCCTAAGGGGCAAGTGAGTACAAGGCTAACAGGGCCCGAACAGGGCCCGAACAGGGCCCTTGGTTGTCCTGCTATTTTTCGTATGTTAGGCTTCTGTCCCCTCCCCCAGCCGATTCCGTGGAAGCTCCCAGCACCCCGAAAAGGGAGGACTCGGTTCCATGTACAGAGGCTTTTTGGGAGCTTCCATGTTAGTCTGAGGGCGTGTACACGCCAGCAAATAAAAAAAAACCATGGTATTTCTGTGCATCCCCGATGTGGGAGGTGAGTAAATGTTAGCAAAGCAGACCCTGTAGCTGTTTCAAGCATGGCTGCTAGTTTCGGTTTGGTAGGCCGGAGAGCAAACCAACTCGGGCTAGAATGAATAAGCACAGTGGGTCCAGAAGTGGGCCCTTTTGTCATGCGAAAGGCACGCGTTTGAAGTTCAGAACGATGCAATATCACAAGACAAAGTGCAGCAGCTGAAATCCTGCACGCCAGCAGAGAAGATGCATGCATGATAAAGATGTTCGGAAGTGTCATGATTAGCTTGCCCTGGGTGCATTTTCTGTGTTCCTTGACATGTTCGACTATTGGTACTCGTACGCGAGTTCTTATCCAAGTTCTTCCGCCCACGGCAGCCGGCTTTGGCCCAGGACACACCATCCTCCATGCCGCAATTTACCGTTGAACAAATGAATAGCCTTCCCAACCCAACATAATACAACTCAGTAATCTCGAAATTTCTGTTTTGAGTGCGGGAAATAAGCAGACCCTGCACGTCTGGCAATGCTACGATTGCCCATTCAAGCTGGCTGGCAAGTAATTATTTCCCAATCAGGCAGGGGGAACGGTTCAGTGGAAGCCCTGACGGCTGTGAATGTTTGATTTTACAGTAGCTGTTGGCAGGGTTTGCTATTTTGAAATGTGTAGCCAGGCAGCCAGCCTCAAAACGCATGGAGATCTCAGCAAGGGAGGCGGAAACAACAACCTCAACCATGATGAAGAATCCCTGCAAGTGTCATGATGTCCGCGTTTGGCTAGTAGAACCAGCCACCCCGGCAAGACGCACCACATCACTTTTCCTGGCCTTGTTTGGCAAAGGGCGTCTTTCAGAGGTTATGTGTGAGTGAGCAGACCACAATAGAGGGTCTTTGCCCCGTAGTCGACATCATGGGGATTAGTGTCGTGGTTGGGTTTCTGAAAGTAACCCACAAGTTTAGCCACTTGCAGCGGAACAACCGGACAGCCAAGCTTCAGGTTTCCCTTTCAAGCCCCAAAACCTCACCCGAGTGTCCAGGATCTGGATCGCCGGACTGGCTCGCCGGAGGCGGTTTCCATGCGCACTCTCCAAAGGGGCGGAAGGTAATGCTCCCTGCCGTGGTTCGTGTTTGCCTGTTTGCTGTAGTTTCAGTTGTTTCAGCGTTTCCCGTGTTGTTTGCTTGTAAGATAGCCGCTATTTCACCGCTCTTGTCATCTTTGAACAATTTGTTTTGCGCATTCCTTATGACTTGGCGCTATGAGCTTAGCTGGAACTGCACAGTAAACAACTCTTGGGGGCAACAGGTCCTTGATCAACACGATGGTTGCGAAAGCCATGTCGCACCCTTCGCAACTCAACAGAATGATTCAATCCCCCTAAATACCAACAGGCAACGGTGTTTCCACCATATGGCCATGGGTCAAAATCCCGTATCCCCGGTGAACATCCCAATCCCCACTAAAATAGACTAAAATGGGTGGTGCATCTATCCCAAAATGGTACCATTGGTTTTGACCCACAGCCATATGGTTCCTTTGGTGCGAAGGGGTTTGTCCACAACGGGCAAACTGGAGGTTCAGTTCGCGGCAGGGGTCCATGGTTCAGTGCTTCTGTTGGGAGGGACGGATCAATTTAACGGGAAACGCCGAAAAGCAAGGGACACCAGTCTTTCGAAGAGATACTTAGAAGGGTCAATGGGCATCTTGATATACGCGCTGGCCGTGTAGCGGAGATCGGGATCACTCCGGGCCCGGAACAACCTTCATTAATGACGGGCAGGTGTTTTAGACCATGTTGTTTATTGGGACCCACAGTTTCACTAGCAGACGCCAGCTTAAGACTTGCAAATAAATTCAGACAAACTTTGTTCTTTGGTGCCCTTGGATGTTGGATTGAGCCATTCCTATATTGGACCCTTTTAGCTTGTATCCTTGCAAAGGTACTTTGCACTTGATGAGGCTTACAGAAGGTCCAGTGGTGCACTGGCACTTGCTACCCTTTGACCTGACAATGTCTCGCCTTGAAGCTGGAGCCAAATGCGTGGACGTTCTTTCGATCCCCTCACATCTCAAAAAACAATGCAAATTGACACCCACTATTTGAAGAGGTCCCTTTTGACACGCGAACCGCATCTTGGGTAGGGAATGGTACTATCTTGAACCGATTGTGCGGCCTCACTTCAGAGAACAGCTCCTTCATCCACGGTAACGGTTTCTTCCTTGCTGGGCCCTTAACGTACAATTGCGTTTGTTTCACAAATCACCCTAGATGAAATTGCAGCATTGCGCAAATTGGCATGGCTTAATGAGGTTGGACTTATATGCAACTATTTGAGGTCCATCTGCCACAAATTGCACAATTGACAGTGGGGCATATTTGGTTAGCCTCTGAAAGGCCAAACATCAGAAATTAAGTGCTATATGCTGAGAAAATCAGAGGGTCTTGGTACTTTTTACCCCCAGCCCAGGGAATACTGGATTAACTTTGTGTTTTGGGTCATAGGTGATTTTGCAAGTGTGATCCCGTGAAACCCCATACAGTTGTTGGAAATACTCCACTTGCACCAGTCAATGGTTTGTCCCGGCAGTAGAGTTTAATTCATCCCCAGTCCAGGTTGTTTTTCCATCTACAGCTCAGACACCCAGTGGTGCCCTTTTGTCTGATTCTTGAAGGAATCCCTCGGAGGAAGGGATGCGACACCAGAATCCGATACCTTGACAGGAACAAACCCCTTGCCTTAACCAGGGTTCCTCCATGTCCCGCTTTGGAGCCTCCAACCGTGGCGATTTTAACGGAAACCACCGGCGAATTGATCAGCTTGCGGGGACATCCAGCGACCCGGACAGATCTTTGTGGCGGGCATCACGGCCCTGACGGTTTGCCCAGGCGAAGGCGGGTCAAAGGATGTATGAGGGTGATTTTCTATACATGGGCTGAGGTGTATGTTCTATAAGTTGTATGATGTTGTATGCCAATGAATATGAATGTCTCACGGGCATACGTAGTAGGAGTGCACAAAACTACATACATAGTAGATCGACACACGTGTATACATGTGTATATACATTAATGTATGCATGTATACTTATATAAAAACATACATACATATATGTATATATATATATAAACATACATATACTGAGTGTACGCGTGATATGGTTTGTATAGATATGAGCCACTCCTGGGGGCAAGGAGATCCTCCTCATTGAACGTTATTGATCAAGATTGTTCCCTGGTAGCATCTAAGCGCAGCCAACATGTGCAAGAACCAAAGAAGAGGAGCTGCTGGCAAGATTGCTACTAGTTGAAATTGCGTGTGGAAAATGCAAGGAACCAACAATTCTGCGATTCCCAGAAGGCTTGGGACCGCTAAATCATATTGCTCCCACTGTTCAAGCTGGCTTTACAGGAGCTGAAACAAGTCCCCACTGCAATCTTCCGCAAACACCTTCCTTGAGAGTCCCAAACACGGTGTCTTCGGTTAGCCCTTGGAGAGGACACGTGGCAGTTCCCAATCAAGGCTTCCAGCTACAGCCAGCAGGACCGCCCCCCATTTGAAGGAGTTGCGGGAACACTTGTATGGGTCTCAAAGTCGATGCCCTTTTAGGTTGGCTTTTCTTTGGTTTCCCTCTCGAAAACACCAAAATGGGCCATCACAAAAGAAACTCCACGGTTTCTCTGGCACCAGATTCCAGCGGAGTAGCAGCTGTTCGCAGCGCTCTGAGGGACAAGTGGCAGGCGCGGAACGGATTTGACCTGTTCAGCCCACCGATATTTCCTTTTCTCACTAGGTGCTAAATTGTCCATATGGCCGTGGGTCAACACCAATGGGATCCCAGTTTGGGGTAGGTGAATTCACCACCCATTTTAGTTGTTCTTCTAGTGGGGATTGGGATGTTCACTAGGGGTACGGGGTGTTGACCCATAGCCATATTGTTTTATTTGTTGGAAAAAAAGGGCATGGGGTTGTGTTTTTTTTCAGGCTGCCTGTTCAGCACCCACTATGTGTTCCCTGAAGCAAGTTGAAACATGGTTTGTTTAACAAAGCTTGAGTGATCGTACACTTGATGGGGTGGCGGTGCAAAGGGACGTAGAGCCCGTTCCGTCCGCGCGAAAGAGGAGTTCGGTGACCCTGCCAGCCGCCAGCTGCAACTTAGAATGTAGCCCAGCAAAGGATTCTTCATCTCCCAAGTTGCGCTTTTAACAGGAATCCCCTGCTTCCCTTGTCCCAATATTGCTCAAACCAGTGATGCGTCCTCGCAAACTTGACCATGCCGGGCGCATCTGGGCGCAGTGGCCGGATCTGCAGATTCGGCTGCTGTTCTCGGGCTTTGGTACAGATCGTTCGTTGGAACTCAAACTTAGGCCAGGAGCTACCCGCCAGGCTTGATACAGAGAATAATTGCAGAAGCCTAGCAAGCAAAGCAGCGAACAGAGGATCTACTTGGACCACCCATGGGGTCCTTCCCAATTCTTTTGGGCCACCTCGACTAACGGAATCCTTGGTGGGCTTGAATGAAAAGCAGTGAGCCTAGGGAGCCACTGGTCGGCCCGGGGGATTGCCTTGTTGGCATTCTTGAAAGGAGGAAACAGCGTCGTCCCATGCATGGCCCACCAGCTTGAAAGAAGATCAAACCATCCGACGCATGCCAATCAATGGATGCAACAAGAAAGAAGGGCCACCCCTGGATTGCATTTGCTTTGGGACCCGAAACGGGACTTTTTGCACCATAGAACCCATGGGGTCGATCTCATTCAACGGGTCAGCCAACGTGTCAGGTGTCCTTTGTCTCCGGCGAAGCTATGCGCTCCGGCGTGGTCCGTGGTAGCTTGGCGGCAGTGTGGTGCCTTCAGATACAGCCCCTTTGCGCCGTTTCAGGATTCAACGCTTCGGAGCTCTCTGGGAAAAAACACATCCGACTTTGCACCTGAGAAAGGTCAAGTGAGACTTTGGAGTTTTCTCAGTTCTGAGCCTATTGCAAGTTGACAGAAGTACGTCGTAGTCGGTGTCGTTAGATGCGGGTTTTCAGTGTCGCCATCTCAGAGGCCCTTTGAAACTGACTTGGTCGCGTTCCTTTCAATTGAGCACCAACACCCCTTACGAAAGGGGCGCATTGAGGGGCTTTGCTATAGCGAGGACTCGCAAAAGCTAGCAGGTAGCAAAAACCCGGAGCTCAGCCGAAATCCAACATGCAGCCGATGCCTGCGAAAGCTCCAATTGCCCCGCGAAGCATCCGGTTTGCTTCACTCCTTTGTAAGTACCGCCAAAAAAAACATTCCAACCTATTCCATGCAGATGGCCAGCTTAAGCAAACCCGCCGCGAAAGTGAAACGTGTGGCCGCGAAAGCAGCGCGAAAGGTTCCGCGCAAGTGATTTGTGGGTAGAAGGTTTTAACGTGCGGTGTTTGGCACCGTTCAATTTTCCTTTGAAGCCATTAATAGGGAGATCCCTAATGCTTGGTAAACACACTGGGGGGACCGGCTTTTTTTGCTACTGCTTGTCATGGTTGGATGAAACTTCACCACTGCTGTATCGCAAGGGGTTAAGCTTTCCAGGGGTGTCCTTTGATTAATCAGTGATGTTGATAAGACAACTAACTAAAAGCCAATGTCAATACACAGAGAGGTACACATGTTCATTTAAAGTAATATTAATTACAGGCATAATAATCCATATGTAACCGGAAACAACTCAGAGACACAAACAGAAATGAATGACACAAACAGAAATGAATGACACCTCAAGAGATTGCAATAGCCTTATGGGCAAGGCATCTTGAGTTTGAGTGTGTTGGAATGTCTTCAAATGGGGTGCAAGGGTTCCTGTTTTTACGGGGTGCTTTGTGAATGGTGTTGCCAAAGATTCCCGGGGGGGATGTGTTAGTGGCCCTTCTGGAGAAATGAGTTGTTGTTCGTGCCATGCAAGGGAGCAAGCAAACAGACTAGACCCATCGACTTCCTACCAGTTGACAACCAGCTTCAAGGAGATTCCCCATCCCTTTGTGCAAGGGCATTTCCAGGTATGGATGCGTAGATACCACAAGCTTGTAATGCAGGAACAAACTGGTATATACCCACCATACCTCCAACACCCAGACGTGAATACCTGTGCTACCAAGGGCTTCCTCTTTTAAGGAACTGCCCCTGTGAGAATCAACCGCTTATTGCAAGGTGCTTCCATGGTCCAAGTCAAAAGAAAAGCGGGATGCTATGACTCAACAGCACTATATAACTGCTCTTCAGCATCCATGCTCTATGCTCTCCATTTGCTTGCCTTACTCCAAATCTTCACACCGAACCTGGCCATGTCAATTCCCCTAAAAGACGTTCCCTCTTTTGTTGTGGTTTCCAAATGGCCATGGGTTCAAATCCCGTACCCCCAGTGCACATCCCAATCGGTTCTAAAATGGGTGGTGAAATCACCTACCCCAAAATGGGATCCCATTGGTTTTGACAACCACAGGCAACTTGCCGCGGTAGCCCTTTCGTCTTCGGGAACCCTTTCTGTTGTATCACAGAAGTGGATTCCATTCCCCACGGCCCTGTTTGTTCTGGTTTCCGTGTTCATCTGGCTGTGGTGGTCAAAACCGTTTTGGGATCCCATTTTCGTTTTTTTTGTTCCGTGAAGTCACCGCCCATTTGTGGCTTTTACTTTAGTGGTTGGATTGGATCGGATGTTCTCTGGGGGTACGGGCTTGGGATTTGGACCCATGGCCATATTGTTTTATTTACTGGAAAGATGATCCAAAAGGGTACGGGTTTTGTACTAGGTTTTGAGCAAGTGACTCATCTCCAGCCATGTTAGGCTTTATTTTAGTGGTTGGATTGAATCGGATATTCACCGGGGCGTCCGGCTTTGGATTTTGCCCCATGGCCATTTCGTGGTTGGCATATCGTTTTCTTAGTGGTTTCCCCCTTGATGGTCATCCCATCCAATGGTCCCTCTTGATCATCCCCCGTTTGCTGCTGATGGCCATAGCGAAGCTCCGCCTCCGAGGTCAGCCCGCGTGGCGGCAGCAGCTGCTGGATGCCGCCGCCGGCCAGCAGGCGCTTCCAGCCCGCTTTCGGAGCGGTTGCCGGGTGCCGGCCGGTGTGACCGGCAGCCAACCTTCCGTTTGCTGAAATGAATATGTGTGTCCCCGGTTTTAAAGGGAATCTATCACCGGACATGTGTCTGAAGTTTTTTTTTTCCCCGGGGTCTTAACATGGAAGAAACCAACTTGGTGTGGTCAAGAGCCCGGTGGTTTGAAGCCCGTTGGTTCTCTGACTTGCTGGCTCTTGCTGGCTCTTAGCTCTTGGCTAGTTGGTTGGCTTGTTTGCATGTTAGTTGGCCTTGTTCTAAATTGTTTTCTTGTTTGTTTAGGTGTTCACTTGATTGGTTCTTTGATTGCCTGTCTGCTGTTTTTCGATTCGAAAATTCAGGGCCATCTCCGCGGGTGATATACATATATATATACACACGTAGTGGATTGGTCTTTGTTTTGGAATGCTTTCTTTTCTGGCGGAGAGAGCCACACACCCTCAAACAAATGGAGATAACTCATTTACGTTTCGCTCTAAGCGAAAGATTTCAATCCTATTGATTTGCCTTTGAATTACCTTCACGATCCTGGTGCTCCAGATTGGCTTCATTCCGGCCTGCCTTCGAACCTATGTTTCCCGGACACAAGCCCGAGTTCTTCTAGTACACGTTGATCCCCCATTTGTCCTTATTCTTTCTGGAAACCACCAAGATTCCCCTTGATTTGTTTCCGAAAAGAACTATCCCTTCGGAATTTGCAACTTGCAGAAAAACATGAGGGAATTGCAAACCAAGTTCTTCGGGTACCTTTTGCCAACAAACCCTCCCATACATGGAACCAGGGGTCCAAGGCCATTCTTCTAACAGGGATCCATGGCAAAGTGGACTAATGTTGACTCCATATGAATGAACCCCAGTTCATGAATAGGGGGGGTGGGGGCCCCTCAAGAGATGATTCCCCACTAAACCTACCATTAGTGGCTACTCACCTTGCCTCACCCACCAGGAAAGAACAATAATAGATATGGTATTTATAAACAAAAGAAAGACAATAAAGCACAAAAAACACAGGGGCCAAATAAATGGTAAAACAGATGAATATATATGCTGTTCATTTAACAAACACACCACAACACGCGCAGGGGCCGCATAAATTTTGGGCAGGTCGTAGAGCTGCAGACGCGGCTGGAGCTGCGGTTCTCCAGCTCCGTCGGAGGCGAATGGGAGTGGGCTCTGAAAGCTGGGAAGCCTCATTTGGCCATGGGTCAAAACCGTTAAACGGGATCCCATTTTGGCTGGTAGGTGAATTCACCATTTATTTTAGAACCTATTGTAGTGGTTGGATTGGGATGTTCACTGGGGGTACGATTTGGATCTTGACCCATGGCCAACTGAGTCACTGGCTCAACCCAGTGGCAACCAGTGGATTCCGCCCCGTTCTCCAACTTGTTTTCTGGGAAGTGTTCGAAACTTGGGGAATTGGAGAAGGGACAATCCCCCTGCCAGAAATGGGTGCGGAATGTCCGTGGTACTTCTTGAAGCATGGTTCTCAGTGGACCATCTTAATTCCGGGTTTTGATTGTGACTCAGTTCAACTGGCCAACTGGCGTCACACTTTTGGCAGATGTGTTGACAGATCTAAGGTCACCTCCCGCAGGGTTTCGGTTTCCGAGCCATTGCCCTTTTTGGTACCTCCAAAAGTGGCGATCCTTTGAATCTAACCCGCCAGTAAACTGCATCTTTTGACGAGGAAGTCCAGTGACCCCTGTCCCTTTGCAATCCAAGCTGTTTTTCTGTGTGTTGTCTCTTTCACTTCCAGCTTGTTCCAACTTGTTGTCTTTGTACAGTATGCTCATGGGTATTTCCAACTTGAACTGGTATATATATATTAACGTATTCCAACTCATTTCGACTTGTTCAAAGTGGTTCTAGATGTTCAACGCGTTTCAAGTGTATTGCTTTGATATCATAGGTATGTCAGTTTAGTTTGTTGATGTCTTAACGGGTTCCAGCTTGTTACAACTCGTCACACCGTGGACGTGTCAAAGTGTCCAGGGTGCAAGATGTGGCTCTTAAGGGAAAGCAATAAGTTAGGGATGCCGCGCTGAGAGGTCGGCAGCTCGGCACACCCGGTGTCCAAGGTGTGCACCACTTTACCATCAAGCCAGCGCCTGGTTGGCCGGGGACTCAGCGATTGGAATGACTGAATGGTTTGAATCTGTGGCAGATGGCCGTGGTCAAGACCGTGTGATACAACAGAAAGGGCTTCCCGAAGACGAAAGGGCTACCACGGCAAGTTGGCCGTGGTGGTCAAAACCGTGTTGGATCCCAAAAATGGTTGGTTTTCGGTGTTGGAAGCGATTTTAGTGGTTGGATTGGGATGTTCACTGGGGGTACGGAATTTAGACCCGTAGACATATGAATCCTGGACTGAAGCCGCTCACTATGAGGTATAATTGGAAGGCTCCGGCCCAATGTGTTGATTGACCCCACACGCGAAGGCACCATCAATGTCGCATTGACGGAAGGGATTCCCAATGCCCAGTTTGGTTCACCGGGTGAAGTTCCGGGTGAAGCAGGCTTTAAGGTCCTGCATCCCCGTAGGTCCAGCGTGCACCCCGCAAGCCTTTCAAAGGTCTTACCGGGTACATCCTTTTGGGGTGTATATATATATATATACACACATCGGTAGGACTCTAATCGAACACGGATCGGCTGATCTGCACCAAGCCTAGATGGCGACTGCAGCTATTCCAATTTGATTCATTGTTTCACTGGGACAAAGCACACACACCCGGCAGCCTCATGCTTGAGCCCGATTGAAGCATGTGTATCTTGCCTGTAGGATTTTGTGAATCGACCAGGCTTTCATACAGTCAGTGGCATCATATGATGAGCTTGCTCAATCATGGCTATCCTGCTGAACTGCCTCATCATATATATATATATATGAACCCCGTTGCATTGGTAGTCCACAGCTTTCCCACGTATCAAACGTAAACTTGCGATTTTCGGGTCTGCATCATACTTTGTAGCTGAGTACGTTGTCATATTGTAAGGCTGACCTTCAACTTGCGCAGTCTCGGACCATTGCTACATGCAGCACGTATCTACTATATATATATATATATACATATGTGTATAGGGATATATGTACACATATGTATGGCTTCAAAACAAGTTTGGGATATTTATCTTCGTAAAGGAGGTGAAGTTGGAATGCATTGGCTTTCAGGTCGGGTCCTGTGCAAAACGAGGCTGAGGACAGTCGCTGCCGTTTGGTTTGGGCAGACAGGTTCGCAGGTTTGCTCAGTCAAGAGATTGAGTCCTGCAGGTTTTGGAGTGCACCGTTGGAAGAGGTTTCCACACAAATCACCACCTTCCCGGGGAATTGGGGGAGGGATGTAGGCCTCGTATGTAGTTCTTGTTGTCAGACATGTTCCACACCCTGGTCTAGTGATGTGGGAGCGGAAAGCCTCTCAGAGCCCTGGGATTGTTGAATTGCTTCATGAGCTGCCGGTCAGCCAGCTGGGCACCATGTTTCCTTTAGCCTTCCAGGCCACCGCATTCTGGGTAGTGCAGTCCTGGGAAGACTCACCTGCGAGCTTCATCTATCAAATTGGCCGTTTGACATGAGTCTGGGTTGATGCCATGCTTACGGGGGGATCTCCCGCACCCCGGATCTCATGTGGCTCTTTTTGGATTTGGAGCAATAGTTGTGCCCATGTTGGAAGCCTAATCCCTGCGCGTAGACATGCGTGCCACAGCGCTTCTCCGAGAGGATGACAGGTCTGACTCACAGAAAACATCTCACTTCCCGAGTGCTTGGGACTTTATATTTTTCTGTGAAGACCGCTTTAGTGGTAAACGAGCCCCATGAGCAGCTGACAGCATCTAGTTGTGTCCCAATGTCGGCGACTTGCGGCACCCATGAGCTCAGCAGCGCGCAGTGAATGCGTCAGCGAGCTCTGTCAGTTTCATTGTAGCAATCCAAACGACGGGCTGCAGAATCAAGTACTAGCTGTCGTGAGCAGGATCAGAAGGAGAAATCCAGCCTCAGCCTCAGTGAGCGGCCCCGCGAGACAGCCAACTGAAGTATTTGTGAATTCTGAGTGCATATTGTCTCAACCTTATCTTCCTTGCTTTGCCGAAGACAATTGTTGATTTCCCTGGTTGGTCTCAAAAGAAAACCTAGCACTACTGGACATGCTGTAAACAAAACAAAAACAATCAAAACAACCAACAAAAACCAACAAAAACATTCAAAAACCAACAACAAATCCAGGCAGGTTCAGCACATGGAATCTAGGCACAGGCATTTCAATGCCGGATCGCCCAGCTCCAAAGGTTCGCCAGTTCCCCTCAGCCTTTGGCCCGGAGGTTCTGAGGACCCGGGACCCATGCTGTCCGAAGTTTTTTTGATCTTGGCCTTGGAGAAGTGTCGAGCCCATATGGCTGTGGCTCAAAATTAAACAGGAGGGGTTACGCAGGTTTTGGTCCATGTTTCCACTTTCCAGGGTTCCTTTGTTGGTACCGGAATTTTGAGCCCCAGCCATATTTACCAACCTGTTTCTTAATAGGGGGGTGCTTCTCCCTGGGCGAAATCTGGGGGCCCATCACTCTTGGAGGGGAATATTACCCTAGAAATAGACTGGCTTGATTGTTTATGGGATCGACACTAAATAGGGATGGTCATCAACCCGTTAGACACCTGTTCTATATATGATCCCAGTGAAGGAAGCAGCGCCTTGTTAGTTTGGCTGCGCATGTGAGGCCATTGCTTTTAAGGGGGAACACGTGCATGGACATGAATGTCCATGTAAATCATGTCCAGAGTCCAATGAACGTTGGCCATGAACAATGGCCAATGAACAATGAGTTTCCAAGTGGATCCCCGTTACCCATATAGTAGTTAACCAGCGTTGGTTTCCTTCTTGTTATTTAAAGGGTGGCAAGCGGTTGGTTACCTAAGCCGTCTAAATGGATCCAGGTTTGTGCAGTCATGGCCTTCAGCTGAAGCTTAGGCTGGACGGTCACCGTCCACGTGCCGGTTCTCTCGGTGAGTTGGATCCACCGCCACCAGGAGGCGAAAAAGTTACCGAGGGGCCAGGAAGGTCTCACGGTACCTGAGTTCCGGGACTCGGACTTTAGCCGCTTTTTGGGGGGGTTGGACCATTTTAGTGGCAGACAAAAACAGCTTGGTCAGTGTTTTGGCCAATCCACACAGGAAGTGAGAGGTACCTGTGATGTTTTTAGTGGCAGACGAAGAAAGTCGGACTTGCTATTCTTTGCCAATCCATTCAAGAAGTGAGAGAATGTGAGAGGTACCTGAGACGTGGCAGTTCGGATCTCTGAGGCAGATTTGGCTTGTGCGCAGTTCGCAGGGATTGCTCGTTTCAGCAAACTCTGTCCTGTCCCTTTTGGGACAGGCACAAGGGCCGAGGGTCTCACCCGCACCTTTGCAGCATCTCGCATCGCAGGTACTCGCAGTGCGAGTCAAAGGAATCCGCCTGGAGGCCTTTTGGGGCCTGCGATTGACCTCAGTTGCCCAGTGGAATCCGCCCTGCCCTGATTGTGGGAAGGGTTCCCTTTAACTTTAAACTCAAACCAAAGAATGATGCCCTTTTTTTTTCCCCATGGCCACTGGGCATCAAAGTAAACAAGGGGTGATTATAAGAAAGGCACGTGGGCCCACTCACTGAGTTGCTGAAATTGAAACTTTTCGGGAAGGCCATTTGAGTGGTAAACAAACAGTTTGGACTCAACAGGGTTTGTCTTTCAATACGGGACCCAACAAAATTCATGGGTGGCTTCCCTGCAAAGGTCGTTCAAGCCAAAATGGGTACCCTCAAAAATACGCATACCCATATATATTTAGGAAGCTCGCAGAATTGTGGACAACCCGTATTGCTTCTTACCTTGTTACCCCGGTATCGGTTGGTTTACCCCGGTATCGGTTGGTGGCGTTTGGGATTTTAATGTCAAACTGGCAATCGGGCAACACCGCGGATATGTCCAGCAGCCTATGCAAACCCAGCCCCGTCATGCAAGATGCGCGCAGTGAGTATCGGAACCCTTCCGACTATTTGGTACCGGATCTTTGGACATTTTGGACTTTGACTATGTGGTTGAAAAGGCGTGGATTTTCCATTGGACCCACGCACAGTTAACTTTTCGCAGAGGGGTCTCGCTGGCAATCAACTTTACACGTTGAAAGCAAGACAGAAAGGAGTTTGGCGACCAATCTGACCCACTGATTGGTTGTCTTGGACCTGTCCTGTTTGTCGGAAGGCGATCTTAGCAATAGCTGGGGCCAAATGCGAGCACTGTTTCTGGAAATTCCCTGAAGGCCACTGGGATAGTGGCCGCTCGGCCTGGTTTAGTTTGTGTTCTTTGCAGTATTTTCGGTGAAGCGGTGGGGGATTTACAATTTGAAGCCTGCTGTGGATACGGAAGGCTTGAAGGCGGTTCTGGTACTCAGCTAACTTTTTTGAAGGCCCAAAAATCAGAACTGAAGCTGCCTGTTTCAAGATACTCTTTTCAGGTAAGCCTTAGTTGTTGGCTTGAATTCGTTTGGATTTGAACCCTGGTGCTCAAGGGTGAATGGGAAACCAGCAAGCCCAACCACCAAACAACAAGGGAAGCTGATCTTGAGCTCACGTCCACCTTTCCGATTTGCTCCAAGCGACCCCGCTCGACAACTGCCCTTTCGGCTAGGTGGGCCAGCACGCCACGGACCGGAGCCTCGACATCGGCATGCAGCACCTCCAGGCGAGTGAGGAAGTGAGGCTCTTGGGACCGGGTGAAGCGTCCTTGGTTCCATTGGGTCGGTTCTTTTCTGTGGTTCCAGCTGAAGGTTGATTTGATCCGCAAAAGTGCCACGTTTAATCTGTCCTACGTGAAGCACCAGCCTTGTTGTTGGGGTGGGCTGCGGAAGGCCCATGGAATGAGGGGCCAACCACAAACGGGGAATACCCATGCTGGGCCCTGAAGCGGTTCCCTTGGAAGTGCTTCGGATCCAGTTAGCTGCTTTGCCACGTTGACAGAAAAAGAAGGGTTGAGCACAGGTGGCTGAGCCGAAGCACTGTTTTTTGTTGTTGTGTTTCTTACGAACGCTGCAGCAGACCCCAGGTCTTTGGTTAGGGTGGCGCCATGACTGGCAGGTGGATCACTTCATCGACGGTGGCGAGCTGCCAGTGGTTTTGCAAAGACCTCAGGAAGGTTTGTGTATGCACAATAGAGTTGTCGAGTGGTACCAAACAGAAGAATCAACAACTACCCCCGACGCCCCTTGCAAAATGTTGACTCCCTTTTGCACACACTGATAGGGCGTGCAGAGACGCAAACATAACGCTTTCATGCAGCGCTGTGCATGTCACCAGGGGAGAAGACTTGGAATTGCTTCCGGTGCACAGTTGTTTTCGGGCTCAGGTGCAGTCCGCGGGGGTCTAACACTGGGCCAAATGATCACCACCTGGGAAATCTTTAGTTTGGCAGGATTCGGACTGACCATCGCCATTTCATTTTGTCAACCCTCCGGATCCTGGGAATCTTTTGGCAAGTTGCTTTGGTTGAACAAAGGGGGTTTGCTTCGTACCCCCCAAAACATGCGGCTGGAATTGCTGCTTTTTGTTAACTTTCATTTGCTGAATAAGAAGTGATGTGTTGCCCTGTTGGAAAAGGGAATCTAGCACCACTGGACGTATTTTTAGCTTTTCCCGGGACTTGAGCAAAGGGAGGTAGTTGCCGTGTCTCAGGCACATGGAGCATGTCCCCAATACGCCGGCGCCAGAGTCACTCAGTCACCGAGTCGCGTGGTGGCCATGTCTCCGTGGGCAGCGGCCTAGGAACCGCCGCTTTCTGCACATCAACAGCCGCTGGCTGCGCGAGAAGGCACGGGGACGGCTTTGTGTTTGATTCCCGCTGAGGTTGGGAGAGTTGCACTGCGGAACGGCCTTGGTATTATGAAAGCAAGGGAAACGAAGGGCTTTTAGGGGGCTCCATGTCTTGATTTTCAGAGGAGTTCATGTGTGACTCGGGTCAGGATGACCCAAGATCAAATTCGCACCACCATTCTGGAGTTCCCCATCGTAAACACCAACAAAGCATGGTTTTCACCATGGTTTCAAAGTCTCAGTTGTTCAGTGGCACCCTTTATCCCTTTTTTTGGTGGCTGCCCCACTAAAAATGGTCTTCCCCAAAAAGGGTTCCCTCTTTTTTTTTCCAGGGTCACTGAACAACTGAGAAGTGGTGCGAAGAGATTTCCTTCGCCCATCCATGGCAAAGGACCCCGTCATTTCCGCGCAGTCAGGCAGTGCAGCTGTCGGCCAAGTGGGCACGCGCCCCAGCGGCTGATGCTCTGGGCCGATTTAGATACCACGGACTTGAATGGTGCACGGTGCAGGGTATCACTGCAGCACGTCCAGCACAGCATCGATGCTACTCTGTTCCTGCGTGGGACTTTAGTTAAGCTTTTTGGGGTTGGACCATGCTAGTGGCAGATACAAAACAATCAGTTCCTCTTTTTGGCGAGTCCACGCAGGAAGCGCGAGACTTTGTTTGTTGCTGCACATTCGCCCCCGTCTTTTTTGACAAAAAGCTTGCCGAGATCAGCGGAAGCCGGATCATCAAGAAGCTCTCTGTGAGTCTGGTTCCGTGCGCGTCCGCGGCAACGGGGAGGGAGCCACTGAAGTGGATTTCATCACATGGAAGGCGAATTGGAAGTTGTTTCCGACCATTGGTGCCCTACAAAGGCTCGGCTTATCTTTTGTATTTTCCCGTAAACCCCTTCCAACAATCTATAGTTTGCTGCAAAGACAACAACTTGGCATTCCGTGCAAACGCATACTCCCGCAGCTGAATAGAAGCATTGCCAAGAATTGAAGGGGCGCAAGCCGATGGGAGAACAGAGTCCTCAAAAAGACCTAAACAGGGACGCCCCAAAGAAGGAACGAAAAGCTGTCCGGCATTGTTTGAGAAATGTCCATGCAATCACGCACAACGCTTTAGCACTTTCAAGCACGGGATCTAAGATTGAGAACTTTTATGATTCCAGCTGTTCGACTCTATCCGGACTCTAGGGCCACAAAAAAGCTATATGCTGCGCGTAGCATATCTGGTTTCAAGATTGAACTCTCATTTTGACTCTATCCAGAGCAGATAAACTGCTTAGGTGCTCGCGTTTGGGCCTGAAGCACCATTGCCATTGGATTGAAGATTCAATTCGGATCAGTCCTGAGAATCTTGGATCTTTAACCTACTTGACAGACACATGCTCAAGTTTTCGGGAGGTCTTGGAGCCAGTGACTACTCAGCGCCGTCCAGCAAAGTTGGTCTGTGCAGATGGCTTTCCGAAATGCCAAAGCCTCGAATATTGCATTCACATGTTTAAGGCCTTTGAGCCAAGGACAGTGTTGCTGAGTTCACGGAAGTGTTGCATACCTCAGCAGGGTGTTGATCAATATCCCTGGCCCCCAAATGACCATGAGATACTTTTCCCATCTAGTGGCAAGTATCATCATTTTTGTGGTTCCCCAATGGTCATCCCACGTAAGGACCTTTTGATCACCCCCCAGCTCTTAACCAAGGGAATCTCTTGACGGCTGTGAGACCTGAAATTCCACGCTTTGAAACCTTTGGACATTTGTGGATTCAAGGTTCACTCAGGACTCAAGCCGAAGTGGAGGCCTGCTGGTGTCTGAAGCCCTACTGGATTCAGATTCAACATGAGCATCCTGAGAACCTCGCATCTTGAGTCCACAACTTTCTTAAGGCACTTTGCAGCTCTTTATGAGACTTTGGCTTGAAGGTTCAAACGGTCTCAAACCAGCTAACTTCTATCTCACAGGCTGAAAAAGTGAGTTTGGGAGGTGTCAGCATATTAACATCTATACAGGCAAGCATGATAGTAATATATATATATATAGGTATGTCGAATTTTTAAACTTATTCCCCAACAGCTGAACGCTGTGGGGTCTCAGCCCAGATAGGCTCCGGGGTGGTCCGGGGCGGCCCTGAGGTCAGGTTCCACGAGGGTTCCACCAGGGTTCCATGAGGGTTCCATGAGGTTCTGCGAGGGCTGCAGGGTGGTGCGAGGACTAAAAGGATCACCGCATGCTGTTGGGGATATCACTTGAGTTTACATGTCTACCTATCGTGGTTTCATGGTCAACATGTGATGGAACACTCGAAGTTGGCTCCGACACCTTTTTAGGCGGCAAGTTCTGCGCGTAGGTACTGGCTGAACCTGGAGTTGGGCGTGCTGATCAGGCGGGCGACCCCACCTTTGCCGGGTTTAGGTCCCCATGAAGGTCAGGTGGATGATTTTTTTAGGATTCCCGAGGCTATTGAACATTCCGGTCTGAAAAAACAAGAGAGGCAGTGGGATCTCCGGAGCGTTCTCAGAACCTACGATAGCCTTCGAAGGTTCTACTGTCCTTTCCGGAGGTGCGGGCTTCGCAGCTCTGCCCTGGTCTTTTCACTTCTCCAAAATGTTGGGAACCCAACGAACAGTCCATTGATTCGACGGATGCACTCTGGACTCAGCCCCTTCGCATGGCGACAATTTCAATAGTGGAGGCTCCTTTTGGAAATGACTGGGTCAAGTGGCCCTGAAGAGTTCCTCGGGGTTTCCTAGAACGGTCCGCGTTTAGAGCTCCTTCGATACCCACAGAAGACCCCTCTTCTCTCTCGCTTGGGGCTTGGAGGCGGCAATGCCAGGGCCTTCGCTTTTGTCCTTGACAAAGTGGCTGATCACGAATGCCGTTCTCGCTTTCTTGCTTTTTTTTTTCTCTCTCTCCCTCTCTTCTTGCTAGTGCGATACTGGTAGGTAGCGAATGTGGTTGAATGAGCCCAGGCTTTGGTCCGCAGGCCACCGGTTGGATCGGGGCCAGTCCCTCCCTATCACCAAGCTTCGCTGAGGCTACTGGACCTGGCCGAGAGCAGCTTGGGCGTCAACGAGGCCTCCCCGGACGAAGGCGCTCGGCACCAGGTGGATGGGGTGGAAAGCAGCTGGGCGGTGTCCAACTCGGTGCACCCCCCACGATGTTTGGCTGGCCTTTCTGGGAAACAGAGGTAAAGCAACTGTGAAGCGGGGGTTCTCGATTTTGTGAATTTATTAGTTGTTTTCTGCTTGTGGGGTTCTTTTTGAACCCAACAAGCAACAAGGGCGACCTTTCGATGGGCAATTGGGCAGTCTTTTTTGGTAGCGCCCGGAGCCGCGCGGGCTGGAATAGTGTGCCTGCGCAGTCCGCGTAGGCCGCGTGGGCGTTTTTGTGTAACCGTAGGAACTGCCTCCGCATAGGCTGAAACCCAGGTGCAGCTCGCGTAGGCTCGCGCAGGTTCCGCGGAGTTCCCCTTTACATGTCCCCCCCAAAAAACTCTGCTCAATTCAGGCCATGGGGCGAGAATGGTTTCAAATGATCTAGCGCGTTGCGTTCATGGGCATCACGAAATTGTCGGCTCTGGTGCCCATCTTGCGTCTCTGAGCGGAACTATGGGCCCCTCAATTGCCCGTTGGGAAGCAGTCATCGCCGGAGAGGAGTGGAAGGGTTTGATGAGGAACCCTCACTTCAATGGGATCCCATTCAAAGTCTGGGCAAATAGCAAGCTTATACATGGGTTAGCCACCTCACCCATGAAGGTGTTGTTTACTTGGTCCCTGATTCTCAGGGAGAGCTACAACTCATCCAACATGACTAGGCGCACGAGTTGCTCTGGAGCCGCCGCAGCAGCCCTCATCTCTGGCGGACGCCAAGCACAGGGAGGCGAGGCGTGCCACGTTTAGCCAGCGATCGAAGGGGGTGTGCCGAATTCCGTTTTGTTTTCGTTTGCAGCCGGGGCCTGGTCGCCTTAGGAGAACCAAAGATTCGCCAGCTTCTGGTTTTGTTTGCAACCTTAGGAAAACCAAAGATGGTTCGCAAGGGCTTGGCCCAAAGTCTGTTTTTCGCAATCGGGGCCCGGTCATAGGGAAACCAAAGGGATGATGTTTCAACCATGGAGGTAGTGTTTTTGTTTTACTAGGTCTGTTTGTTAATTAGGTCTGGTGGTTGGCAGGCTGGCTGGCTGGCTGGCTGGCCGCATCCCCGGCATCACTGGCCATGGGGTTGCTGGGGGGGCTTGGTCTTGGGTTGGTCTTGGGGTGGTTTGGGGTTGATTTTGGCGAAGCGAAGGGCTGACATCCTGGCTGCTGTTCGGCGGGTTCAGGCTGACTTTGAGTGGGTTTGGGCTGGCTTGGGGCTGAGGTGTGCTGCTGGTTTAGCAGCGGCTTTAGGGTCGCTCTAGGTGTGGTTAAGTGAGTTTTGGTCTCGGTTAGGATTTTTGTTTTGGAGCGTTGCCCCCAACCACCAAACTCGCCCTCAACTCACTTAGCCACACCCTAAAGCAACCCTAAAACCGGGAAAAAGGGAGAGGTTGCCGGCAGAAAAAGCTGGATTGGAGGGTGGGGTTGCCTGTTCAGCCGTAGGCAAAAGCCACAGAAAGTGTTTTCTTCTGGGGGGGTTTAGCGGCGTTTCAGGGATGCTTTGTTTGGAGCGTGGGCTTGGCTTGCCGGGAGGGCGGGCTTGTTTTGCTTAAGTCGACAAATCCCAGCACAAGGGGAGGTGGGGTGGCGGGATAGATTGTTCTATCAGCAAGCTGCATTCCTTTCCCTTTCCACCACAGTCCCATCACCTACTGTACCTGGAAAACAGGCCTCAACATATATGACATACTGTAGATCAAGGCACGAGCATTTCAAGGCAACCGCCAAAAGCACTGCAATGTTCAGGCGTCTCAGCTTTTTGTGCCTTGACGTTGCGAATTGGCTCATCCCCTCATGGTTGTTGTTGGGAAACATTTTGACATTTATGCTTATTGTGGTTTAGTGGGAAAGCCCCACTGAACTGCTAGAATTTAAAAGTTTGCTCCCCTTCCAACGCCTGCCAAGCCCATGTCTTTTTCTGAACGTGTTCCCGTGTTTGTTCGTGGGGAAAGCCGCAACAGATTCTTAACGCCTCGGGAATTACCCGCATATCTGTCTGTAATTGTCCCATCCCCACCCCTCAAAATGGATTTGGGGAGGGGGCTGAGCCGTGGATTTCCATTGGTGGTTCTTATGGGGAAGACTAGACTCAGTTGTTCAGTGGCACCCTTTTGCACTTTTTTTTTTGTATGGCTGCCCCACAAAAAATAGTCTTCCCCAAAAAGGGTTCCCTTTTCTTCCAGGGTCACTGAACAACTGAGTCGATAAATGAAATTGGGGGACCCCCCACCCCTCCCCCAAGGCAAGGGAGATACAGTCCCGATTTTCAATTTTGTATCTGAGAGACAAACCTGCACGGGCGCAAGCGCGAGGTGTGGCGGCTTGAGACGCTGGCAAGGGGCCCCAAAGTGGGTGTGAGTGAGAGTGTGGCTCAAAATTATAGAGCTAGGGTTGCACAGGCTTAGTCTTTGTTTCTATTTACCAGGGCGCACCATTTTGGGAAGTCCATGTTTTTTGCAAGTTCCTCATAAACCTTGTAGACCAATCATATGGCGATATACCATTCATTTAAGGGCAGAATGGTCATGTTGCCCACATTGCCAGCATTGCCATGCGAGCTTGACCAGCCCCGTGCCAACCACCAAGTAAGAACAAAACAACCATCCGCCATGGACAGTATCCCAGTTGCCCAGTGGAATCCGCGCACGGTTCAACTATTTTTTTTGGGAAGGGTCCCCGTAAAAACAACTCCATTGTTTGAACTCACTTTCTTCCATTAAGGTTGCTCTATTTGGGAGTCGTGTACGTATTTCTGGAGTTGCACCTTGACCTTTTTGGAAGACCTGCGTTGATGGCGACAATGTCACCAGGGTCTCACAAGCTAAGCTTGTACCCTCATTTCACCAATAGCCAGCCAGTAAATCAAACTCTTGTAAGTGAGCCTCTTTGGAGCAGGACCTATGTGTCAAAATACGGCGCCCCAGCAAACTTGCGGGGTCTCCCTTTCAGCAGGGTGTGCCTAAAGGAGTCCAATCCATTTGTCACAGACCGCTAAGACATTGCAGTGGAATCTTAGCGTTTCAGCCGTGACTCCGGACGCAACTTCTAGCGCCCCGTGCTTTCTCGGTTTCAAGCAAATAGCCCCGTGCATGGGCAACATGGTTTCATTCCCCGGAAGCCTCTATTCGGATTGGGTAAAAACACTTGGGACCCGGTTCTGGTCGACTCCGTGCCTGGTTTTGGGCCCGCCCGGTGAAAAAGACGGTGTGGAAGGAAAATAGTGATACCGTGGATGGATGAAATCCATCTCGCACCACCTAAGAAACCTTGGAAGGATTCGTTTTTCGTGCAAATTCCAAAGTGTCAACACAGTTTCAAAGTGGTGCGAACGGATTTCGTCCCTCAATCGGTGGGTTGAATTGCTGGTTTGGGGGTTTGAACCCCTGGTTCCTGTTGAGGGTAAATGGCATGCTAGTTTTCATGCAAAACACCGAGCTCCAAACCACCCTGTTAGGGGGAAGCACACCTTGGATGTTGAGCCCACGTTTTCTTTTTTGTACGAAATCCATTTCGCACCACCTAAGAAACCCTAAGGTTTCCGATGTTTTGCCTTGTAAATACCAACAGACAGGCCATGGTTCACACCACGGCTTTGATTTCGTGGGAAATGGGTTTCGTGCATGAGCATGGGTGTCCTTTGTGGTTATTTTGGTAGAGAAAATGATGGTTCTGGTTTACCTGGTGGTTTAATCATCTACCAGGTCCATCTATTTCCCCTATGTGCATGAGTATCTCTTCTGTCGGGCTGAGGTAGTTCAGCCCCTGCGTTTGACCATCATGGTGCGGTCCCCCGACACCGCGGCGGCCCGGGACAATACCATGGCACGGCGCATCCGCTTCCTGCCGGGGTCGCCGAGTCGACGCCGGGGGTGGGAGGTGGGGGGTGCGGGGTGCGGGGTGCGGAGGTGAGAGGTGGGGTTTCTCTGGTTGCCTTTTTGTTTTTTCTCCTCAGTTTATGGACGAAAGCCTTGGCACCACGAAATGAAACCATGGGAACCTGCTAGTTGGAAATTACCAAGGATTCCAGGGTTTCTTTAGGCGGTGCGACTGTTTATGGACGAAATCCCTTCGCACCACGAAATGAAGCTCGCGGATCGGGGCGCATGCTCCAGAGTTGCAACTTGCTGTGAATGGGGGTTGGGGCAATGGGTCGGTGTCTACTTGAATTGTCTGGTCGCTTTGTCAACTTTTGCGTTTCCGCGGCCAAAGGTGCAGTTCTTAGATTGAAGTGCTTTATTGGTTGGCAGCTCAGGCAAAACCAGCTCAGGCTGCCTGAGAAGAGGCCGTGTTTGCATGCGCTGAAAAGCAACGGCGCTTTGACAACGCATCCATTAATTTTGGGAAGCAACTGTGTTTGGTCGCAGGGTGCCCTACTTCGGGAAATGTCCTTTCCGCTTGAGGCCTGTGGATATGCCCAACATGGACCTGAAGGTGGATATGTGCCTGCCTCAGAATCGACGAGGGGGCCTTGTCTTTGGTGAGTATCGTCAGGAGGTTCAATCCAGCACATAATTAGCCATGTGGCTTTCCGATTTGGTTCGCAGAATTGAGTCTCACTTGCGCAAACGGAGCCGTGGCCTGAACACAGGAGATGCGACTTGACGCAGCCAAGCGCGTCACGAAGGTTCGCAGGACACCTCAAGTCAACTTTCGAACATAGGACTGAACATGCATGGTATGCCTAAGGCTTCCCCTTTAGCACCATCCGAAAAGGGGGATCGATTTCGTTTTTTGTTTTTCTTTTCATCCCCCGCACGCCGCTTTCCGGTGCTGCTCAATAATTTGGCCCAGGCGGCATTCCCGCGCTTAGGTGCTAACGAACTCACTCATGAAGGTTCCTTGATAAGTCCCTTGTTTCCAGTGCGGGAATATGGGTGTGACTGTTTTTCGGGGGCCACCCAAAATGATGGTTTTTTGGTTTCCCAGGGACACCTTTCCCGAAAAGGAAAAAAACGGACACATATTGATTCTGCGGATTTCCCGTTTGGGAAAAACGTACTCACTTCGTGCGAAAAAGAAGCTGTGGAGGTTCCATGGATCACGTGCCTGGCCAGTTCAAATTCACCCGAGGACGGTTCTGACGAACCAGTTCGGCTCCATTCAGCAGATCTTGGGAACTCTTGGCTCTCAGTGCCCCACTTTTTTCGGCGGGCGTGGACTGCCAGCGGGGGATTTCTCCCTTCTTGATCTATTGGTGCTTTCCAATTGAACCAAGGTTACTCTCAAAAGGACATGCGTGTTATATCCAAGGGACATATATATATATATATGGGCCTTCGTCTTCTTGATTCAGACGGTCCAAGGGAGTATCGCCACGCGCCAGCACGCGTATGAATGGTTGCCGTGTGATTGGTGTGTCTCTTTTTACGGGGAATCGGGGACCTTGGGCAGGGAAATCAACAAACATCAGGAGGGATCCTTACCCATTCATGGCACCTGAGCTTCGCTCGGACACTTTTCCGGGGTGCCACCGTCGTCAAAACCGGATCCTGCTTGGTGATTAGGATGGACATGGGAGTCACGATGGCATCAGTGGGCGGAGAAGGACCAATATCCCCAGTCGCAGCACGGTACAGGCAGGAGGATCAGGCAGTTTCATAGAAGATTCCCCTTTTGGCTAGGCATGATGGGAGATGCAAGCTTATGTTGCATTTGCTGTTGCCTTCTTCTTTCCAGCTTTGCAATCTGCGTTCAACAATGGTCTTGTCAAGAGCAAGGGGCAGCCAAAAGCATCAGAATCCGCCCAACCGGCTTCTGCGAACCGTTCTGCGTACCTCGCCACAAAAGGATCCCAGAATCCTCGATTGGTTGCGAAAGCGGGTAGAAATGGTATCAGAAAGATCAACAACCGAGAGTGGGCGGTAATCTTACAACACTTACACACAACACACGCACACACACCCAGCTCAAATCACGGGGCACCACATAACGCCAAACTTCCATTTGTTCAGCTGGAGGCATATAGGTTTCAGCACGGACTGAGAATTGAAACGGAGATGGTACATGATGCACAACGTGTGTGGCATCAATCGTGATGTGAGGAGTCGCATCATGTGTCAAGTTTGCTCTAGGCCCGGGCATGTTGTCATGTTCTCATAAGTCTCCAAGCAAACCTGCTGGCACTTGCGTGCCATGTGACCACCGGGGTTGGTTTCCCATCAAACTAGGAGGTCATACAAAAGGAATATCATATAAAGAGGGCTTTGTCTCTACATGAGGGGTCCATTTTCCAAAATGCCCATTGGTGAAAAGGGCACTAGCTCCAACTGAAGGTTGTTGATAGAAGGATACCATCTCCGGCTTTTCCATCCCAGGCATGAGATGTCCACCGGCTTGACGAAGATGCTGGATCTCATTCTGCACGATCCATCCATGCAGGACATATTTCTCTATATATATATACACATTCACCTATATCCATAGACACCAACAATATATATATATATATATACATATACACACAGCAACATTTTATATATGAGTACATACACACCAACATTTATCTCTTTTGCAGTGTCACTATGGGTGTACCAGGATGAAAGTAGCTAAGATGGCACAATCCCATGTCATGTAGGTAAGCGCGGGATATGCTTAAACCGTTAAACCAATGTGGTTGGAATTTGTGTCATCCAGATTCATGTAAATGACAGGCAGTGTTTGGGGCCCTTCCTCCCCTTGCCTTCAGGTACAAGCGGAAGGCGCGAGTGTTCGGAACATCACATCCTATGCAGAGGGAACTCAACCCGTTTCAGTGCGTTAAGAGAAGCACAAGCAAACCAACCTATTATTTATTCTTGCAGGAGATCAGAACTTGTGATGGACCCAAATGGTTGGTTCAGGCGGATCGCAAGTTTTCATCGCGCGGTCGAGTTTTGTTTGGTGCCGGAACTGGACTTTACCTGCTGGCGCGATGAGTCGGCAATGACCCAGGTTTTGGGAATGAATCATTGATTTTCCAGGAAGCCAACAATTGAGGATGGTTGTTCTTGGGTCAATGTCATTGCCTGCCTCATTCCCTATCAAACCTGAGACTCCCAGCACTACCACGCCCGACCGAGTTACGCGCAGGCCCGTAACTCAGCGCTGCTCTCGGTGTTCCTCTCCTACATGGCAGCGATCCTGAAGGCAGGGTTCGGACTCAAAGCGAGTCAACCTGAAATGACCTAAAAGGAGTTTTCTCCTGATTTGACAGTTATTTTCAGAGGTTCCAAAATGATAACATGTGATAACCTTTTATTTCTGGGTCCTTTGGTCAAGACAGGCCTGGAGGTGCGCACTGAATTGGACACCCTCAACACACACACACACACACACGCACACCACATCACGCCCCTCCAACACAAAGGCAAGACCCCTTGAAGGGGCATACACCTTGATCGCTACCAGATGCTTTTTGGGAATTACCGCGATGGTGGAATGATGGGGATCAGTGGGCATGGTGACGAGCTGCTTTAG